TAGTTGAATTTGCTATAGCATACCTAGTTAAAAATAGGCATTACTTCTAGGGTAGGCGTTAACTTTAATCCTATACTTGCCGCTACTGCCTAATCGGGAAGCAAAGGATCCGTCCCGCTTTACTTCTTTAGTAGAGTGAACTTTATACTAGCCGCCGACGTATAATAACCTGTAGTACCTAAAATTAGGTACTATAGGTTATTATACGTTACTTCGACGGTACGGGATTACTTAAGAAGAGGACTTTACCGTCCTAACTTCACTTCCGCCCTACTAGCGCCCTACTTTATTACTATTGTCTATTATCGAGCAGTTCTTTAGTCCTAGATCTTACATAGCCCGAACAACGATATATCTTCGGTCTCTTTTCCTTTCTTCTTCCTTTCCTTCTCTAAGCATCCCGTATACCCTCTTACCCTCTTCTATAATATTACCTCAAATACAAGATCTACGTTAACGGTATAGGAAGTAACAAAGATAGTACCATTTTTTAGTCCTACTCGGTTCGCGATAAACTAGGTCGTATATTTAGTTTGTGTTTCTGTTTAGTAAAGGCAAGATACTAATATACTTATAGAATAGCGGCCCGCGCGCGTAGGTCGCGCCTAGTCTTAGCCCTCGCCTTAGTTAGCAACGTGTTCGGTCGCCGGCTACTCGAACGTATATACTCTCGATCGAGCCTTCGAGCCTTCGAGCGACATAGATTAACACAGTTTTAGTTTTTAGAATCTTAACATAGAGCGCGCTATGCGGCGCTCCGAGCGGGCCTTTGTCCGTAACTAACGGTATGTTCTTATATCCTTAGTCTTATTTAGTCGATCTATATAGCAAGCTTACTCTTATATAGCCGGCGAGTAGTAGTAGTAGTAGCGTAGTAGCAGCAGTAAGCGTAAGTTAGTCTCTTTAAGCTAATCTCTTTAAGCTAATCTCTTTAAGCTAATCTCTTTAAGCTAATCTCTTTGCTCTTTCGTATCGATACGCTATTTACTAACCGCTTCTTAATAGTAACGACGACGACGACGATAATAACGACGACGACGACAATAGCATTAGCTTTATGCTAGCAATATAAGTCTAGTAGCACTGTAAGCGTAAATCTAGGAGACAATATACTAACATATATATAGCGACAACGATAACGATAAGTAGTAGTAGTAGTATAATCCCGCTAAGGAGCCGTAGGTCTATCTAGCAGTCTTGTCGAGTTGTTAAGCAGTATACTAAGAATAGCGTAGAGACGACGACGACGATAACGATAACGATAAAGATAACGATAACGATAAAGATAACGATAACGATAAGCCTATCGCTACTACTCCGCGCCGCCGCGGCCGCCCTACTAGGTAGGGCATTTAATATATTATACCGATACTAGGCACTTTAGTAGAGGTAGATCCTACGGTATGCTTCTTGTCTGTTAATTAGTAAACGAATAGCTAATTGTCGTATATAGGAATAGTAGGCAGAGGTCGCGCGTAGCCCTTCGGGCAAGTTAGTAAACTAGCACTACGCCGGCTAGATTTAGGACCCGGCTCGTAGGTTTAGTAAGCCTCGCTGCCCTGCCTGCCGCCGCTACACCCGTCGCTCTTAGATTACTAGCGACACTCGGTTCGTAAACGAGTATCGCCGGTATAGCGTAGCAGCTGCCTAGTAGCTAGGTACCCCTATCTCTAGTCGGTATAGTTAGTGCCGCCGTATTAACCGGACTTGTAAGGATTGAGTTGTTTTTTCGCGTAGTAAGACCTGAAATATAGCAGTAAGTCGCACGATGCTTACTAGGAGTTTGTAGTGTTTAGGGTTTAGCGTTCGTTGCTGCAGCTAGTCTACTCTGTTTGTTTTTTTTTTCTTCTATTTACTAGCCTTCGGGCATAATAGGCTATGTTTTTTTGTTGCTTTTTTTACTCTTAGTAGTAGCCTTCGGGCATAGCAGCGCTGCTACTACAAATAAACTCTCTTCTCTGTCTTCTAATATTAGTACTTTGTTATTTTTTAGCCTTGCTTTTCGCCCTTTCCTTAAGTTAAGTCGATTAAGCTACTTTCTACTAAATTACGCTAGTAAAAGTACTTAACACGATAACGAGCAAAGGCAGAACTGTCCGCCTTTGCCTATAGCACGGTATACTACGTACTATATGCAAAGACGAGTAGCTAGCCTCGCTTAGCTTTGCAGTTCTCCGGTATTGCTTAATAATCGACGCTTTAAGCCGATAGTAGCTAGTCTCGCTTAGCTAGCCTCGAGTAGCTAGCCTCGCTTAGCTTTATAGTTCTTAGGAGTTGCTTAATAATCGACGCTTTAAGCCGATAGCGGCTAGTCTCGCTTAGCTAGTCTCGCTTAGCTAGTCTCGCTTAGCTAGTCTCGCTTAGCTAGTCTCGCTTAGCTAGTCTCGCTTAGCTAGTCTCGCTTAGCTAGTCTCGCTTAGCTAGTCTCGCTTAGCTAGTCTCGCTTAGCTAGTCTCGCTTAGCTAGTCTCGCTTAGCTAGTCTCGCTTAGCTAGTCTCGCTTAGCCTCGTAGTTCTCGGGTATTGCTTAATAATCGACGCTTTAAGTCGATAGCAGCTAGTTTCGCTCGGCCTTGTCGTTCTCGGTGTTGCTTAATAATCGCCGAGCGAGACTATACTGCTATTAAGTCGATAGGGCCCGGTTTACTATATAGCTATAAGCGCTAGGTTAGGTAAGGCAAGCATCCGAACGGCATTAGTAACGTAACCCTATATACTAGCTAAGGTCTATAATAGACGATATAATCTCTAGCTAGTATACATCCGTAGGCGCTGTTCGTATAGGTTTCTCTAGGAAGGAATAATAGTTGTTTTACTAAGCTAATACTAGTAAAGGCTAGTATACCTATATTGCTAAAGCGAGATGCTGTAAAACCTATAGTAGTTCTCGAAGGAAGGCGAACCTCTATCCGTTATTGCGTAGGCAATTTCTAGAATCGCAGCTAACCGCTAGCTATACGACGAGATAAACAAATTGCTACTAGATACTAGCACTCTACGTTAATGCTACTTCTTTAAGTAGATGAATTAATAAAGAAATAGATAAATGTATTTGCTTACCTATAGCACCTAATCTTCCGTACTATAGGCAAATAGCGGCATCTCGCTCGGATTTCTAGTTCTCGGATATTGCTTAATTATCGCTAAAGGCCGCGCTGCTATTAGCGCTTTAGTTCGATAAATAGACAAGATCTCGGATTTTACTTAATCGTATTATTGCTAAAGGCCGCGCTACGGTTAGCGCTTTAAGTCGATAAATAGATAAATAGAGAAAATTGCCTATAGTACCTACTAGACGGTGCTATAGGCAAATAGCGGCATCCGTCCGGTCTTCTTTGTTAGTAAGAACGCCTCGTAGGTGCGCCTTCCGTTTCTGCGGGTGTTAAAGAAGCTCTACGCAGTTAGGCGATTTTCGGCAGCGTAGTCTACTAGCGAGTGCTATAGATTCTTTCGGTAGACGTAAAGCTCCGATAGTATAAGAGGGCTATTAGCGAGTACTGTAGATTCTTTCGGTAGACGTAAAGCTCCGATAGTATAAGAGGGCTATTAGCGAGTGCTATAGATTCTTTCGGTAGACGTAAAGGTCCGATAGTATAAGGGGGCTATTAGCGAGTGCTGCAGATTCTTTCGGTAGACGTAAAGGTCCGATAGTATAAGGGGGCTATTAGCGTATAAAGGTCCGATAGTATAAGAGGGTTATTAGCGTTATAGCCGTAGTGCGTCTTACTATATAACTAACCGGCTCGTACTCTCTTCTCGCGCTTTAATAGCGGGTTCATGCAGTTTTAATGTTTGAATTCGCTTGTATATAATTCGCTTATATGTCTTAGCTTAGTAGTATAGAGAGGCTCGGAGTTAAGGTCTATAGGTACCGTTAGCAAGTACGCCTCGTAGGTATACCTTAAAGAGGGGGTAAGGTCCTTCGTCGAGTATAGTACTAATCTAGTATTTTACTATAGCACGGCACGATACGTGCTATAGGTAAATACCGGCATCTGCCCCTATTCTTCGTAGCCTCCTTTAACGAAGAAAATAGAAGAAGGATATAGCATTTTACTATCGCACAACGCGGGACGTACTATAGCAAAACGCGTCTATCGGATACCTCGACACCTCGACGGTTCGACTCGCGGCGAATACGGTAGCGTACCGTATCTATTATAAAGAAGAAAAAGAAGATAGAAGAATAGAATAGTATAGTATTTCGTTATAGCACCTATCGTATAGTGCTATAGCGAAAACTACCGCCGCTATGCTGCTAAGCATTACGATATCGGGCGAAGGCGCCGGAGGTAACGCAATGCGCTAAATTAGGTATAGTATAGTAAATTGTATACTATAGGCAAATACAGTTATTGTAATATAGGATAGGAAGGCTTAGTTACTCAGAACCGCTAGATAGGAAAAACCTGCAACGCTATACCCCTGTCAAACACCCGATTACTCGATTACTCGATTACTCGATCACCCGATCACCTAGGTTTGTCATAGACTACGTTCAGGCCACGACCCTTTCGAAGCTCGACCTGTGCCTGAACTTCCACCTCCACCTCGATTCGATATCTTCGCGCAGAAAATCGCATCCAGAACTCGAACATCGACAGCACAACCATCGAGCTTCGAGTGCGGTCTTTCGTAAGTGATACATCGAGGTCTACTGAGAATTTCCTTCAGTGCTCCTGTGTTTCATTACTGCTTCTTTTATTGTCCTTTCGGGGCCGTGAGAGACGAGCAGGCTTTGCATGGCTGACCTTCTAAGCTCAACATTCTCCGCCGCTTCTACGCATCTCGTGTCCATGGGAGCGGCGCAAGAGCGGCATCATGGCAGAGCCTGCAACCAGCGCATCAGGCCGTGGTCTGCACGGCTTCGGCAAGCCAGTCAATGCCATCTCAGACGACAACAGTGCCTGGTCCCATCTTAAGCGCTCTGGATTCTCGAACGCCATCTCCGATCACAGTGGCCAGCCGCTTATGCTGAAGGAGCGGAACATGATCGCCCTTATGGACAAGCTCACTGACAAGCCGGACTGGAATCGCAAGATCAACGATGAAAACATTGTCAGCAAGTGGCGTGCTGAATGCGCTGAAATCGAGAAGACTTCTAAGCCAGAGCAGGCTGTGACTCAACAAATGTTCGACTACTGCCTTGGGGAGCTTCGAGATTACGCAAAGCAATTCGAGCGGCATGGCTTTGTGCCGGCCATTGATGCTGAGCGAACGGTCTACAAGTCTGATGTCTGCATTTCCGACGAGCTCAAGACAGAGCTCAAATCATCAGCGGCATCCCTCGAAGACTTGCCCACGGACCAGAAAGACTGGCATCCAGACTCGGACGAGAAGGTGCTCGATCTACTTCATCCGTCCTTGTACCCGCTCATTTATGGACGCTCTCAAGCTTTGTCCGAGGGCATGGTCCCGCTCGAGGGCTGCGAGAAGTACATTGGCCAGGGCATCGTTGTTCCAGTCCCGGAGAAGAAGCATCTCCACGTTGAGCGTTTCGCTGGTAAGTCGAGACACCCGCCGTTGGTATCACATCCCATACGGGATGCGTGTCGAAGGCTCTGGTGCCAGTTCCGCATCTTATGACGTATTCTAACCTTCTTCACTACTAGGTCTTTCAACCTGGCGATCTGGCGAACAGCACTTCTACTCATCGCGGTTCCAGTGGCTGCCATGCGAAATCTCATTCGGCGAAAATGAGAACGTCAAGATCACGAGTTACATCAACAATCTGCACCCCAAGTTTCATCAGCCTCTCTATGAGACCCTGGAGCGCATCATCGCTAAGACTGTTCCAATGTGGGACGCGACGCTTTCCGGCGACAGCTTGTATAAGCGGGCCCCACGCCTCAACATCGATAAGGTCGGTTACGAGGAGCCGGTTGGCGAGCGCCCGCCAGCGGAGAACGAAGACGAACTCGATGAAGACGAGATCGATGAGCTCAACAACACCTGGCAACGTGAGCATCGAGTTCTGACCAACTTGCCAGAGCCGGGCAGCTATTCCGCTCGCATGCGCGACGATCCAGAGAAGGAGACGGTCGTCAATCTGCGCAAGGACTTCGCTGACCGAGGCCTCCAAGTCATCGTGAAGCTGGCTAACATTCATCTGACACCGGACAAGCCAGCTTACAGCGGGGGTGGATGGCACATCGAAGGTCAGCTCAACGAACATATCTGTGCGAGTGCGATTTACTATTACGACACCGACAACATCACTGAGAGCCACCTTTCGTTTCGCGAGTTTGTCTGCGTGGATACTTTGACAGGGGACACTGAGTATGAACAAGACGACTATGAGCACATCTTGCGTCTCTATGGAATCGAGCAGAACGGCCCAGCCATTCAGACACTGGGCAAGGTCAACACCAAGGAAGGTCGAATGATCGCCTTCCCGAACGTCTTGCAGCACAAGGTCGAGCCCTTTGAGCTCGCCGACAAGTCCAAGGCAGGTCATCGCAAGATCCTCGCTCTCTTCCTGGTCGATCCGTACCTCCGCATCCCATCCACGGCCCATGTGCCTCCTCAGCAGAAGAATTGGTGGCGTGCCATGGTCCACGACCTGGATCGGGTGCAAAATCTTCCGCCCGAGCTTGCCGAGCGGGTAGTCGACGCTGAGCAGGATCTACTCAGTATGGAAGACGCGAAAGCCCTCCGACTTGAGCTGATGGCTGAGCGTAAGGTTTTCGTGCAGGACGTCGACAAGCGCTATCACGAAGAGCAGTTCAGCTTCTGCGAGCACTAGATTCTCCCCTCCATCTCGCCGCCGGTGCGCGCGAAGAAAGCCGTGGATTTTCCATTTCGACGGGTGCTCATTGCTGCACTTGCTCAAGCACTGCATTACATACACCGAATAGCACACTCCGACCTCTCCCGTGCCCCCATGTCAACTCAATGCACAGCGTTGCGCAAGACGACCAGTGAGGTTGAGGCAGGTGTCAAGCTTGGCTGAACGTCACTCGATGGCAGAGCAGAGAAGAACGTGGGGAGGATGGCAGTGCAGTGTGGTTTGACAAGTGTGCGCCAGAGACTCAGCTTCGCAAGAAGTAGTCAGCGAAGGGTGATTAGAAAGCGGTGTGCGCTGGCGAGATCGCTTGCATTTGCATACCACGATGCCATGTGGCAGTGCGAAGATGAGACGGTATCTATGGTGGCGCGCCTCATCTCATCTCACGAGATCACATGTCATGTCCTTCTGTCGAGTGATCACGTTCGCCGGCACAATCGCAGGGCCGGCTTTGTTTGATGCATTGTTGTTGACAGTCCAGTCCGGGTGTTTGTGTGCGAGCGGTCATTCGTCTTGCACGCGTGCCATTGCCGGGCGGTAGGGCACAGTAGCGGCGTGGCGTTCACTACCCATGGGGTATGCATTGGTGCGTAGCGCGGAGTGATATGTCAGAGGAGATGCAGATTGATGTGTCAAGTCACTCGGACTCCCACTTCGGCAACTTCCCGACACAGCCATCGGTACGGTACGTACTCCGTACATGTAGTCGTGAAGAGCTCTGGACTCGACTGCTGTGAAGGGTATACGGAAACTTGTGGGTTTGGTTTTGTGTAAGCCGCGGAGATGTTTCTTGCAGAAATTCTTAATTCTTGGTAGTGAGGGTGTCGCTTGTTGTTCGGCTTGCATCGGGTCAAATTCTGGTCCGACAATGACGACAAAACAGAGTTTTCGGCCCGGGGTTCCGGTATCGACTGCCGCGCACACAGTGTCCTCCATAGCAACACTTCGGTGTATTGCCGTCGCCGTCGCCGCTGTCGCATTCATACGGTGATGATGGCGTTCCTCGCGACTCCGAGATGCATGCGTAGTGGGTAGCGAGCGAGGTGTCGCGTGTCGCACGGGGCCAGCTGATGTTTGTCGCACCTCGTGACCCGCTCCGCTTCGACGCATTCACAGGGCGATTACGTATTTTCTGGATTCTGTTACCCTCACGAAACGACGAGAGTCGGGCGCACGTGGTACGCTGCGCCCTTGCGCTGGGGAATGAGGGCAATTCCTTTGACTCACGAAATGCCACTGGTGGCCTGCCAAGCCATGTCGATGTGCCCTTTCTCCGCAACTTCCCCAGATGAGATGCGGAAAGAATTCTCTGGACGCTTAGCAAGGCTTTGCGTGTTTGCATTGGACGGTAGGGGGCTCAGTAGTAGTGCGCGGGCGCCGACTGATCGTAATATATGAGCAATCGCCTCACAAGGTACGCTTCGCACAAAGAAGCAACTCTCCTTCTTATCTGCGCCCACTCACATCCCTTCTTTGTGACCTAAGCCTTCACCTCACCTCACTGCCATCCGCGCTAGTGTCTGCCCAGGGCAACAAGCATGCCGATCAACGACTTGCCGCACGAAATTCTCTCGGAAATCTTGCTGCTGGCCACCAAGGCCAACCAGGCCGAGGGCGAGCGATACACCTACGGACTCTCCCAAGCACCTCTTCCTCTGCAGAAGGTCAAGCTTTCCAAATATGTGCGTGGTCCCGTCACTGCCGAGTCTCTGAGATGGGACGCCACCGCCTCGATCCGCCAAGTCTGCTCGACATGGCACGAATGGGCGCTCTCCTACAACCTGGAGCATGTCTTTGAGCGACGATGGCGAGGCAGCGAGAGATGGGCCGAGCTGCCCGTATCGCGAGGCCGGCGAAAGTACAGCATTTACGAGCTCATCGACAACCATTCTGGCTTCGCCGTCTATCGCGACCCATTCGGCACCCTCAAGACCACCGACGCCATCTTTCGCCACATGCCACACTTGACCAGACACGTCCGACGCCTGTGGTTTAATGGCTTCTACACTGCCGACACCGATAAACTCATCCTCTCCATCGTCTCGGAATGCCACGAGCTTCAATTCTTAAGCGTGCCGTGGACGGTGCTCCGTCGCAGCACCGCCGAGCACTGGATCGACCTGCTCAACGTCAACACCGGCACTGGCAGCGCCCTCCACTCTCTCGAGCTCCAAGCCGTGTGCCTACCCAAGGACCAAGCCGAAGCACTCGAAAAAGAAAATTCCCCCAACGCACTACACGACCCACGCGTCGACTTCAGCGCCCTCAAGCGCCTCAAAATCTTCGGCAACACCCTCCACAAACCAATCTGCGACGACGACCTCCACCTCATCGCGCACACCGCTACAAACCTCCAAGTCCTCGACATCACCAACCTCTCTACAATCTCCGTCGCAGGCATGCTCGCCCTCGTCAAAGCCTCTCACTCCACCCTCCAAGTCCTCGAACACTCCCCCCGCTCCGACGACGGCTTCTACCACCCTTACCCCGGCCACCTCCCCAGCAACGCCCACATCTGCACCCTCCTCACCTCCCTCCCCAAAATGCGCGACCTCTCCATCTCCGTCCCGTACCTCTGCTCCCACCTCTTCGCCTCCCCCGAAGTCCACTGGCAAGGCGAACTCCAAGTCCGAGCCACAGACCTCTGCTCCTCCTCCCCCACCCCTCACTCCCGCGCCACACACCTTCGAGAACTCTTCTCGTCCGCCCGCTCCCTCATCCACTCCCGCACCCGTCTCGGCCACGCTCTCCGCATCGAAATCTTCTTCGCCGGCTGTATCTTCGAACCCGAGAAATCTCTCGTCCATGGCGATTTCGTGTTGGCGGAAATTCGGAGTCGGGGACAGTGGCCTCGGGGGAAGGTTGTCAGTACGAAAGGTCCGTATGGGACGACGGGTGTTTATGGGAAGGAGGAGGATGGGGTGAATTGGGATGCTGTTGATGAGGAGGAGTATTTGCGCGCGGTGGAGAGGGGGTGGGTTGTGCTTTGACGCCAGAGGTTGAGGTATACGAGGGTTTTTGGGGTGCGTTAGTAGTAGGTGGGTGGGTGGTGGCATGGGAAAAGTTTTTTTTTGTTGGGGGGTTTATGATTTATGATTTATGATGATGATGGACGAAGAAGAAGAAAAAAAAAAGTTTTTTTTTTGGCATTGGCATTGGCATTTGGGAGGAGGGACTTGAGACGAATAAGTAAGTTAGCGAGCGAAAGTGAAAGGCGAAGGCGTGAGATGTGGATTATTAGTATGAATGAGAATAGTCTTGTAGTTGTACGTGAGTAAGTGAAGGGATTATATATAACTTCCTATTTATTCCTGTTTTGCTTTGCGTTTTCATCGACACTGAACATGAAACCCGAACGAACTATAGACCTGCGCCTTTTTTCGTATCTGATGTCCTTGTAACTAATGGTATGGAGGGAGGCTTGGACTCGCAGAATCGTCCTAAAATCTCAGACGACTGGATGGCTGTAGTAAGTGCTTTTTGGATTTATCTTCAGGTTGAATCATGCTCATATGAGTGCCTTGAATATAGATAGCTGTTGATGAGGTTCAAAGATTCATGATACCAGGAGGAGAAATGCTCACTGCCATCGTTGATCTACACGTCACAGATACTCTGGTGCTGAGACCAACCACATGCTATGCTAGTATGCAAATAGCGTTCGACTCCTGAGCCACCCATCCCATCCTTCCAAACCCAAATCGTCATGATCTGGAAATCATCTATTTCTTCCCACCCTTCTTCTGCCCCTTCATACTCCCTTGTGTACTTCCCGGTCCTCCGGATTCTACAAGTACAGTATCCTCATCACTACTACCGTGTTTCCCTTTCGCAGCACCAGCACCAACCTTCTGTGCAGCAGCCTCATCAAGTTCCTTCAAAAAGCTCGCCGAAGTCTTAGATCTCTTCTCATCCCACCACGCCTTCTCCGCTTCCGTCGTAGCCTGCAATTCCGCAATCCGTTCCTTCATCAATCGATTCTGATTGATTTCGTTCGCGGATTGGAAGATGACTTGGCCCCATTGAGGGGCGAAAGCATTAGCCTATCAGATCACGTCAGTATCTCCGCCACCACAACAATGTTCACGGCTAGAATTTTTTTTTTCTTGTTCCTCACCTCATTCACCACATCCTTCACCTCCTCCTCCATCTCCCTCTCCGCCCTCAAAAACCTCTGCCACAAATCCTCCCCGATACTCCCCCTCTGCATCAGCGTCTGCAGTGCCGCCTTCGAACTCCGGAGTTGCACAATCCTCTGAATATCCTCCACCGCTCGTTTCAGAAGCGCCGCTTTCAACACATTGTCCGGAACCCGACTCAACGTCTTCTTCTTCTCCTCGCCCGGTTTTTCTTCTTCGGGAGGTTCTAAATGCAGCAGGCTTAAGTATATGTCGCGTTGGCGGTGCGGTGGGAACCAGGATTCTAGGCGTGCGGCTTTGGCGGTTTTGCGTTTGCGGTAGAGGGAGGAGAAGGTCGAGAGGGAGCCGACTAGGATGGTTATGTAGAGGATTGGCCACAGGAGGCCGAGCCAGAAGTCCGTCCAGGTTCGGGGGGTGGTGGATTGCCAGCTGGAGTTTGTGCTGTTTGTGCTGTTGTTGAAGGTGGAGTTGAAGGTGGTGTTTTCGGCCATGGTTATTGTTGGCGCGAAGGCGCGAAGGGAGCGGGTCTTTGGTTTTATGGATTTGTTCGGTTTGGAGGGGGATGTTGTGGGAGTTATGCGTAGTTCTGACGTTGCCCCGAATTCGGTATGAGTGGTTAAGGAGCGTGGTGGAAGTCGTGGGTAGGTGTTCTTTGAGCTTGGGTTTATTGTTGGAAGCGAGCTCTTTTTGTCTTAGGTGTTCAGATCGCGGAAGTCACAGGCCGTGCCCTGCGCCGGATCGACGGGCCGAGCCAGAAGGTTCGTCATCGCATCGCGTTCGCTTGCTTGCAACAGCTCACCTTCACTTCGCGAGGTTCGATCTAGGCCAGCAGACAGCTTCATAATCATTTGCTGCCTGCACCACAGCAATCACTTCGACATCCATCAAAAACCTCCTCCTTCTCCACCACCACCACCACCTCCTCCTACCTTCCATACATTCTGTATCTGTATGGCGCTGGCACACACGATACGGTAACGAATTTCCTCATACCGCCTCTCGATTTCGACGTTCGCTCGAACATTTCCACCACCCTTCCACCACCCTTCCGCCCCACCCACTCACCACCGCCCCGACCATGATACTGCGGTTCCAAAGCCGTGAGGGCCAGTTCCGCCTCACCATCGATTCAAACGCCGAAATACCTACTGTCCTTCCTCAGGTCCTCGAAAAATTGCCGAAGAATGTGATACCTTCCACTGTCACCATTTCCCCACGACCACACGGCGCAGATTCCAGACCGATCGAGTCGTTGAAGGGCGTGAGCTTTGGTAGACTAGGCCTTGCACACGGCACTCAGGTCTTCCTTGACTACAAGCTGGAAGATGCACCTACCGCCAACGGACACAGCGCTGCGGCCAACAAGCTCAACGGGAACGAGGTCAACCAGAATGAGCTCCAGTCCAGTGTTGCTATCAATAAAGCTCCAACACTTATCAAGAATCCTTGGGAGACCGTCAAGCAATCAGAGCTTGACGATCGATTAGATAAGCAGGATGGCAAGATTAGGCGGAAGAAGGACGAGAAGATGTGCAGACATGGTCCCAAGGGCATGTGCGACTACTGCCAGCCGCTTGAGCCCTACGATAAGGGCTATCTTGAGGAGCACAAGATCAAGCACATGTCTTTTCATGCATATCTGCGAAAAATCAACCACGGCAAGAACAAGTACGATTCTGGAAGCTCGTACATGCCGCCTTTGACCGAACCATACTACCGCGTCAACCCGAACTGCCCTTCCGGCCACAGACCATTCCCTGCCGAGATATGCACAAAATGCCAGCCATCTGCAATCTCGTTACAGCCGCAAGAATACCGCATGGTCGACCACGTGGAGTTCCAATCGTTTGATATTGTCAATAGATTTATCGACTTCTGGCGCAAGAGTGGCGTTCAGCGTATAGGATTCCTATACGGCAGATACGAGGCATACGACCAGGTCCCGCTTGGTACGAAGGCTGTCGTCGAAGCAATCTACGAGCCACCGCAAGGCGATGAGGTCGATGGCGTCACCATGACTGAGTGGGAGAAGGAGGCGCAAATAGACAAGGTCGCCGAACTTACTGGCATGCAACGCCTCGGCGTCGTCTTTACTGACCTGATCAGCCCCGAGAACCCGGAAGAAGGTGCTGCCATCTGCAAGCGCCACGTCGACTCGTATTTCCTGTCTTCGCTTGAGGTCTGCTTTGCATCCCGGTACCAGGCCAAGTACCCTCGGCCCTCAAAATGGAGTGAGACCGGCCAGTTTGGCAGTAATTTCGTGACTTGTGTGATTTCTGGGGACTCTGAAGGCCAGATCGGAATTGCAGCATACCAGGCTTCCAACGCCGCCGTAGAGATGGTGCGTGCGGAAATTGTCGAGCCTTCTGCAGACCCGAGTGTCATGCTCGTCCAGGACGAGGAAGAAGCCGAGCAGCTCGGACAGAAGAAATACATCCCAGAAGTCTTCTACCGGAGAATCAACGAGTACGGTGCCAACGTCCAGGAGAATGCGAAGCCCTCATTCCCGGTGGAGTATTTGTTCGTCACCCTCACTCACGGCTTCCCGAACGAGCCAAATCCTCTCTTTGCCAAGAACGACTTCACGGTCGAGAATCGTGAACTTCTTGGCCAGGCACAAGAGACTAGAGATCTACAGAAACACCTCAGAGCCGGCGCAAGCAAGGTCTCGCTAGACAGCACGACAGGTGTCCTTGCCGTATCAGACTTCCATGCCCTGTGCTACATCGCCGGACTCGGCGTGCTCAGTGATGTGAGTACCACTATCATCCCCGCCCGCTCCATATAATTTCACTAACATGTCCTCCTCTTCCAGAACGAACTCAACCTCCTCTGCAAAACTGCAATCCAAAAAGACGCCCAGCTCGGCGCTACTCTCATGCATACTCCAGGTTGGGCTACTCTTGAAACGATCCTGCAGATGTAGAATTATTGCACAAAAAAAGCACACACTTTTTTTTGTATCACATTCTTCGCATTCGCAGAGCGCTAGGAATCTTGTTGTGGGACACACTGGACTAATCTCTTTCTTTCTGCGCTTCTAGGTTGGAAATCTTTGATTGCCATCTTGCATGAGCTTAAAGCGAGACCTGATAAGCGACTTGGAGGGAGTGTGGTGGATCAGGGGGTTTTGGCCAAGAGGATTAAGGGTATGAGTATGGCGGGTGCGAATGGGAATGGGGATGGGTTGGGAAATTTGAAGAAGGGATAGATGATGATGAACGATACCAAGCAAGACCTGCGGATGGGAAAGGGCTGGCTGGCTGGTGGGATGGATGGATGGATGTGCTCCGCGGTGCAAAAGGGGTATTGCATGATGTGATATATACCTACGCTACGCTACGCATAACTATGAGCTTGCTATTGGAAGTGAGTGATGAGTCGTGATTACGGTGTAGTCTCATTTCTTTCTTTCTAGTTCGTGCTGAAAGCTTCTGTTGTTTTTCAATTGTAGAGGTATGTATTCTCTCTTCTCGAAACTTGCCATTATCGGTGGGTTAACATTCGGATACCTTTGAATTTCTATCTTCCGACTGCGATTCTTGACCTCTTTCTTTCTAAAGATTCTTTCTAAATTTTTTTTTTCAAAAAGCAGGTAATATACATACCAAGCCCCCCCCCCCCTCCCCCAACAAATAAATCCCTATCCGACTTTTCATTTTTTTCCCCATTCCAATCAACCAACATGTTCAATCCCCACCCCCTCAAAAAGCTCCTCACCACTCATATCCATATCCAAATCCCAAAACCCCAGAAGTATCGTCATCATCAAGCAACCACATATTCTTCTGCTGTCCATAATCGAAATTCCCCAGATACTCCAACGCCGAAATCCCCTCAAAAAACGCATCGGAAGAAGGAGGAGTCATCTGATCAACCAGAAGATCCTGCTTCAGAACCGTCGCGATCGCTTTCGTCGCCCGCCTCGCTTCGTGCGATCGATGCGCGGATTTCTCAAATACGCTTTTCGCGCTCGAGAGGGTTTGGGAGATTTGCAGGGCGGGAGTTTTGTCGCTGTCGCTGTCGGTGTCGAGCTTTCGCAGCGCGAAACAGAGCATCGTGGTTGCTTGCAGGAATTCGTGGGTTAAGGGGGTGGAGAGTTTCCAGCGGAGGTGGTGCCAGAGGCCTCCCGGTTCGATTTCTTCGCTGAGGGTGCGTTGGTGGTGGAGGATTGCCAGGGCGGCGTTTATGCAGAGGGTGGTGGAGTTGGGGGCGGAGGGGTTTTGGAGGAAACTTCGGCGGTGGAGGAGGTAGGTGGCTTTTTGGATGAGGATGTCGAGGAAGATGCGGTTGAGGATTGCGCTGGGGTTTTCGCCGATGCAGAGTTCGAGGGGTCGGTGGCGCAGCCAGGTGGGCATCGCGGCGATGGTTCTTTGGAGTTTGGCGTCGAGGGTTAGCATGGCTGAGGGTGATGTATGTGCGGCCTCCGTCGCGTCGTATATCTCTGACGCTACTTTGACGATGGCGTCTCGCTGGATGAGACCAAGCAGCGGTGTGTGAGACGTCCACGGTCGTTCGGGCGGCACCTGGTCATGTTGAAAGGTGAGGTCGTTTTCGAACAGATGGGCGGGTGGCTTTGTGTCGCATAATGAATCCTTGATCAAGCGTGGCAAGCCGACCTGAGTGCTCGTGAAGAAGTCCATATGGTAGAGACTCGTCCAGATTCGCCTTCTCATTTCTGCCTGCAGCGGTCGAAGGGTTGGCCAATGTCGGGGATCTCGATGTAGTCCGATGCGGAATGCTATGCGGATGATCAGTCCTAAGAGGAGGTAATTCCCAATCCAGACGTCGCCGTTGATGTTTTGGTCGACGGCAAAGTGGATCATGAGTGTTTCGATTGTGTATCGAGTGGGGTTCAGGTAGTCGCCGGCGACCAGGCAGTGAATGGTCAATGTCCGATATGTCTCCAGCATGTCGGGAGTCAAATCTGGCGTGGAGCTATTCGCACCGCCTTCCTGCTGCTGGAGCAGGGCAGACATGGTCATCATGCTGAAGAGAAGACCGGCCCACATGATGGGTGCTGCAGCAGGATTGTTCCAGAAGTTGGAGTACTGCGGCGAATATCAGCCGCCGTCCCAGAAAGCGAAACTGGGGACTCACCTCGGAGAGAAAATTGCTTCGTGAAAGTATGACTGCAGAGGAAGAAGGTTAGTGGGACAGACGTTCACTGTTGCGGAGCGGCGCAATGCTTACAAGACGCTAAATCAAACGAATTGAAGAACTGGGAAATCAGTCGATCAACGACTTTCCGAGGTGGGATCATGGCTAATATTTGATGTCTGGGCAAACATGGTCCAGTGTTAAGAAGTGAGATTCTTGCTGCTGCCGCTGTCGGCTCTGGTTGTGTGCCTGTGTCTGATTGCGAGGGCTCCGGGCTCCCACTGCTGTTCGAAAGTTCATCTGGTAAGTCGTCTTTGAGTTGCTGCAGATCATCCAGAATCGTGCTCCAATGAGTATTACCGACGTAGATCGGATTGCTGTCGTCGGTACTCAGGCTGCCCATATTCGGAGCCTCGCTTGCATGGAAATCGACTGGTCCAAGAGGAGCCTGTGGTATTGGAGGGACGTTGTTTGCGGGAGTCTGTGTAGGTTCTGGTCTGGGATTATTGACAGAGTGTTGCATCATATCTCTCATCTCGGTGACCATTTTCTCAAGTCGAGCAACTCTCTGCCGGTTATGAGGACCTCGTGCATGGGCCGGCCTGTAGTCGACTGCATCTCGACGCTCTTGCTCTGTCGACGTATAATTGCAGTCAGAAGGCTTGTCTCTTCGCACACATGCACTGCAAGGACTTTGGCGGTCACATCGGAGCCTGTATCGGGGTCAGCGTCACGTACGCCTTCGATCAACACTTTACTCACTTGCGAGCTCTACAAAATGTGCAGCTCAATGTGGGCTTGTCTCTTCTCCTCTTGTCTTTTGTCGAGGTAGACGTCGACATCTTCGCCCCCTTGTTGCATTCTTGGCGCATGAGGCAATCAAGATTCGATGGGGATTTTGATGAAGATGACTAACAGGACAAGGATCGGGGTTTTGAACGAAACATTCACTCACACGTCTTGCTGCTACTTTATGAGAGTCGTCCGGGCATCATAGCAGCACCGAACGGGGTCCTAGAGACAACCAGCATGCTCTCGCGTCGATGATGCATTTCGCCCCGTGTCCACCAAGACACATGACTGGCAATAAACAGCTCCCCCTGACCGGCGCCAAGACTGCTCAGAGACGGAGACCTGGCGGCGCGTGAACGCGCCGAAATAGGCCGATACCAGTCAAGTCGCTGTTCGAAAACTACGGCTGCTATTTTGGGCGGAATCTGGTCTTCAGCCATTGGTCAGCCTATTCTCCGACACTCGAAGAAGGAAAGCGGTCGTGTGCCTCAGTTTGCGACTCAGAGACGCCGTCCTCCTCACGCGCTCATTACTCAGCCTGACTTTCATGACTCTGTCCCGAGAATCGTGCTCATAGCATGGCTTCCGCTATGAAAGTATCGGCATCTTACCCCTGGGCATACACTGGAGATCAGCTGGTCCATGAACGAACCGGTACTCTGTCACTGCGCATGATGAAGCAACTCGGCTTTCGCCTGTCTACTGTCAAGCCACGTCCTCGGATCTCAGCCTGAGAACGAATGATGGAAAGTGCCGACTGTATTCCCTTTGCATGAAACGCTATCGAGATGAGAATTGAGGACGACTATCAAAGGACTAACGCTGGCTGGGAATGCCCTCCACATCCTTCGCCTTGTACAACTCTTCGACGTACTTCTCCTCCTCCGCCGTGAGCTCCTTATCTTTAGTCGCAAGTGCTTCCTCTATCCGATCGATTCTGTCAAAATCGATCACCGGCGCGCTCACCCGCTTATTGATCCACGACAGGGCCACATACGACATCCTCCAGCCCCGTTTCTCGGCCACTTCCTGCACTCTGTTGATGATCGCTCGATCACCCTCTGGCACCTTTTGCGTAGCTGGTCGTGTAAGCATACCGCTAGCGAGCGGTGCCCACGGGATGAGGCCAACTCCGGTCTCATTACAGAACCTGATCATGTCCCGCTCTTCTTCACGGTACAAAAGGCTGTAGTGATTCTGCATGCTCACAAACTTGGTCCATCCGTTCTTCTCTGCAACAAATTGCATCTGAGCGAATTGATAGGTGTACATCGAGCAGGCACCCAGGTACCGAACCTTTCCAATGCTCACCAGGTCATGCAGCGCCTTCATGGTCTCTTCTATCGGTGTATTTGGATCGAAGCGGTGGATTTGAAGCACATCCAGATACGTTGTATCCAGCCTCCTTAGACTGGCCTCAACCTGCTCGAATATGGCAGATCTGGACAGACCGCCCTGGTTGACATAGTCCTTGGATCTGGAGATGGCGTTCTCGTATCTGTCGCCTTTGACATTTGGAGCCTCCCCAACGTAGCCGCCACATTTGCTCAACAGGACCAGCTTATGCCGCGGCAGCTGGTAAGTCTTGATTGCTTTGCCGATGATCTCCTCACTTTTGCCGTTGGAGTAGACATTAGCTGTATCCCAGCAATTCAACCCGAGGTCGAAAGCGCCTTTGAGCAACGGCAGGGCCTTGTCTTCCTCTAGAGCCCATGGCACCCAGTGCTTGTCACCAAGACTCATGCATCCCAGTATCGGAACAGAAACACGAAGTCCAGTCTTGCCCAAGCGCTTGTAAGTGACATGTGTCTCATTGATCGATCTGACCACAGCATCGGCATTGTCATCTGCATCGCGTCAGAACAGGTGAGAAATGGCATCTTGACGAGACTTACTGCGATCGAAAGCGCCGTGCTCAGGATCGCCTGCTGGTTCGATCGCCATGGGTGACATTTCGGAATTCTGGTGAAGTAAGTTGTGAAGCAGTGACACTTTTACGACCGTCCGTTGCACACTGAACTACCACGTGGAAATCGCTCCCTAGTCATATTCTATCCATGTTGAATTCCGATGTTTCGGTCCGATTTGGGGTGACTCGGGATGTTTGCACCTCAGCTCCATACCATTCCCCCGACCTGACGAAAGCTTATATAACCACCTAAGGTACGTGACGTGCCGAGAGGGTGGCTTGCATTGCATTGAGGTCGACAATACCGATACTGGACCTGAGACAACATATGAATAAACATCCTTGACGACCACCCTGGAACAGATCATTCACAGCACAATCACCTCACAACAATCAATCAATCCAACCATCTTAATCAAACAACCTCGCCACTTTTCAAAATGGGTTACAAGGTCATCTCCAACGCTGCCGAGCTCGAGGCTGCCAAGGCTACTGCCGACAAGTACGTCTTCTTCAACATCGTCGACGGCGCTTTCGAAGGCATCCACGCCGATCGTCTTGCAGAGTAAGTCAAAAAGAACTCCCATCACCTTCCGCTTCAGATCTCAGCAGCTAATCTCCCCAGGTACGCTGAAAAGCACGCTGCTACCACCGACACCTACGCCGTCAACGCGTCCGCCACCCCAGACCTCAAGGTTCGCATCAATCCACAAGTACCTAACGTACCACATCTCCTAACGCACATTTTTTTTCCAGTCTGCTCTCGGCGTCGACACTCTCCCAGCTGCCGTCATCTACAAGAACGGCGCTGGTGTCAAGACCATTTCTCCTCTCAACCGTGAAACTTCTCAGGCTGAGATCGAGGCCACTCTTACCTCGTGACTTCTTCGGAGGAGGAAAGGAAGGAAGATTTTTTCTTTCGGCTGGTTTCTTGATGATTGGCCATATCTTGGCTGGTTGAATTTTGTATGAATGCATGGCAATGGGGATAGGTGGCATTGGATGAGAAGGTGTTGGGGAGATAGGTTGAAAGGGTAGTTGAGAATTTGAGGACGTTCTTTGAAATCTATGGTGATTTGCTTCACGTTGATGGAATTGCCACGCAGATGATTCTGAGGAGTAGGTTGTGCTGTTCATAGCCTTGTTGTCTTCATAGCTGTGAATTGTGGCTTCAGACTTGATGTTGAAAGTGATAGCATTTCTATGGGTGCTTTGCCATACTTGCCCCTAGTAGACTTTGGGGCAGGCTTAGTTTCGAGGACCACGACCCTCCACTATATGCACTCTACGTTTACAGCGACTTGTGTCTCGGTCGGCGTCCGAATCCCATGCGTTCCTCAACTCTTGTTCAAGATCGGCTCACTATCGGCTCATGTTGATGTAGAAGAGATTGCATCTATGAGTCTATAGATCGAGCCAACAAATTGCTTTCAAGCTATTGGACATTGTGCCTCTCCAAAACTTCATCCGAACGACCTTACAAAATACCGATATTGACCAAATACAATCTATCCTTCCCAATCCGACCACCTCCCTCCTTCTCAGCCTCTTCAAGAACCGGGGAAAGATCTTGAGCAGCCTCGACATGCCTTCCATTCAGCACCTTACATCTCGGATCACACACAAGCGCAACACATACATCTGCCGGCAATTGTGCCGTTTGCTTCTTCCTCGGAGACTTCAGCATCTGCCTCATTTTCTCAAGCATAGGGTGCTGGCTCGCCGTATTGATGGCGTCGTCCGGGGCGCCAAGTTCTGACTCTACACTCCCTGGGTTCAACGCAAAGGACAGTACACCGGTACCTTCCAGCTCGGCGGCCAGAGATTCATGGAACTTGCTGATCGCCGCTTTGGATGACGCGTATGCTGTTTGAATGGGTGAAGGCCAAGTCGCCACGACAGAACTTACGGAAATCACGGCTCCAGATTTCCGCTCGATCATGCTAGGTAGGACTGCTCGTGTGAGGAGCGCTGGGGCGCGGACGTTGACTTCGTGTACTTTCCACCAGATGTCGAGGTCCTCCGGCTCATCGACTAGGGGCCCGAGTCTTGCAATGCCCGCAACGTTGACGAGAATATCAACGGGCCCGAGTTCGGCTTCGACCTGGGAGACGATTTTCTTGGCAGCATCCTTTTCGGAAATGTCGACGGCCAGTGGAATGGCTTTGCCACCTTCGGCTTTGATCTCGTCGACAAGTGTCTTGAGTCGTGGTTCTCGACGAGCAATGCATGCAACTGAGGCGCCTGCTGAAGCGAACGCTTTGCATACCGCTCGGCCAATTCCACTTGAACCGCCAGTAACGATGGCTGTCTTGCCTTGGAGCTGTCCTTGGAAACGTTCCGGAGCAACTGCCGGGTACGAATCGTACATGAATGGCACGCTTGAGTTCATGTACGTCGCCGTCATCGTGGAAGGAATATGCGAATGCCGATCTGAAAAGAGTTGGACAAATTGCTCTATCGAGTAGGAGAGGATTGTGGCTTGAGTCTAGGTGGTCGATCTTGATGCTTCTGCCGTGTCTGCACTCGCTCAATGGACCTTGAGATTGGTCACGAAGGATTAAAGTACACAGCTAAGAGGATGGTTCTATGCCGGCCAATTGCAGATTTCGGACAGTCGGGAGGGAAGAGGTCGTGGCCTGATCGAAAGTGAATAGCGTGTCTAAGGATCTGATTGGGCTATATCGGCCCTTGACGCTAAGGTTCTCTTGGTATTTAGAATGATTGTGTAGATCGAAGAAACTTCGAATAGGTGCAACCGTGCAACCAACTATGCGCAGTGATTGTCTTCGGTCGGAAGGATGTTGAAGAATTTAGAATTGACGTGTTGTCGGGGTTGCATGTGTAGCCAGGGTCGGGAAGATTCGTAGTGAACAGCCCGATTGGTGAAACGGAGGGTTGTGCGGTGTTCCAAAATAGCATCAAACATAGTAAGGGTGGTTAGTATTTGATGCGAGCTTAATGACAGCGCCGCTAATTGCGATTAACGCCTTCACTACCCACCGCACTTCTTCCATACAATGCAATCTTTGACAAACCGCAGGCTTCTGAACATCCTCGTCTTATTGTCCCGTGGACTTTATCATATTCGTCTTCATTAGATCTCGATCTTCGAGGGAAAATTCAGTCAAAGAACGAACATACTGATTTGAGATCCGATCCGAAGACAACATGGCAACCATCACTGAGACAGTGGCAGCAACCAAGGTGGAGGTTTCGGAAGCTCCTCACGCGAAGTCCACGTTGAAGGTCGTGCTGGGCACGATGAACTTGGGCAGAGAAGGTATGTTCGCCATAATCCCTTGACCCGACAGACATTGGCAAAAGTTGTGAATGGCGGCTGAGATATCTCGCAGGTGCACCGCTTGTTCGAGTGCACGATCCAGCTGTGTCTGGAGCAATGCTCGACACACTCCAGAAGCACGGTCATTGTGAAGTAGATACAGCTCGCATTTATGGCTTTGGCTCTACGGAAGAGCATCTTGCCCAGCTGAAGTGGCAAGAGAGAGGCATCGCCGTGGGCACAAAGCTCACAGCGAAGAAGATCGGTCCCAAGGAGTACTCCCACAAGAAAGAATCCCTCAAGCCTGGCTTGTCTGAGAGTCTCAAAGCCTTGGGCTCCGAGAGGGTCGATACCTTCTACCTCCACACTCCAGACGTGAACTTCACCCTCCTTATCCCCAAATATGCAGAAACGAGGTGCTGATTTCGTTTTAGCACAACACTCCATACGCCGAGACCCTCGAAGCCGTGAACGAGCTTTACAAAGCCGGCTACTTCAAGAAGTTCGGTATCTGCAACTATGCTGCTTGGGAGGTCGCTCAAATCTGCGAGCTCTGCAACGCCAACGGCTGGAAAAAGCCGGACATTTACCAAGGAGCATACAGCGCCCTCCAACGCAACATTGAGACCGAGCTCTTCCCATGCCTGAGATACTATGGCATTTCTTTTTACAGCTTTAGCCCGCTCGCTGGTGGTATGCTGACCGACCGGTACGGCCGTGAGACGTCAGAGTATGAGGGTGGAAATCGATTCGATCCAAACAATGCCCGAGGCTTCTACCGTAAGCTCTACTGGAATGAGCCAACGTTCGCAGCGCTCGATATCATTCGACCGCTTGCCCAGAAGCATGGCATGACCACCACGAAGGCAGCGCTCAGATGGATAAGCCACCACAGCGCCATGAAAGGCGACAAGGGAGATGCAGTCGTGATCGGATCCAGCAGTGCAGAGCAGCTTGAGAGCAATCTTTCAAACCTGGAAAAGGGTCCGTTGCCAGAAGATCTCGTCCAGGCTTTCGAGGAGGCTTGGTCGGTGGTCAAGGTGAACACGGCACCGTATTTCGCATAGTTGCGAATGACCTCGGCCCTTCCCTCATCCAATATATATAGACAATGAATGATGATTCTCCTGTGTTCCAAATGCCGTCTCTTTCAAATACTTTTCGTGCCCATCTGACAGCACTTGTCGTGTCTTTCGTGAGCATTTTCACGATATCCATGGCCTCTTCCAAGCCTCGATGCAAGCAAGCACTGCCAGGCCATTGGGAATTCTTTTGTGTGCAAAGAGGATGACTTGAAGTCTAATGCCATATCGAGGTCTTGCAGAAAGCAATTGAGATGTGGTTGAATTTTGCGCACGATCTGCGAGGTGAACACGAGATCACAGGAGGCTGGGAGACGCGTGGAATGCTCCGGACCATCATTGGTGTTTGTATCCATTACGCCATTTGTGTGCAAAAGTGACCAGATGTGGAGGTCGCTCATGGCCATTTCCCATGTTGCCCTGAACGGTATATTTCTTGAAGAAGAGTTTCGCACGTTCACATCTGACTGGTTGTATGGCGACACATCCGTGATTGTTGGGTGGCCAGGAATCTCGCGTATACTTGATAGTTCTTGTTGGCTGAGTCGTTTTGCTGATGCCCTTGTTTCTCAGTCAGAATAAGCCTCGGAGTGCTCGAAGCTGTCTTGTTCCCGGGCCCAATTTACCACCTCTCAGCATGGTAAGTACACGAAAAAGGACCTCGGAAAACGTCTTGCTAGCCTGTACATTGCACAGCAAGTCGGCAATGCTTTCGGCGGTCTCTTCGCTGCTGCTATTCTTCAGCTTGCTGGTAACGTTACATACGGTATCACAGGCGCAGGAGCAGGGTGGAGATAGCTCTTCATGATCGAGGGTAACGCCAGGTTGGTATCGGCCTCATCTTCGCAATCATCATGCCGGAATTCCCTCAAAGGCTTCGCTGCTGTTCGCTTCGCTCAGCTCACACATCCTGCTCTGCAATCTTCGACCTGGCAACACCGATATCATACCGCGCCACAGCATCCGCACTCGTCAACCTGATCGGCGGGACGTCGAAAATCTGGTCGTCGTATCTTTACTCTGCTCCGCCACACTTCTATGCAGCTTTCGGGATTGCGGTTTCACAATCACTGTGTGCGCCTAGATTCCGGCCGGGAAAAGGTAATGAAGCAGGAGGGAGGTGGTACGCAGGAAAGGGTTGACCCGTACAAGATGTTCTGAAGAGCCTGTATTCGGTATCGGTCAACAATGCAAGCTCTTTATTCACTTGCCTTGACCCATCGGGACTATCGCAAAGAACACATCTCCAACACTGTGCGGGGTCTTCTCCCTAGCCATGTGATCCGCGTAGCGTATGACCTGTGAGTTTTGCTCATTGTATCTTGTTCCGCATTTTCATGCATACATTAGCACAAGGGTGTGTCGTGGCCTCGGCGATGAAAGGGCGTTGCTATGCTGGCGACACAGATCGCGATGAGACTGCGGAAGTTGCGAGTATTGTATTCTACCGGTGTGGAGTGCAGAGCTCAAATGTTGGTTGCTTCTCAACTGCTGCTTCAAAGATAGCATGTAACTGTGGCCTTGAAAAGTTCTAAATAAAAATAAATAAAAATAAATAAAAATAAATAAAAATAAATAAAAATAAATAAAAATAAATAAAAATAAATAAAAATAAATAAAAATAAATAAAAATAAATAAAAATAAATAAAAATAAATAAAAATAAATAAAAATAAATAAAAATAAATAAAAATAAATAAAAATAAATAAAAATAAATAAAAATAAATAAAAATAAATAAAAATAAATAAAAATAAATAAAAATAAATAAAAATAAATAAATAAAAATAAATAAAAATAAATAAATAAAAATAAATAAAAATAAATAAAAATAAATAAAAATAAATAAAAATAAATAAAAATAAATAAAAATAAAATAAATAAAAATAAAAATAAATAAAAATAAATAAAAATAAATAAAAATAAAATAAATAAAAATAAAATAAATAAAAATAAAAATAAAAAAAAAGAATTCTTGCAGCTTCAAGACAAGGACACATATCAGAGCTCTTTCAAACGCGCCTAGAAAGTCGAATGAAGCTGATTTTCCGTGTTTGCAATTGACGAACTCCAAGAAATGCATTCAGTGCTACTAAAAACTTCCATCCAAGTTTCCCACTCATCAGCTTGGTTGACAAAAAAAACAAGCAAAGCTGCAAGCGAAGAAAACCGAATGATCTATTTCCCGGACCGCTCCCTACCCATCACCCCGACCCCAGCAGCGCCAATCGAAACATTCGTCATGTCATATGTTTCTCTCCCTCTCTGAGACGTATCCAGCGAGCTTCTGTTTCGCTCACCACTCGTGGCATTCTACTTTCGTGGCTCGGCCTTGAGGAAAAGATTCTGTGGCAGAGAAGGAGCAAGCTCGTTGAGCGCGGTGGTGGGTGGGATGAAATCGGTGTTTGGCGAGCCATCCTTGTGGCAGCCGGTCCACTTGTACATGGCGAAAGCGTAGGCAAGCATCATGTTCTGCTGGATCTTGGCCCAGCGGATACCGTTGCATGGATGACGACCAGCACCCCAGCCCATGACTGTTGAGAGAGTTAGCATGTCGAGTTTTCGAGAAGAGTTCGTGCGGGATACTTACAGCCATGAGCCTCCTGTTCCATCTCCTTGCGGCCCTCACCGAAGCGCGCGGGGTCCCACTTGAGTGGCTCTGGGTAGAGCTTTTCGCTATAGTGGACATCGATGGTGTTGTAACAGCAGAGACCACCGGCTGGGACAACCTCGTCGGTGCCGGGGATCTTGATGTCGGTGGTACCCTCGTTCATACGACCCATTGGGAAAGCGACCCACATGCGAATGCACTCCTTGTAGCAGAGATCAATGGTCTCGGACATGTTCTCCCAAGCCTTGACTGGGAGGGAGTCGAGTTGGTCAACGAGTGGTGCGGAGCTGTCGGCGGCGTACTGGTTTGCGGCGGCCTTGATTTCCTGGTAGATCTTCTCCTGAAGCTCTGGGTGGTGTGCGATGGAGTAGAGCATGGCGCCGGAGACGACGCAGCCGTTGGCGGCAGAGATGAAGATCATGCTGATGAGGAAGTTGATCATGTAGTCGGCGCTGTCACCGTTGTCGACGAAGGTCTGGAGAGGGTCATCTGCGCGGACTGGGTCGATGATCCTCATGCGAGCCTCGACAATGGGAGTCACAAGTCGTCGCATACCCTCACGTCCGTACTTGCGCTTCCAGTAGGGCAAGCTGAAGTATGATGCCCATGGGAACGAGAGGAGATGGCAAGAGCTGGTCTTCTGGAGGATTGGCAGGTAGTAGAGGAGCTTGGCACGGTTCTCTGGGACATCAATGAGCTCGTCGGCGGCGAAGACACGGGTGGCAGTATCCCAGGTCAGGACAGCGCACATGCGAGCTGGGTTGATGATGAAACCTTGAGATGCAACAGACTCGAAAGCCTTGCGGACGTCGTTGGTAACCTTTGGCAGACGCTTGGTGAGCTCAGCGGTCTTCTGGCAGTTGAGGACGTTCTTCTGCGCGTAGGACTTGTTGCCAGCCATGACGGGAAGCCAGATACCGTGTTGCTTGGTCTTGCGGCCGTCAATATAGTCTGGGCCGTGTCCAATAAGGATGACGCCCTTGATGTGGTCCATGGCCGGGTTCTCAAGGTACATCTTGCGAGCAGCCTCGCCAGAGACACCAACAACGTGGTTCTTGCCAAGCCAGAAGCTGAACATGCCATTCTTCGATGCGCGCTGTGCTGCCTTCCAGAAAGAGCTGGAGAAAACGTCAGTGGGCAATAACTCGTAAAGGGATGAGGTATGGCTTACAGTTTGTGGGTGAAGAATTTGTAGGAACCAATGATTGGATATGTCTCAGGTGTGAAGGCTGGAATGTTGCCCTTGATTCGTGGAGTGTAGGAAAGGTAGACCAAGAAGCCAAGTGCCATTAGGACAGGGAGGTACGCTCCCCATGGCGATTGCAGGTCCATTGGGTTGAGATCGATGCCTGCGACATTGGTAGGCAGACTCGACAGCACAGAGGCCGTGGCGTTAGCGGCAAGGAAACTCATAGTGAATGCTCAAGAACGGAGAGGAGTGGACTGCGTGAGTGAAGGAGATTGTGCTGCTGTGGATGATGTTGTCCAATCGACCCCAGAGCTGGTATTATAACCATCCTACCTACGCTGCAGCATTGTATGCCCAGCACCTATTTTCAGAGATCGGGGTAGTCCAGCGAGCGTAAGGTCCTAATGGGCCGAAACGTGCGAAGAGAGCATGGCCTTCGCGTGGCGTATGCACGCTCAGCTCGGGGTCGATCACATTCAAGACGTTCACCAGCCACTTCGTTCTCCGGCAGACTCGCGATGTTGTGCTTGGCAAGGCCCCGTAGACTGAGCAGGTAGCGTGGAATTCAGCGGCATCGGCTGGTTGCAAGTCAGTGCTGGGTCGGCGTGACATGTGAAGAATACGCCACTTCGGGTCGAAAATGATTGGCCAGCCGAGTGTGGGACCCTTTCCCTCCGATCCTAGCCCCTGTGTCGATCAAGCTGGCGTATGAGCAGGGAAGGTGAGTGAACAGTCCGGTAGGTTGTAGCTTGTCACTGATCTCTGCTGCGGTCCCTTGCAATGCCACGGGTCTTCGGTGCGCGTATTCTATGTACAGCTGGATGTTCGCGCGTCTTCACGATGCGTCGGGTATTGTGGCTTGTCTCTTGAGATATGGAATATGAAATTGGCGGCAGGAAGTGTAGTGATGAATATTCGGTGTCTTTGAGAAGACATTGCTGTCGCTGGTTGTCAGGCCAGAGGGTGAGGTGAGGTGAAGAGAGAAAGCTTGGCACGCTAGCAAAACCGACACGCGACAACCGTGCGCTGCAACGATGTTGGTTAGTCATCACACGTGCAAACAGCGAGTGAATAACGGATCCCTACCAGCAATTCATCTATGAGGCTATGGAATTCACTCTGCAGCAGGACAAAGTCAGAGCACTGGACGATGACATGCTGGTCGTGAAGTCTGAGTCTGGTGGTGCAGGTCGGCGAGAGAAAGCTTGGCAGGAAGCTTGGCAAAAAGCTAAATCCAAGTTCCTTTCACGTGCCTCTCCTGTAAATAATCACTGGCCGGGGATGAATGAGCAAGCGCTCACATCATTGGTTGTAAACCCCCGGGTCCGTCGACGGCCGGGCGCTGGCTGGTCTTTGCTCTGTGCCTGAGGCCAACCATGACCGTCCGCGCTCGGACAGTGCCAGCGGCCGTTGAAACCCTCGTGGCGCCCCATCAAGGCCTCAGACTTCCGCGTGCATGCCCTCCCTTCCACCACCCCTCGCACTCCGGCCCACTGAGCTAAGAATAATAAGGCCAAAGCCAATACGTTGTGCTCCCACAGCACGACCCTCCGTGACGATGGGCGACACACTGTCATCAGCTCTTATATAACCGTTAGTTCTGCTCTGCCCAGCTCGTGTTCCCCTGCTTCCTTTGTCATCAACCAATCCTCTGTAGTCTGCTACTGCGTCTACGAAAACAAACGCTATCTACACTTATATTGCCGCCTGGCAGATCTGCACAACGGTGCTCGACTTCAGTCTTTGCTTGGATATTCGAATTCAACGACACAGGGCGCTTGCGCTAAAGCTCGTCTTTGACAATGGGCTTTCACAACAAGGACAATGCTCCAACAGAGGATCAAACATACGCACAACAACCGAAGCTTGACGCAGAAAAGAATCAAGGTCTTGATCGAGGCGACGATGAATCACAATACCCCCACGGTCTCAAGCTCGCTGTGCTGATGACCTGTGTCTTCATCGGCATGTTCTTGGTTGCTCTGGACAAGTTGATCATTTCGACTGCGACTCCGGCGATCACGAACGAGTTCCACGCTTACAGCGACGTTGGCTGGTATGGAACTGCGTACCTCCTGACGAACTGTGCTACAATCTTGCTATTCGGAAAACTGTACACCTTCCTCGACGTCAAGGCCACTTTTCTATCGGCGGTCCTTCTATTCGAGGTGGGCTCGGCTGTATGCGGTGCCGCTCCAAATTCGATCGCGTTCATCGTCGGCAGAGCAATCGCTGGTCTCGGAGCTGGAGGCATTCAAGAAGGCGTTCTGGTCATTATCGTATGCGCCATTCCGCTTTCCAAGCGACCCGCATATCAAGGCCTGTTCGGCGCAGTCTATGGCGTATCGTCTGTGATTGGCCCACTTTTGGGAGGAGCGTTCACAACCCATGTGTCCTGGCGCTGGTGGTACGTATCAGATTTTCCTTCTCCGCGAAGCTTGCTAACAATCTTTGCAGCTTCTACATTAACTTGCCCTTTGGCGGTCTTGTCGCGCTGGCCGTGTTCTTCCTGCTCAAGGTTCCAGGTGGTGGCGCCATGAAGAGCAGCTGGAAACACAAGGTCAAGGAGCTCAACATCGAAGGCCTGGTCGCCCTTCTGCCTGGTGTCATCTCACTCTGCCTTGCTCTACAGTGGGGTGGATTTACCTACAGCTGGAGCAACTGGCGAATCATCCTCTGCCTCACGCTCGGCCTGGTTCTATTGATCGCGTTCATCTTCATCCAAGTCTGGAGGCCAAAGACCGCAACAGTGCCACCCCACATCTTCTGCCAACGAAGCATCTTCACTGGCTTCTGGGTCAGTGCTCTGCTCGGAGCGCATCAGACGATTATCATCTACTTCTTGCCCATCTGGTTCCAGGCCATCAAGGGCGACTCAGCCGTTCAAAGCGGTATTCACCTCTTGCCTTTCGTCATTGCCATCGTGGTCTCTTCCATTCTTACTGGCGTGGGCACCACAAAGACTGGATACTATACACCATTCTTGATCATCGGTACCGTCACTGCAGCGATTGGCGCCGGTCTCTTTCTCCTGCTTCAACCACATACCACCACCGGACAATGGATCGGATACCAGATCGTTTACGGGTTCGGCTTGGGCGGATGTTACCAAGCACCAAACGTCGCAGCTCAGACCGTCCTATCGAAAGACGAGGCTCCAGTCGGCACTGCACTCATCCTTTTCGCCACAACACTATTTGGTGCGATCTTCGTTTCCGTGGGTCAGAACGTCCTTGATCAGCAGTTGGCCACGAAACTCGCAGGCCTTGCCGGATTCGACATTACACCACAGCAGATTAACACCGCAGGTGTTACTGGATTATTCCAGATGGTGCCACAAGGACTGCACAACGCAGTTCTGTATGCCTACAACTCGGCACTGCGTCGTACTTTCCTCGTGGGTCTCATCCTGGCTTGCCTCACTATTCTCGGCAGCTTGGGTATGGAGTGGCGAAGCGTAAAGAAGGAACAGCAGAAGCAGCAAGAAAAAGCAATGGAAAACGAGCAAGAAGAAGCTGCAAAGACACAAAAGCAGTCAGAGCAACAACAAGAGGACGACCGAAGCCCGACGAGCACCGGCGCTGAGGTCGAGAAGGATCCCACGTATGCCGAATCACTGGACGAAGAGTCGACCAAATCTTCGCAGAGGAGATCTTGATAGATGCACGACAGCACTAGCAGAAGATAGGAAAAGGAAGACGGAAATGAGAACATATCGAAGCGGGACAGGAGCTAGAATGATGAATTTAGCGATGGCGTTGGACGTCAGTGCGGCCAGGGTTGGCCGACATAATGAAGACTAGACAGAGATGTATAGTATCATAGACAAGGTGCATGTAACGAATCATCATACTCAGAATGACCATGGTATTTTTCTAAAGAGTGCACACGAACATATCCATCGCTGAGATTTGTGAAGATATCCATATGATGTATTGCAAGAGATGCTGACTCGCACAACGTTGAACAAGTAAATACGCATTGGACACCGATGAGAACTTCGGTGTTTGAAAAGAGACAGCAGAAATCGTCAAATTTCGGAGCAAACCATCGAAAGAGTTCTGCGAAAGGCACAACAGTAATAGAAAATTCTTGAATTTCGCGAATTCCTTTTGATGATCAAGAACACTAGAGACCGCGTCATCTCGGACATCAACCGGCCAAAAATATGAAAATTGCCCCAACATTTCCATCCTGAAACATTCCACACCTGTCTACAACGAAGTCACACTTCCCTAAACATACTCCCCCTCAAACCCCTCAACAAGCTGCCCATCCCGAACAAACTCCTCAATCCAACCAATCGTCATCCTAAAGCCAAAAAAAAAAATCAGCAATCAAAAAATCCATCTCTCTCTCACAAAAAAAAAAAAAAAAAATCTTCGGTGTCTGTGTCTACTCACTCACTCCTCTTCGTATCCGCAAAATTCTCATGATCCCCCACCAGGTATTTCCGATACCAAGGATCCAGTTTGATTTTCTTATAATCTTCAATCGACTCGAAGACGACTTGACTGAAACAGTCATACGGCGCCAAATTCACCATTTGGCTGTCGAAGAGTTGCGTCATGAGGGCGCGGGTGGGGGTTTGGTTGTGGATCTGTACGGATGGATGAATGAGTGATTGGGGTGGGAGAAGGTGAGGGTATATAATACCATTGTCCATCTTCGAATTCCGTATTTTACCATGAGGTCTTTCGTCATTGGGGCGGAGACGTTGAGCATGTGGTTGCGGTAGGCTTCTTCGGTCATGCCTTCTTTTTTGTAGCCCAGAATCGTGAGGCAGAGGTATTTGTTTTTTTGGGGGGCGGTTACGGCTGGGATTTCTGGGTCGGTTGCGGGGGGCATGGTGGAGTGGTTTGGCGGAGATGGCGGGTAGAATAGAGGATGGATGTTGAACCGCGTGAGAAGTTCATGGATTGAATGCGGTTTTGATGGATTTTTGGATTTTTCGGAATCGTGAGGTAAGGCTGAGAAGACCCGAGATGCTGTCGGGTGGTTCCGGGGACCGTTGTGTTGGATTGTGCTAATGGTCCGAAAGCTAGGATATGTTGATTCCGATGCTGAGGGAGTGAATTCTCACGTGCTGGGACTTCCCGATTCCGATCTGCTGGGATTAGGGACTTTCCTTTACTTTTTTAAGTACTTGCGTTTCTTGTGATGAGAGGGAGACTCTCCATCCATCAGATGAAATCGAAGATGAAGTCAGATACGCAAGTTAGAGCGCCAACACCGAAGGTCGGCAAGCAGGCCACTGCGGTGACCCTGGGCGCATTCCTATCAGGTAAGCCGTCTACCCGTCGTTGGAGCCATATGCACACATTCATACTGATAGTATGCTTTCCCAGGCGCCATGATGAGCCTCTCAGCAGTCATGATCCCAGTTGTGCTGCAGACCAACGACCAAGCCGACCAGCTTCTCAAGCAATGGGCCCTTCTTTACCACTATGGTCACATCATCATGCCATCTCTTGCCATCCTCACCACATCGCTGTATGCATACATCGCCTACAGCAAAAGAGCAGTCGGCCACCAAGACTGGTCTGCTTATGCCAAGGCCGGCCTGACTACTATTGCAATCGTGCCGTTCACGTTGACAATCATGGAGCCCACAAACGACACTCTTCACGAGCTCTCGCGATCCACGGGTAACAGCCTTGACATCGTGCAAGGTCTCATCGTCAAATGGGTGTGGATGCACACGGTCCGCTCAGTGTTTCCCATGTTCGGCTCGATTTTGGGCTTCCGTGGCGTGCTCAAGGAGTGCGGAGTTTATTCTAAGTAGAGAAATCTTTTGGCCACGAGTCGATTCCAAATCAGCTTTCAGGACTGTTGTTGGGTGATGAGCGTCGGGGAGTTTGGGAATGGTGGAAGGCGTTCGGGGAACCAACATAGTCTGTAGACCTTATTCATCCGACGGTTCCGCAAACGACGTTTCGGGCATTTTGTGCGCATTTTGATCCAATCATCGTTCTCGGAGCCGAGTCTGCACGGCTACATACTCAGAGTCATTGACATTGGTTCGGATGGCATCTTTATCACGAGCTAGCTTCAGAGATATTCGAGTACAGTTGAGAAATGCATTGTGATTTGGAAATCACAAGAAAACGCAAGTCCCGGCGAAGTTGAGTGCAAAGATGTTGTCCGTGATACGTGAAGCAAGTCAATGGTGCGTGAGCAGTGCTGTAGTTCTAACTTTTTGCATTTGAAAAATATTCTGCGCCGACAACCCCGGCGATTGTGTGACAGACAACCCCAAATCCATCCCCATCCCAATCTAGCCATGCACATCCCAATCTATAATGAACGATGACCAGAAAAATCTATCAAGCCATGAACCCAAGCACTCATACCGCAATCGCCCTCGCCTGAGCGACCTGTGCAGCCTTCGCGTCCACAGCCATTTCCATCTCCAAAGAATACCACTTCTTCAGCCCACCCCGTTTCTGAAAAGCCACCCTCCCATCCCCCGCCAGCTTCCTAAGCACCTCATCAATAAAAGGCTCCAAAGCCAACCTCCTCGTATCCTCCTCGAGCGCCTGCCCATAAATCTCCGTCACAATATCCCTCAAAGCCGCACACCTCTCCCCCCTCTTCCGGAACTGCGCAAGAGCCGAGAGCACCTGCTTCTCGCGTCGCAAAAGTTTCGTCAACTCCGCCGAGATTTTGATGGGGAGGTTGTCGATCGTGACGCCGTGGGCGGAGTACCCGGTTTTGCAGTTTTGGTCTGCCATGGTTTGGAGGCTGGCCATGAAGGTTCCGAGGTCTTCGACGGCGCTGGTGCCGTGGCCCAGGATGTTGTCGCCGGTGAACATGGCGTGTTCTTCTTCGAGGATGAAGCACATGTGGTCGGTAGAGTGGCCGGGGGCGTGCAGAGCGCGGATGGTGGCGCCTTGGACCGCAAAGATTTGGCCGTCTTGGATGGCTTGTTGGTCTCGCTCGGGTTCGTTTTTGTAGATGTGGTCTTTCAGGTGGGGGTATAGACGGATGAGGTCTGGGACGCCACCGGTGTGATCACCGTGCCAATGTGTTAACAGGACATGGGTGATGTTGATCCCGCGATCCAGCAAAGTTTCTTGTATCAGCTCGATCCACTCCTCCTCGCCTCCGGATGTGTCCACAATGATCCTGTCACGGCCCTTGCCTACTATGAATGTGTTGGTGCCTTGAAGTGTGAACTGATGCAGAAGGTCAGTAGTGTTCCTGCAAAAGACGTCAACAGCAAACTTGCCTTGCCAGCATTTTGTCCAAGGACTCGTAACACTCTCGGTGTCAATTGCTCGACAGCTGGAATTTGGGGTAGATGAGCTCGTTGTCCCTTGAGGTAGTCGTCGAAAGCGCAGATATTCAAAGCCTTGTTGATCTGTCGGTAGCCGCTCTTGTCTCCATCCTGGTCGGCCATTTTCAACGGAAAGGAATAAATAAGGAGATATGAAATCGAGATTCCAATGAAGAGTGAGAGAGAGCAAGAGTATTCTAGGGTGGTTCAGACCAGAAGTGACACGTTCTTTGCCAGGGGGTTCTTGCAAGATATGTACAAGAGACTCGACGTAGCAGTATGGGTGCAGTGCAGCCGAGGCGCCAGTGGATGAACCCACAATTCTTTGTGACCCCATCGCTCGATCTTTATAGGATAACGTCTATCAATTGCTCCGAGGACACACATGTCTACCAGGAGGTTGCAAGGACTGCACTGCGCGATGTACGCAAAAATAGCCGCCCAGCGGTGGTCCGAGGCCTGGTGAGCAGTGGTTTCGAGTATCGGACGGGGACTGTCCTTGACGGAGGGTCAATACTGAGGCCATGGGCTAACAGGACAGGGGCATTGCAGTCGAGTGAAGGTGTGGTGGTTCAGATTGACTGGGGTTTCTCGCAACGCTTCAATCGGCAGTGAGGACCGAATGGGGCCAACACAAAAGCAGTATCGACGACAGGGTGATTCCGTAGACACCTTCCCATCGCCCATGAAACCCACACGGTCAGGGCATGCGGTGCCGGTTTGGCGTGGCATTAGGGATGGCGAGACAGCGTGTGCAAACGCCCGAGTGTGGCCAAAGAGCACAATACAGTGTGCATGGGGCGAGGACGTCGACGGGTCCACGATGGATTATTGTCTGCGGACAGTCGACACGGCTGACATGTGATGCCTGCGCAACGATTTCTGCCTCAGGTTGGTGGTCGACAGTAAGCAGCATCCTGTGGCGTGGATGCTCGGGCTTGAAAGTGGCGGGGGCGGGGGCGGGGGCGGGGGTGCGCGGGGTGGCTCGGGTGCGTCGGGGTGTTTCTGGGGCGCTCGGGACGAATCTCTGCTATAAAAAATCGGGCGTCGGTGTCGATCATGGGACGGTCGCAGCAATGCAACGATCCCTGCACATGCGCCACTCACACGTGGGAGCTTTTTTCGGCGACGCTCGTTACAACGTCCCGCAGTCGAGTGAGTGAGAGTCACGGTTCGCATAGCGCCCGTCTGCGTGGCTATCACATTGTCGGACGCACGTGGCATTCACGTGAAGAAGCAAGACGCCGACGCGCTCGGGCTTCGTTCTGCTCGCAATGCTCCGATTTCGTAGACGCCCTGTAGTTCTATGGCTGCGAAGGTTTAGCCCGACATACCGCAATCATGCACAACATACCGTGATCCAGTATAACACACAGGGAGTCCGGTTGACAAGGAAAGCATCTCCATCGGCTTCCACATTCATCCTTCACGCAACTTTCCTAGACGACAGTTCCTTTCATGTAGCATCTCCCAGCATACTACCAGATTAGACCATCTCCATACCTTCGCCTCGTGCCGCCTACCTCGATATCTCACTCGCTGGCTGTCTGGATCGATGCCATTCGTTCAAGTCGTTGGGTCCGGTAGCAATACGCTTTACACCCCCTCCGAGACATCAGACGCCAGCGACCGATCGTCAAAGATGGAATTCGTGTACTTCAGCAACGAATTCCCAAAGGACGACCTACACGACATCTACCGTGGCTTGCACAACCATAGCAAGCACCGGGACTTCCCCCTTCTCGCCCGATTCCTCAACGAGGCCACTGCAGCTGTCAAGGATGAAGTGCGCAGACTGCCGACAGAACTGAAGCGATTGATTCCACCTTTCGACAATCTGCTTAGCTGGGTCGAGAACAAGGAGCTCCGTGAAGGACTCCTGTGCGGCGCCATCGATGGCGTTCTGCTCATCGTTGCTCAAGTAGCATCATACATCGGGTTCGTAGATCTGGAACATCGAGAAAAATGCAATCGCTAATGTTGTGCTCCAGATATGTCGAGAGCCATCCTGAAGAGCTCCGGAACATGAGCGAGGCCAGCCTCGCCGGTCTTGGTATCGGTCTGCTTGCGTCTACAGCTATTTCGCTCTCGACTGAGCAAGCCGATCTGCCACTCGCTGGTGCCGATGCCGTTCGTCTTGCTTTCCGCATGGGTGTCCACGTTTTCGGCGTCTCTGAGAACTTGGAGGCTCGTGATCTATCCGAGAAGCCAGAGACTTGGGCTTGTGTTGTTCACAACGTCGATCCAGCTGTCGCTCAAAAAGAGCTTGATGCCATGCAGCCAGCTGGTGAGGTGCCCGAGACTGGCAAAGTCTTTATCAGCGCCATCAGCCGGACTTCTGTCACAGTCAGCGCTCCACCACAAAAGCTGAAGGCCCTTCTCAACAAGTGCGAGTTCTTTCGAAAAGCACGCTACATCGAGCTGCCCGTCTACGGCGGTCTCTGCCACGCTCCCCACATCTACAGTGCGCAAGACACCGAGAGCATCGTCCGAGGCGCTTCTCTGAATGCAAGGCGGAAAGGCCTTGAGCCAGTGGTCCCAGTCTACTCCACTAGCAGCGGACAGCCATACGCAGCCAAGACTGCTACCGAACTCTTCGAGTGCGTCGTCTCTGAACTTCTCAGGCAAGCAATCTGCTGGGACAAGGTCATTGCCGGCATTGTCGACAGTGCTAAGCGCACTGCAACCACTGAAGCCACACTCCACTGCTTCGGAAACTCCATACCTCTCAATGACCTCGACAAGGCCTTCAAGAGCGACATGCCAGAGCTCAGGGTGTCCACTAATAACCTCGTGCCATGGATCTTCCAGAATGAGCCCAGAGACACCGCTCCCCGAGGTCCTGCGCAGTCGAAACTGGCCATAACTGGAATTTCATGCAGATTTCCAGGAGGTGCAACCACCACCGAGAAATTCTGGGAGATCCTTGAGAAGGGCCTCGATGTGTCGAGGAAGATTCCAGCCGATCGATTTGATATCGAGACACACTACGATCCAACCGGCAAGGCGCTCAACAAGAGCATGACCCAGTACATGTGCCCCATCGACGAGCCCGGCTTGTTCGACGCTCCCTTCTTCAACATGTCTCCTCGCGAGGCCCAAGTTGTGGATCCACAGATGCGTCTGGCCCTCGTTACCGCCTATGAGGCCCTCGAGCGAGCTGGTTATGTCGGCAACCGCACAGCTTCGACTAAGTTGGAGCGCATCGGTACATACTATGGCCAGGCGGCGGATGACTATCGAGAAGTCAACCAGGGCCAAGAGGTCAGCACTTACTACATTCCAGGCGGCTGCAGAGCCTTCGGTCCAGGACGCATCAACTACTTCTTCAAGTTTGCAGGGCCTTCATACAGCATCGACACCGCATGCTCATCTGGACTGGCGGCCATCGAGGTGAGTGAATGGATTTTTTGATCAATGTTGTTGTTGCTCGTTGGGAGGAATTCGGAAATGCTAACATCTGGTCACAGATTGCCTGCCGGGCACTATGGAACGGAGATGTCGACACCGCCGTCACTGGCGGCATGAACATCTTGACCAACCCAGACGGGTTTGCTGGACTCAACCAAGGTCACTTCTTGTCCAAGGTAAGGGAGCGATGTCTGGAGAGCACCCCGAATTTCTAAGACCCTTGCTGACCGAGAGTTATCACTTTTTAGGGCCACAACGCCTGCAAGACCTGGGATGCTACAGCTGATGGCTACTGCCGAGCAGACGGCATCGGCTCTCTGGTCATCAAGAGACTCGAAGATGCCGAGGCCGACAACGACAACATTCTGGGTGTGATCTTGGGTGCTGGAACTAACCACTCCGCCGAGGCCGTTTCCATCACTCACCCCCATGCTGGCCACCAGGCCTACCTCTCCCGCCAAGTGCTTCGTCAAGCCGGCGTAGACCCACTGGATGTGTCATACGTCGAGCTTCATGGCACTGGCACTCAAGCTGGAGACTTCGAGGAAATGTCCGGCATCATGGATGTATACGCACCGCTCACCAAACGTCGCTCCAAGGACCAGCCTCTGCACATTGGCGCTGTAAAGTCCAATGTTGGACACGGAGAATCCGTGGCAGGAACCACTGCTTTGATCAAGGTCCTCATGATGCTTCAGAAGAACGCTATCCCAAAGCATATCGGCATCAAGACCGAGATCAACCCCAAGTTCCCCAAGGACTTCAAACAGCGCAACCTGCACATTGCATTTGAGCAGACCGCATGGCCGCAGATCCCGGGCAAGAAGCGTCTCGCAGCTATCAACAACTTTGGCGCTGCGGGAGGCAACACCACCATGGTTCTGGAAGAAGGCCCTGTGCGTGAGAAGCAACAGGCCGACCCTCGCCAGAGCCACGTTGTTGCAGTTTCTGCGAAGACGAAGGCATCTTTGACTGGCAACATTGAGCGCTTGATCGCCTATCTGGAGGCAAACCCGGCCACTGATCTCGCTGACTTGGCCTACACATCTACTGCTCGTCGCTACCAGCACACTCACCGTGTGGCGATGGCGACTTCTGACGTTGCTGAGCTTACGAAGAAGCTCACATCGAGCCTGAGCAAGGTCGACAGTATTGGGCCAGTCGGCAAGTCTGGCCCACCACAGGTCGCCTTCTCCTTCACTGGACAGGGTGCATCACACAAGTCGATGAACTTGGAGCTCTACCGCGATGTACCCACATTCCGTGAGCACATTCACCATCTGGACACCATTGCTCAGAACCAAGGCTTCCCATCATGCATTCCAGCTCTCGACGGATCCTTCCCACAAGACCACGAGCACAGCCCAGTCATCACCCAACTCGCGTTGGTCTGCACGGAGATGGCACTGGCTAAATACTGGGCCAGCCTTGGAGTCAAGCCTGACGTTGTCATTGGCCACAGCTTGGGCGAGTACGCTGCCATGCATGTAGCCGGCGTCATCACCGCCAGCGATGCCATCTTCATGGTTGGTCGCCGGGCGCAGATGCTCCAGGAGAAGTGCAAGATCCGCAGCCACACCATGATGGCGGTTCGTGCTTCGGTGGCACAGATTTCCGAGAGCTCAGGAGGCAAGCGACACACCATTGCTTGTGTCAACGGTCCATCAGACACTGTTCTGAGCGGCACCAAGGAGCAGATGAATGAGATCCAAGTACCACTCGAGGCAGCTGGCTACCGATGCATCAAGCTCGATGTCGCGTTTGCTTTCCACTCCGAACAGACTGACCCCATCCTCGATGACCTTGAGGCTGTCCTCGAGAGCGGTGTTGTCTTCCAGGAGCCGAAGATGCCATATATCTCGCCTCTCTTGGGCAAGACCATCTTCGACGGCAAGACACTGAACGCAAACTACGTCCGCCGCGCCACCCGCGAGGCTGTCAACTTCCTGCCCGCCATGCAGAACGCTATTGACATTGAGGCTGTCAGCGAAGAGACCGTGTGGGTTGAGATTGGTCCCCATCCAGTGTGCGCCGGTTTCATCAAGTCGATCGTTCCAAGCACTCAGCTTGCTATTCCATCGATCCGACGCAACGAGGACAACTGGACGACCATGTCTTCAAGCATGGCCGCTCTGCACCTTACCGGCGTTGCGCTCAGCTGGAACGAATTCCACCGTCCATTCGAGAGCAGCCTTCGCCTTCTCGACCTGCCGACATACGCATTCACGGAGAAGAACTACTGGTTGCAGTACAACGGCGATTGGTGCTTGACCAAGGGCAATACCTTCTACAGCGCGGAGAAGGAGGCTGCTAGGGCTGCAGAGCCCCAGCCGTCTGTTGGAAGCGACCTCCAGACTTCCACGGTGCAGCAGGTCATTGCGCTTGAAGTTGAGGGCAACGCTGGTGTCGTCGTGATGAAGAGCGATCTCATGCAAGGTGATCTCCTTGTTGCCGCTCACGGCCACCGCATGAACGGCTGCGGTGTGGTCACTTCGGTGAGTCAAAGTCTGTCTATCCAAACGCGTGAGAATTGTGCTTACAGTTCACAGTCCATCCATGCAGACATTGCATACACTCTTGGAAACTACCTCTACCGCAAGATCAAGCCGAAGGACAAGGTTCCAGCAATGAACATGACCGACCTTCTTGTCACCAAGGGACTTGTGGCGCAGAACAAGACCAAGTACCCCCAGGAGTTCCGTGTCACCGCTGCCACCCCCGACATCACATCCGGACAAATCATGATGTCGTGGCAGAACGTGGACGACAACGAGCCATTCGCGACCGCAACTCTTATTCTCGGGGATGCGAACGACTGGCTCAGCTCCTGGGAGTCAATGTCTCATCTCATCTGCAGCCGCATCGATTCGCTGGAGCGTATGGCTGCGGAAGGCAAGGCTAGCCGCTTCACACGCAACATGGCCTACACGCTTTTCGCAAGCAACCTCGTCGACTATGCCGACAAGTACCGCGGCATGCAATCGGTCGTGATGAGCGGACTGGAAGCTTTCGCCGACGTGGAGCTCACCACCAAGGAGAGCGGCACCTGGACCATTGCACCTTACTTCATCGATTCCGTTGCCCATCTGGCCGGGTTCGTCATGAACTGCTCCGATGCTATGGATGCTGCAAAGAACTACTGCGTAACGCCGGGCTGGAAATCTATGCGTTTCGCCAAACCACTCACTGCCGGTGCCAAGTACAGGTCGTACGTCAGGATGATTCCTACCAAGGATGATCCGACTGTCTACCTAGGCGATGTGTACATCATGCAAGACGACGAGATCATGGGTATGGTCGGCGGCATCCAATTCCGCAGCTACCCACGCATCCTACTCAACCGCTTCTTCTCCGCCCCCGACAAGGCGATGACAGAGGCCAGGGCCGGCAACGCCGCGACCGTTACTCCTCAGGTCACAATCCCTAAACCACCCTCTTCACTCAAGACTCCCGCCCCAGCCAATCCCTCTCGCCGCGACTCCGGCGTCGAAAGCAAACCCCTCCCACCTCCCCAACCCAAACAAGCACCCCCCTCCACCGACTCCGAAAACAGCACCATATCCAAAGCCCTCACCCTCATCGCCACCGAAGGCGGCCTGGAAATCTCTGATCTCGGCGACGACGTCAGCTTCGCAGACCTCGGCATCGACAGTCTGTTGTCTCTGGTGATTTCCGAAAAATTCAGATCTGAACTCGGGGTGCAGGTTAGTGGGAGCTTGGTTTTGGATTATCCTAGGATTGGCGATATGAGGAGGTGGTTGGAGGAGCATTATTGATGTATTTTGGGGGGGGGGGGGGGGGGCATGTCTTTGAGATTCAGAAGAGATACGACAGTGAATGGGGTGGGTTGAGGGGAGTTTTGGGGGATGGGGGAATCGTGGAGTATTGAGCGTTTTTGGGTTTGGGAGGGTGGACGGGGCGTTTTTTTTTTTTTTTGATAGATGATATATCATGGAATCTCATTGCAGTTCTAGATCATTCTCACAACTCTGTCACAATTTCCTGATGGATTTTGGAGTCAGCATTTGACGATTTGATTGCTGAGAGAAAAACTGTGATTCAACCTTTATACTTCCTGCAGTACCCTTGTTCATATAGCATGTCTTGAAGCAGGTCGGAGTTTGCTGCACGCTCAATTGTGTGTAAGAAGGATGTTAGGACTTGCAACTCGTGGCGGATCTATCAATGTACCTTAGAGGCCTTGATGCAGATTTATTACAAAGTCCTCAAGTCTCGTTCTGCGCAAGACTACATTCACCGGAGGGCAAGAATCAAATAACGTATTGGAAGATCAAAGGGTGTTATTTTCGATCACTTAATCGGTAATTGCAGAGACACTTCTTTATTCGTTTAATCCTACCTTAGCGAGTAGGAAGAGCATTGCTTAATTGGTCTTAGTAAGAAATCAGAGTCGATTTATTAAAGTTAATAAGGCTATTTACCGCTAATTATAGCAAGATGCTGCTAATAGATTCGATTCGATTCGAATGAATCTGATTTCATAAATCAAAGAACTAACTCCTTCTACAAGAGAGCCATCCAGACACGTGGCAACCACGAGTCTCCCGTCTTCAGCTCGTATCTATGCCTCATTAAACGGCAGGCGATCAAAACTTGCTAATAATTGGCTAACAAGACTCCTGCCGAATGTCCCAGCACGTGGATGCCACGCACAAAATCCCTCGTTTCGTTTCGTTCGGGATCGTTGAAATGTCGCGCGACTGTAGTCTCGGCAAGTTCAAGCACGTTGTCGACACGTTCCCATCCTTCGTCCGGGGCGTTTCTGGATAATGGAGATGTCGAAGAAAGGATGCTACGATCTTCAGCGCAGGGACTGCGATAAGTTCCAAACTCATGTGAGATCCACGTGTTAGCTGAATTCGACGAGACGACGTGAAGTCGATCACTTGTATCAGACTTTGTAAGCGTTGTAACCTCATGCGAGAGCTTTGACTCGTGTTTTTGTAGATCTTTTTTTTTTCGGAGTGCGATGGTTGTGTCGGCTGGCTCGGATAGCAGGTAGCCGGCCGGTTGTGAGGAGGATTGCTAGAGTACAGCTAGCTATATAGAGGGGAGAACAGATGGTGGTGATAGGTGATCGGGCGATGTCTTCAGCAGACAGTCTCTGGATAATTTCATTTCGTCGACGCCTAGAACGATGTATCGCTCGATTTGGAGTGTGGTATGCGCTTTGAGGTGTTGTAAGGCATCAACGATGCATTGATAAACATAAGCTCGGTCGCACATTCGTTCCAATCCTGCCCTGTGGCCCTTCCGAGCAAGCCCGATTCGTAGTAGGTTGTTGGGTTTGTGATCTGCAGCGCTTATCAAATCTTGCATCAGGCACCAGGCCGCCAGTCAGCTTAGCGACGGGATGGATGGTAGCTTGGGCGGTTAAGCACGGCAGGGCATCTAAGCATTCACTAATGCTTGAGTTTGTGGGGAACTGTACCACTGTTGGGGACAGTTGGTGTTACTAACAGCTATGTATGTATGTAATGAATGTTCGCGGCTGCGTTCGCTAATAACGGAAGTTGAGGGGGAGAACATCGATAATCGAGTCGACGAGTCCAGCGCCGCCCAGCGTCGATCGAGCGATGTGGATTGTAAAACTAGAAGAAATGCCCCCTATCCTGGTTGTCGGAACGGGCTATGCCGCTGTGCGATTACCCGCTAGGATACCATGCTCAGTTGTCCTTCGTTGCTTAACTAATTAAAGTTGCCTCTGTATGTAGCATGCCTGTGATTAACAGCTCCTCTTACAATGCTTGTATTGCACCTCGGTAGATCAGTGATTTCTTTGCCTACAATCTAGCAACCCATTCTTCTGTCGACTTACCGACTAGTCTATTATAATATACTAAATACTTTACTTCCTAGTCGATAGTTGCTATGCGCTGTTTAATCTGTAGTCTAGGTACAGTCTAACAGTTAACCCATCTTGGAATAGCCATACCGAAACCGCGGGCGAACAGTAGGTTGTCGGCAGATTAGCTTAACTGTCTCTATCCCTGCTCCGAACTTCCGTGTATGTAAGCATACTTTCCGGCGACCGAAGGAGTGATTCAATTTGCTGCGTCAACCACCAACAAAGCTGTACGAGCGAGTAGCCACTTGTTCCCTGCTGCGGGTATATCTTGTCGAAGGATCAGCAAGCGTGCATTCAAGCTCCACCAACCTCCGCTCCTGGCTTGCAGGATCGAGATGCCAGAAAGCCCCGCTGACCATTGAAACGAACAGCCCCTAGCAATGGATGCTAAGGAAGCATCATGGCGAATGTGTAAAAGGCAATCGAGACTTTCTGAATGCGTGAGAAGGGAGTTTCTGAGATGACAATGGAAATGCATTGGACATCCCTTCGTTGTTCATCAAAGTGTCTTTTTTATCAGAGACGGTTTCAATGGTTTAAGGCTTGCAGCGGGAAGGCTGTAAACAGACACGCCGCCAAACCTTACAATTGGCGAACGAAAACGCTGAACTATAAAGGGATTCTGCACATAAGCCAACAGATACTGCAGTAATATAAGCTACTCTTGCCAGAATGTTCAACCCATCGTTCCGAGGCCCTTAGCATTATCACTCCGACCTCAAATGCGGGTCAGAAGAGAACGGCGCATGAAGGAATGCCGCCGTCTTCACAAACTACAGAATACTCAACGTAGGACACTCAGCGACTCGGGACCCTGCATGCAGGAATGATCTACTCCACCGCCTCTGAACTTCACGCCGCTTACGCTGTGTTGGCTGAAACCTCCAAAGCACCCCTAGCGTACTTGCGTGCTGCACAAAATGTACTCCCCAAGTTTTCTCGTCAGTGAATCACGCTACAGCAGCTGAAAGGATGCTAAGCATTTCGGCACTCCTCCACGCGTCGAGCTCAGATACGCTAGAGTAGCTCAAGAATACCACGCGCTTTTTTGGAAGTGCGGTAGCTCAGCCGAACGTGTGGAGTGGTTGACTATTCATAGTTCGATGTGAATGCATATATCAACCAAGACATGGGGTGTAGATCGCGCCGCTACGCCGGCTTATAATAGTTTACCACGGCGCCTGTCCACTTTGCCTAATGCTTCATCAACGCTAGAGGATGAACGGGATGGGATCGTGGACCTCTCTCCCACGTGGCCCTGTTGAGAACTATTAGTATGACCTAGGCTGCCACACTGCATTGTTTCACTTCTTGATCAACTTCTCGATCTTCAATCATCGATCGCTTCGGCCCCCCCCCCCTCCCCCCATCATCATCATCATCGACCAAAGCCATGTCAACTACACCAATGGCAGCTCCTCCCGGAGCGGATCTCAAGCCTGTCACCTCCTCACGCGGTCGAAGCAGCACATCTGACGAGCAGAAACTACGATCAAGCTGTGAAAGCTGTGCTCAGTCAAAGCTGAAATGTTCTGGAGACAAGCCTGCTTGTGCGAGATGTGCGAAGCGTGGACTGGCCTGCAAGTATGTCATTGCGAAGCGAGGGGGCAGGAAGCCCAAAGGCTACACGAGCACGAACGACAACAACCCATCGAAGCGAAGGGAAGATAGCCACTCTCCAGCGGCTTCTCAGTGGTCATCCACGGGCCATCTGGAACAATCATACCCATATTGCGATCCTACAATCAGTGGGTCTGCTTCGCCAGCCCTGATCGCCATGTCCGACTTTTACAATCCAATGGATCAGAATTTACCGGATGCCCCAACCTCGCATAGTGATATATCCATGGATTTCGACTTCAACGACTGCTTCTCGCTCGGCTTCCCCAGCTCGAATGAGCTCTCAGATTTCTGCAACGTTGGCTCCACAGATATGTTCTCGCCCAGCCTCGATAGCAGCAGCAGCAGCAGCACTGGTCCCGAACGACAGCTCCTTTGCGATGGATTTTCGCTCACAGACGATGCAATGTCGGACCTCTTCCCACTCTCACCTCCGGAACCTCAACAGCAGATCTCCTGCACGCCGACCGATAAGAATCCACACAGCTACCAAGAGGCTTGTCTGAATGGCTCTTGCTCCTGTTTAGTCGAGGCACTCAGCCTTATGAAACAACTCGTCTCATCGCCCGCGAGAAACGGCGCAGCCTCACCGCCAAACATCCAAACCATCATCGATCGTAACGAAGCCACGATTGAGTCGGTACGAAGGATGCTGGAATGCTCGTGCTCACAGGACGATGGATACCTGCTTTCCGTGATGTCTCTCATCATCTTCCGGGTGCTGGGATGGTACGCTACCGTAGCACGCCAAACAGCTTGCGACGTCGACAGTCAACCATCACGCTCTCCGCAATCCTCAATATCTTCAGCTGGCAGCGGCTACTGTCTCGAAGGAGCAGACTCAGCACGGATGGCAGCTCAACTTGTGCTAAGCGAGATTCATCACGTCCGAAGAATCGTCCACCAGCTTTCTCTGAAGCTCAAAGCTCAAGGCGAGAAGGAGAGAAGTCGTCCTGAGACTAGAATGGAAGGCTTGGAGGCCATGGATAACGAGATGACTTTACCGCTTTCTGCTACAATGTACGATCAACTCGACGTGGATCTGAAGAAGCGGTTACGAGCTCTTTCTTGGGAGATGATAGATCGATTACGCAGGTATTGAGGTGTTGCCTGTGAGGCTTGTACAGCGCTTGCATTCGATCTATTTCTTAGCGATACAGCTTTAGAGCATAGGTATGTATACCTGTGATAATAATGCATCTTTGAGATCTATCACACTGCAGTACCCTCACGCAAAGGATTCTCTTGTCTGCGAGTGCGAGTCCGACACCCATATCGGAAGGAAGGTGAGCTTTCACACCATCAAGTTCCGCGACCTTGAACACAGCTGAGTGAGAGTGGCTAGCTCAACTCCCCCATTTCCTTCCCTAAACGAATTCGCACTTCTGGAACACATCTGTCGATCGCCAACCAATGCTTGCGCTCGTGACCGAACTCTGCAAGCATGAACTCATGGAACTGCCCGAACGCTGACACTCCAACACCTCTTTCCCACGAACGATCGACATCTCTGCATGGTGCTACGCGTGCATGTGCATGGTCTCGGAAACCACGTTGTTGCGATTGCGCTCCACCTTTCCCCTACGTTTCCCAACCCTAACCCGTCTTTCCTTTCCATACGGATGATATCTGCACCTCTTCAAAATCAACCCATGAACATCTTCCGCCGCATGAAAAGCCGCTCGTAAAGACCTCCTCCGTTGCCTCAACCACTTCGAATCCACATCTCTCATCAACAAGGCAAGAATATACTCATGATAACCGGCTTGAAGGGCAAGGTTGTTTTTCAAATGTCTCGACACAAGGCTTTCGTGTTCGTTCAGATCTTCCTGCATCGATTCGATCGTCTCGTCGTCATCATCATCATCGTCGTCTAAAAGTCTTTGCCGTTCGTTGAGAATCCCTTCGGAGTGGGCGAGTTGTTTTATGTATTCTTCTTTTTGTTTGTGAAGGGCTGAGATTTTTTGGAAGGCTTCTGTGCATTCTTGCACTCTGATATTTTCTTGGTTGCGGAAGGATGGGGTTGATGTGCGTAATACCAGAGTCATTTTGAGAGGCGGCGAGCCTGCCTGGTGGTGCTGACTGGGTATGGATCGTCTGTTGCCAGATACAGTAGTAACGGGTAGCGTAAGACGGGACTGGCTGGCTGATTCAGCAGCTGTTCTCTGCAATCGGTTCTATATGTCGATCAGCTTACGGTCGATTCGGGATCAAAGACTCATGCTCACTACGAGGGATCCATTTTGAACCAGAGCTCCCGTCGTTCGACTTGTTGATAGCCAAACAGTGTCTCCACCGTCCGTCACAGTCCGTGTCCCCGGGCCATCATTTGTCGACGGGCGTCGGAATCCGCATCCCTGTACTTCTATCGCTCGATAATCGCGTCTTCAGCGCGGGAACAAGGTTACATGAATGGTTCCGAGCAATGCGTACGCATTGAACGCTGGGAACCCGGAAATGACCCGAATCTATTCTCGCAGCCTGAGGCAGTTGCCTATTGTGTCGCGGATGCGCGGATGCGGGCTCCGAAATAGAACTACTCCTTCGTACTGTCTTGGCGGAAAACTTTAGGGAATTTAGTGTCGTATCGTCGATGGTATCGTAGAATATCGTTTCGTTCAACGAACAAGTTAACAATGAAACTATTCGATAGTTATATTTATATTTATAATATAAATATTAGTTATATATAACCTTATAGTCGATAGAGAATAAATATAGTATAGTAAATGCTTAGCTTTTTTTTTAAAAAAAAAGCAAAAAGATTATAGTAATTTTTTATCTATTAGCTATATAATTAAACTTTAATATTTTTAAATAAAATTCTACTAAAACAATTAGAAATATAGAATAGTTTAGGTTTCCTCTATATTTATAGTAGATATCTACTATATTCTTTAGAATATAGATATATATATACTTAGTAGAATATAAATTAGATATAGCGCTATTAAAAATTTTAAATTTGCCTAGAGATATATAGTTATTCTATTATATACAGTCTCTTAGAATAGGGCTCGGTACTTTAGGTACTAGGTCTATATATTACGAATTACAGTATAATATAGATTGTAAAATAGTAGGAGTTAGCGACCGTATTAGACTTAGGCTACTATAGTTACTATTTATAATAGTATTTAGTATTAAACTAATTACTTTTAATTGCACTATGCCTCTGAGCCTCGAAGTAGCGAACAGCCGGTCCTAGCGGATAACCGGTCCAATACTAGAATACAATCCTTACTATCGGATGATTCGGATTGGGCCACCGGCCACCGTCGGAATGTGCCGCAAACATATTATTATTGTGCACCCGGGGAAGTTTTTAAGAATGGCTCTGGGTGGTAGATCGAAGAGTTTGGTGGATATCGGGGCATTGCAGCAGCAGCTCGAGCATCTTTAGTTCTGTGTCAAGTCACGCATGATACCGATACCAACATGCAAGGCATGGCTTTGGTCAGCTCATCATCAGACGCCTTGCATTTTGTTATCCTATTGGATTGATTGATTGATTGATTGACTGATGATTGCAATGGGCCACGCACGGCAGCTCGAGGAATGGAGGAATGATCTGGCGTTTGCTGCGATCAATCAATATCAACAGCAATGCAAGCCATCAAGTCCACCTCCTGTCGCAGCAAACGCAACTGGCGGCTGTGGCAACGAGGCGGCGAGCAACGTAACAACTCCCGTTGGTTTCATCCAACGCCTTGCCAGCCATGTAATGTTCCAAGCGCATCACAGACCAGGACACATTGCTGACATCAAAGTAGAATCAGCTTCTCGCATGCCTCAAATGGCTGGGCGAATTCCAGGTCCTGGCGTGTATTCCTCTCAAAGGCAGCATTCATGCTCGCGATGTTGCGGATCTGACCGGCGTGCCAGAGACACAGCTATGCCGTGTCGTGCGATTAATGGCAACAGCTGGATTCCTTCATGAGCCGCGTCCTGGTCAAATCGCACACACCGTCCTGTCCGGCGCCTTCGTCACAGACTTGTCACTGCTGGATGCCGGCATGTTCCTCAGCGAAACTGCAGCGCCCGTTGCTCTCCACATGGCCACGGCGACAGAGCGTCAAAGCGATCTCCAGGCTTCAAATAGTGCGTACTCGGTCGCGTTCAACACATCACAGCCTTTCGAAGCAGCTTGCGTTGAGAGATCCAGACTACATCGTCAATGGTCCGCATACAGCCGGTGCGCTGGAGATGCGGAAGACAAGACTGTTGAGCTTTTTGGACAGCTAAATTGGCGAAGCCTTGGTAGCGCCACCATAGTCGATGTGAGTCTTCCACAATCTCAGCATCTACTGGCATTGGGAGTACTAATCGTCGTGGCAGTCGTGCGCGCAATCGACAGATCTGGTCCTGGAATTGGCGAAACTGTACCCTTCTCTTCATTTTGTGGTGCAGATGAACAATGCTGCTGCTGTGCAGCAAGAGGCGTGCCGGAGACCAGAATCAGAAGACGTCAAACGCCGCATGAAAATTCAAGAGCGCATGCCCTCGGCCCCTCAGACGGTGAAAGATGCCGCAGTATACATCCTGCGATTGCCTGCCACCTTACGACCCTCCGCTGTACAAATTCTCGCCGAGCTCAGAGCACACCTAGGAGCCCTTCGGGCGAATAGCTCCGCGACTCTTATCCTGGCAACCCCCTTACTCCCAGAACCAGGAACTCTCGATCCGGATAGCGAAGCACGAGCGCGAGTCCGAGATCTTGCGAGATTACAGTTGACGAATGAAACTGATCTCGAGCTTTCCGAATTGATAGAATTGGTGAATGGCGTCCACGATAGTAATGGCCGGTTCAGAGTCGTGAGCAAACTTCGGTCGAGGGATAGTGCTGCCACAGCGGCGTTGGGTATCAAGTATCAGGCAGTTCCAACTGCACCTTAGCTAGAAGTGAAGTTCGGGCGAAAACACCAGAATGCATTCTGTGACGAGTTTTCCTTTTCCATCTCCGTCCAGGACCCGGCTGGGATTGTCCATACGTTATCGTCTGCTCATACTTTATCGTATCTCCTTTCGCAATGGTAGATGTCTGTCGCAATGGTAGATGTCTGTCGTAATAGTCGATGTCTGTCGTAATAGAAGATGTCTATCGTAATGGTAGATGTCTTTCGCAACGGCAGATGCCTCCGTAAGTCCAAGTCACCACCGCAGATATTCTTCCTCCCAGCCACAAATCTCAGACACCGATGAGCCAGCGTTCATCGCCCTCGCTTTTTACTCCCTCTCATAACCTCGACACACCACGACGCCGCCCCATCTCTTCTCCCATCATGCCCATTTCCAGTCTCGACGTTGGTAAGGAAGAGAGTAAGGTGATGTCGGCAGATGAGGTAAAGAGGCCGCCAAGTTTTGCGGACATTGAGACCCTCCGCTTCACGGACGATTGTGCTTGACCGAGCGGACGTTCAGGACACTTGAAAGTCCGGTGGTGCCTGAGGTGGCTCGTCTTGGTCAACAACACCTTTTTTTTTTGAATCATTTACTCCGATCCTTGACACGCTCTATAGAGTAAACTTCTGGCGGGCTGATAGGTGCCTACCATGACCTCGAAGAGAATGTCTGGGCGCTCATTTCAAAAGGTCGAAAAGGGGTTCAGATTTTGACGAGGGACGCCGGAATCGAACAACGAAATGAATATCCAACTCGTTGCGTTCGGAAGCCAATGGCTAGCATTGTCATCAGATGACGCTCTCCTCACACACATCATTCCTAAACTGCATTATGCGATAAGCATCTACGCATCCTGAATTCGCTCTGGAGTCCAACCAGGTTGCAGCTGAGTCCAGTCCTGATTGAAGTCAAAGCCAGTCCGGTACGTCCTGTCCACGACAAGCTCAGCCTTGGTCAACTTAGCGCCGGCGTCAGTCATGGCCCAGATCACAAGAGCAATTTGATTGTTTCCACAATGATTAATCACGCCTGGTGGAACAGGGAATCGAGTTTGGGGACCAAAGTGAGGCAGAGATTTTCCAACTGGTGGACGCAGCGAAGATTAGTACGGGCGTGGCGTTCGATGTTCGGACTGCCAGACTTACATTGATAACCATTGACGAAAAGCTCTATACTGGCGATAGTACCACCAGCTGCTTCCAGATTGAAAGAGACAGGTGCATCGATCTCATGAGGAAAGTCCAGCGTGAAGTTGCTCACGTACCATCTCACGCCACTTTTGCTCAGGCCAACGCTTGGTTGCTCGTTGGTCCACTCTGGTCCATTTGCCTCAAATCCAGGCAAATGCCAGCCAAGCCTTGTGCCGTGCAGTCCATCTTCATTCATGGATCCTCGGACAGGATCGAGCTTCGGATTTTCATCTAACGCACTACCTCGGATTTTCCATGTACTGAAAGGCAACTCGTTGCCATCACCATCATAAAGCCAAGCACCGAGTATACCGCGGGGGTTCTCAACTCCAGCAGGCCCGGTACTGGTTTGGTCGTGGCCAGTGTAATCTGTGACGACCGTCAACATGTTTTGATCACTGAGCGTTGCATTCGAGAAGTCCAGCAAGGCAGATGCAGGGCTTGGGGAGGTTGCATTGCCAACAGTGTATCCCACGGAAATGCCATTGAGCCAAGCAGTAAATCCTGCTGCTCGACCTCCTTGTATGGTAATGTTCGCAGAGCGAGCCAGTCGCGAGGTGAAGGAGCCGCGATAGATCTTGATGCCTGCAAAGTAGCCATAATCAGAACTGAAAAGAACGGGGAGCGTAAGGGGAGCAACGGGACTACGCGTCGTCGTCTTGTTGCAAATCTTCCAGCTTGAGTCGTCGAAAGATGTAGAGAGCTCAGGCAGGGAATCTGCAGCTTTCCAAAACAGAGAAGGCAGAGAAGGTTTTGCATCGCAGCCGCGCGCTGTAGCTTTTAGAGAACCATATTCTGTCATCGTTGTGGCGAGATTTTGGTCATTCCATGAGATTAAGCCAACATCTGGGCCGGCGAAGACTTCGAGGCTAGTGGTGTTCTCGTTATCGCCGACCAGTGCTATAGTACTACCCTGAATGCTTGCGTTGCGAATGTTATAAGGCCCTAGTGCTAATATTTGATGATTCGGACTTGCAAACGGATCTGTTGATAGAGGGATGGCGTAGAAATTCCAAGCAGTCTCGGTATCCAGCAGCCAAACCGTGAGGTCGTCATCGAATCGCACTATCGTTGAGCCGGCTTTTTGCGTATAGCTGTACCGCGTGTACGTACCATGGTCATTAGCATCGCTCACCAGCTTGTTGTCACCGAAGACCTTATGCTTGGCCTTCGTGTCCAGAGTGAAGTCTGCGGTTTGACCAACGTCGAGGTACAAAACTAGCATGGTCGTATCACCCAATATTACCCACGTCAGCACATCGGCGGTGCAGAACAACATAGTACGATTGACCCCAAAATGGTAGTCTGTGGTCACAATCTTGCTCTGTCTGCCCTTCAATTCCATGCCCTTGACAGTAGCATTGCCCTCAGAAGTATTGAGATATACATCAAATGCGATTGTAGCCCTCGAGCTCGTATTAGCATTTTGCAGAACATAGAAACCAGCCTGCGTATCAGGATTGCGAAGCACCCAGGTCCAGACGTCGTTCGTGCTCACAGCATTGCCAGTGCCATTGGATTCCATCTCTGTTTTCAACAGGTCTGAGCTGACTCTTGTGAAGAACGCAATGAGTTTGGTTTGCTTGAATTTGGTCGTGACTTCCCTCTTCTCGTTCAATGGCGCACTGTAGTCATAACTGGTGTACACAACAGGTGCGGCCAGATTTCCCCAATTCGTGCCTCCGAAAGCCAGGTAGAGACTTTGCATAGTAGTCCTTTGTCCGATGTTGGTTTTGTAATACACATCGGCAAACTGCGGATCGTGCATCGCGGTACAGGAGTCGTAAAAGCTGCCGCCCCAAGGTTGAAAGTAACCAGCCTCGAACTCTGGCATGAGAGACGGCTGACTGAAGGAGTAGTTTTGGAACCACTGATAGTAGGTGCGTACTACTTTGAAACCTGCGTCGGGATTCGTGCAAGAGAGGCTACCTGGGTACGAGTCCAGACCATAGATGTTGACACTACCCCCAACATCCTGGTAGTCGGTCGACCAAGACTGAGAGCGCATCCCTTTCTCGTTAGAATAGAGAGGCACCTCGATGCCGACGTCTCGGCTTGCAGACTCCACTTGCTCCATATAAAGCACGAGGGTATTGTTGACCTCGTGGGGGATTTCCTGCAGCTCATTCTCAATCTGGTACAAGATGACAGGTCCACCCTTTGTGATCTGATTCTTGGCAATTATGCTTCCGACAGCTTTCACCCAAGGTAGCCATGCTTGGTGGTATGTCTCATCGCTGGTCCTGAGCTTCCCGAAACTCCCATCACTGCCGTAAAGTGCAAGTCCGCCTCCATTTGTTTCGGCATTGCAGTAAGGCCCAGGCCGGGCCATGACCCAAAGACCTATCTCTTTGCACATGTCAAACAGCTTCTGGATATCCTTGCCTGGACTCTCGAAGTCGAAGACACCAGGCCCAGAGGAGTGATAGCTCCAGAAGAAGTAGATTGATACTGCGTTGAGACCATTTGCCTTGAACTTTTGGAGAACGTCTCGCCACATCTCCGGAACTGGTAGACGTTCATAGTGAAACTCGCCAGCTTGGATGAAGACCCTGGATCCATTGATCATGAGGGAGTACTTGTCCCAGGTGACTGCTTTGGTAAGACCATCATCGATGCTGAAGACCAAACAGGCCACGCACAACAGCCATACCAGTACTTCTAGCATACCCATTATGCCAATGAATGTGCTTGCGGTCCAGGTCCGAGATTCTGTATAAATAAGAGCAGGTCATTGAAGACCATTGGTTGGAACGATGGGGGAGTGTGGAATATATAACACTCAGCACCTCTTTCTCTTCGCAGCAGCCTGAGTCTCAGCCATACTGGCAACACGCATGGTGTTCGACGTATTTGTGGGCGTGCTGGGCACGAGATATGCGTGCCGCCGATATAGCCTGTGGTTAGAATAACGGGAGTGAAAGGAAATTGCCCAGGTTCGGGCCTCGGGCGAATTCTTTCCGAACTTCCATTGCCATTTCGAACGCCTCGACAGAGGACACATACACTATAGGCGAGCATTCAGATTACGTCTACTTCCATTCCGCATCCGACCGCAATCCGTGTCGACCCGCGATAGCGCAAGCAAAAGCAGAAGCAAGACGAGACTTGGGAGCAAAGAGCACCCGAGTCTATCCCAATACCGTTAACCCTAAAACCCTACGCTCATAGCAAAAGCTGTGATATCTATCTTCCTCAGCCGTGATGTGCATCTCGACGCCTCATTCTCGCTCGGCTTGGGATAGGCAGAAAGCCTTCCGTCTTGTCTGGAGGATCAGGAAAGAAGACCAGTCCATACAGGGCCAATACAACTGCACAACACATCAGGACCAACGAGCTCGAGTGGGTAGCAATTCGCTTACCAGGCATAATTCCATCGACCACGAAATCCCACCTCCCCGCCGCCGCCACGGCATGCTGCGGAAGCTCCCTTTGCCTTGCCTTGTGATACTTGACCCATCCCAATTCTCGACGAGTGCTGTGTCTACCTACACTAGGTCTTGCCGACCGACCAGTAGTATCTTCGTCCAATCAACAGAAGTGTCCCAAGCAACAAACTCAGAGCAAAGGCGGATGCCAAAAGCTCTGAGAGCGAATACTCAGAGCAGGACGGGCCCGGTAATGAATTTCCATGCAACAGGGTGGTCGATGCGGGAATGCGGTAAAAGTGGAAGGTATCCTTTACGAAGCAGTGTGCCTCCCCGCAGCCTGCTGCCAGCCTCTCTGGAGGTTGGAAGGGCGATGAGACGGAAGAATTTCGTCGTGTCCCATCGAAGCACACAGCTTCGGCAACGATCAGATTTCCGCGTCCAATACAAGCTTCGCATGCGAAATGAGTCTCAAATCCGGTTTTGGCCGTGCTCCCCACCAGCTGATACTGCCGCACACCATCTGCAATGTAGAAATTCCAGTAATGCACTCCCGTAGCTCCATTCCACGACGCGTAGATGTGCACTGGATCCCGATGTGTCCGAGCATACGTCCAAACGTCGGGAGAGCGGCGAGGGGTGCCATTCCACGCTTGTAATGAGGCTCGATAAATGAGGAGCCCGTCGCCAAAAGCGACATCTAGCGTGACCTGACCTTTGTTATCACAGGTCGCTGCGTAGAACCGGAGCACAGGAGTGCATCTCCATTGGCGCGAGTCTGCAGACTGCCCATGCCACAGGACACAAGTCCATTTCTGAAGCGCCGCTGTGTGGTAGCAGTCAGGGTGACGTGGTCCAGCAGGATTTCGAGACCCTGCGATTCATTGCCGAAAACTGTGTAGCAGTCGGCTGCGTTGTCGAAGAGCGTGATGAGGGAGTGAGTTTTGTTTCCGAATACATATCGAGCGTCGTGCTGTCGACGGAACTCGGTGCCCGTGCCACGAAAAGAGGACTGCTTCCCACCGAGCTGCCACAAAATGCGGCCATCCGTGCGCGAGATCATGTAGAGGCTATCTGCGTGTCGCGCGGAGATCAGATAGTTCCCGTCGGCATCTTTGTCCACGGAGTTGACATGGAAGAAGTCGAATGCATCCAGATGTGAACGACCGCTGCCAAAGATTTCAGGCCGCTCTGCGATGGAAAGCGTTGAGTCCGTCATGTGCACATGGTCCAGCGCGTTCCACGAGAACAAGAGCGAAGCATTGGCGGAGCGTACGTCGATCTCTTGGAAGCCCGAGTCAAGCAGCCAGCCCACTCCATTCTTGAAGCCGAAGTCATGTGGGCGAGCGCGATAGACGGTGAACAGCGCCGAGCCAGACGCAGTAGTGCGGCACTCATGCATGTCTACCGGGCCGTCAACGGCACCAAATACGCTCACTTGCTCGTAGTGCCGATTCAAGACGACTCCGTGGCCGAATCCGATGGCGCGCCGCTTCTGTCCTCGAAAGAAACACAGCGCCGCTTCGTTCTCCCACACGCACGGCCGGAAATTCACAATGCTTCCGCCCATGCTGCCGCCGACTTCCGCAGTCCCGCTCCAAACAAGATTCTGCCGACAACGCTCAGTTGTTCTGCCATATCAAAAGACTCAGGCCGGACGTACGCCGCTTTGATCGAGGATTAATGGCCCAGAGTGCCCTTGCGTATCGAGATCGCTTGCCGACCCTGCCATCGGCGCTACAAAGATGAGTTCACTGCCATTCCCGCGGCGGCGAACAGAGACGTGCGGATGTATAATGTCGGGTCGCTAGGCGGAGAGCGAGGCGGGTCAATCATCTGCGCTTTTGGACGTGCTGACGAAACATACCGAAAAGTAGAGAGGAGGCGGGACGGGCATGTCTATGGCAAGACTTGGTCTGAAGTGCGCGACGGACTCTTGGAACGAAAACGATACGCTAGCAATTGACGACTACACCGTCTACACGGAAGTGACGTGACGTGGAGAGTAGCAGCGTAACTTAACACTCGAAATAAAGAAGTGGGGAAAGAAGCATGGGACCCCTAGTTCTAGAACTACCTCTCAAAGCCGCTTTCGGTGAGCGAGCTCGAAAATCCGTGCATATAGCACTTCTTGTCCTTCGATAGATGTAGCAGTAGTAGAAGAAGACAGTAGTAGTTGCTGGCAAAATAGGCCCTCAAATAGCCAAGAGGTTGGTGTAGGAGCAATGGTTCCCTAACGAAGAGGGGAACTGTCACATCCGCCCCGTGCACGGACCCATTAATACATACCACTGCTGAGGTAATCTGTCGTAATTAGTCAACACCCTACTCCTCCCCATCCGATTCATACTCATCCGCATATTGTCCGCCATAATACCCTCCATGTTCATCGGCCACATGACTATAAATCGCACCCTCAGCCTGCTTCCCGCCACAAAAAAAGCACCAGTGCGTCCCACAGTGACACTCCATATCATCGCATCCACCCACCTTCTCCGTACTCTTGCTGCAGATGCCCAATCTGCAAATCGTGGCCCGTAGCCGCCGAAACTTTGTGGCTTGCGGAGAGCCGTTTGCTCGTTACCATAATTCACTGAGCCTCTACCTTCATCCCTCGCCATGTGTGGAGGAGCATCTGCGTAATATAGGATGAGGGTCGTTGCGTCGGTCCTCATCACCTCATAAGCCTTGGCAAGACCGGTTTTGACTGCTTCAGGCCAATCATGGCCCCTAAGAGCATCCAATTTGCTAGCCATCTGAACGAGATCTGGTTCGACCTCATCGTTAGCAGGAGTGGCCCATCCTGACCACTCGAGGATTCTGTCGCCATGACAGTAATCTCTGTACGCCAGAAGGCCGACTCGATCGAAGTAGCCGGTCAAAGCGGATATTGATATGATTTGAGGGAGTGATGTGTTGAGCGAACGGAGGAAAGACGTCATGGACGTCGTATCGTCGACCAATATGAGGAGGTCATAAGCCGTGGTGTTGGGAGTAATGTTTGGTGTACAATTCCCATATATGTATTGCTGATGAAAGATGCTTGAGTCACTATCCGCCAGCATGTGACTCCATGCCGAATCTGGTCACCGATGTGAAGGTATCACATACAGTTGAACCGAAGTCATAGAAGCGGTTGGAGCGTGACGATATTGGACTTTGATGTTTGTCGTCATGTACGGAATGCTTCTGCTCTACCGTGCGTGGTAAAGATATGGAAGGCGTCTATGACTCGTAAGAGTAGAAGAAGCCGTCAAACCACCAGCCGGTTTCGGGATCAGCCGATGAGATGATTCTTGCTCCTGACCCCTGCCAGCTGAATCCATTCTCATTCCGGTGAGGGTGCTGTATTAAGTATTGTTAGGGCTGAAAACAGTAGGAATCTAAGGCGGCTCTTTCATCGCTTAACGATAAGTGAGAAGACTTCTACGCTACTTCTCCTTTTGTTCACACCTACCAAGCTAGTGCTTGCAGATGTTAGCTTTTATTCCCAGAGGAGGTGCTCCTCGACGGCTGATCGAGCTTCACGTCTGTACTTCCATGCCCTGAAAGGGGCTCGAAGGAAGTGGCCAGACTGAACATCGTGTTCCAAACGACCAAATTTCATTCAATCAAGCGCGCTAAGTCGCGAGGGACAGTCTGGAGGAGTGGTTTCTGGAGAAGCAGAGATGATAGTTTGGTGAGTGAAATGAAGTTGAACTTATCGACAAGGATTTCCGGGCTCGAATGAGAAACGGGCCACCGCCGTTACACGTGCATCAATCGCCATTGACTTCGCTCACGAACTTGTTCCTTCTCAACGACACCAAGCCACCTATTCACATTAGAAAACTTCTCAAGCAGTCCTTGAAAAGGCAGACCATCGTCCTACCGACATGGCTCTCCCACCACCCGGCACCGAAACCCTAGCCCAAGCAATCGTCGCCGAAGAAACCTCACCATCCCTCAAACGCAAAGCCGAAGACAACAGCATCGACACCAGCAATTCCAAGAAGAAACCCGCCATGAACGGAGATACAGACGCCCTCATCACATCACCCGACCCCCTCCATCCCGCCAACCACATCTGCTCCTTATGCCACAAATTCTACGGCTTTGGCTGGGTAACAGGCACAGGCGGCGGAATTTCCATAAAACATGCTGATCATGTATACCTGGCACCCTCAGGCGTGCAGAAAGAGTTGATGGAACCGAAAGATATATTTGTGATGGATTTTAGGACGAAGGAGTATTTGAGACGGCCGAAGGTAAGGTGTTCCGTTACTTCTCTCATGAAACTCTTCATTTTGATGTGTGTGCGCGCTTGTCTGGGTTGGGCATAGGTTGACGTGTCGAAACGGTAGGTCCTCAAACCCTCAGCCTGCACACCCCTCTTCATGGCCGCCTACACGCACCGTGGCGCTGGGGCATGTATCCACACACATTCCCAATGGGCAGTTCTGGTCACCCTAATTCTAGAATCCGGTGCCCAACACCACCCCTCACACGGTAAGGATGTCTTTTGCATGAAAGAAATCGAACAAATCAAAGGTATCTCGAGGGGTGGGACTGGATCTCAAGAGATTGCGGAAGGTGGAAGGAAATTGGGGAATTTGGGGTTCTATGATACGATGATGATTCCTGTGATTGAGAATACTGCGCATGAGGAGGATTTGAAGGATACACTTGAGAAAGCGATTGGGGAGTGGCCGGAGACTTGTGCGGTGCTGGTCAGGAGGCATGGGCTTTATGTTTGGGGAAAGGATGTGGCGCAGGCGAAGACGCAGTGTGAGAGTTTGGATTATTTGTTTCAGCTTGCGGTTGAGATGCATAAGCTGGGATTGAAGTGGATATGAGGATGGGATTATTGGGAGCGGAAAGTTTTGTGGACTGCGAAGGGCGTGGCCCCATGTTGCGCTGATTCGAATTCCTGAGGCCAGAAGCGCTTTGCGGGACCACTGTGATGAAGCCTGATATTTTCGCCGACCGACCACTATGGAATTCATCTCTTCATGACGAGCACACTCTCCTGGCACTCGTTTCCGATGGCATTGACTCAGATTACGCATTCACGCGGCAGCTGCGGAGAGCTCGTCAAGAAACATACCCAGCCTCAACGCTTGTCATGTTGCACTCCAACCCAGCCCCTGGCTTCATCGCTGTTGCGATATCTCCAGCAACGAACGTGAGCCGCAGATCGCTGAGGGTGGGTGATGCAGTGCCAAAGCTGGCGACGGGCAGAAGGAAAACGATAAAGTTCATTGTATTGTACCGGGTGGTTGGCGATATGCTTAGAACAAACTAGATGGACGTCACTGCGGTCAGTATGGATAATGGAGGTCAAGATGAGGCTGTAGTGGCACGCAAGATACAGTAGAGTGCGCGGCCAGAGCTGATTGTGATCCTTGGGGGGTTTCAGGCAGCAATGCCGATGTTTTGATCGGTACGTAATGCTATCAGCTAGCCATGAACCATTCAATCCGAACGCTTCTGCGACAGTAGCACGCCCTTCATGATGCCGTTTGTGGCAGGAATAAAGAAGACGAGGTGAGGTCGAATCCTTGGGCCTTGGCAGGGCAAGCGCAATCGGAGCCGAGCCGTTCACAAGCCGCCGAGGGGCAGAGTCACGGCAAGGTTCATGGAGAATATAACCGCTCACACTCCACAGCCAGACGTCAATGAAACTCACTCGTTACTTAAGAGCCTTGCACGAGGAAGTCATCCTCACGCTCCCGCCAATATGAAGGAGAAACACCTTACAGTAGTCATCAAGCTCGGTACACTTTTTGTATCGGCCCTAAAGATTCATGTGAAAGAGTGTCGGACTAATTCTCGCCCAGGCACATCCTCCATAGTCGACGAGAAGACCCACGAACCACTCCTCGCCACGCTTTCAACGATTGTTCAGACCGCAGTCAGTCTCCGCCATGACGGACACCGGGTGGTCATCTGCTCGTCAGGAGCCATTGGTATGGCCCTGCGACAGATGGATCTTGAAAGACGACCGAAGCACCTCCCACAAGTCCAGGCACTTGCAGCTATAGGACAGTGCAAGCTCATGGCCATGTGGGATCAGCTATTCATGCATATGCGGCAGCCCGTCGCTCAGATCCTCCTCACGAGAAACGACATCGCTGATCGCACGCAATACCTTAATGCTCAGAATACATTTGCAGAGTTGCTTAATATGGGTGTGATACCGATTGTAAACGAGAACGATACGCTATCAGTGCAAGAGATCAAGTTTGGTGACAACGATACCCTGAGTGCCATTACAGCTGGCATGGTATCTGCAGACTACCTGTTCTTGATGACAGATGTGGATTGCTTGTACGACAAGAATCCCAGGACAAATCCAGATGCCAAGGCGATTGAGGTGGTCGAAGACATCGCCGACCTGGCTGCCGATACTTCGAGCGCCGGAAGCTCTTTAGGAACTGGAGGCATGGGCACCAAGATCTCGGCCGCGAGACTGGCTACGGCTGCAGGTGTCACCACTGTGATTACGCGCAGCAGTAAACCTGGCAACATTGCAGCCATAGTCAGATACGTCGAAGCACAGAAGACCGAGGCGAGGGGTATGGAGGGCAGCGTGGAATTTCCAGCGAAACACAACAAGGATGAGCCCGCCCTCCAGAAAACATCAGTGGTCAACGGAACAGCAGCACCACGATTAGCAGAGCCAGGTCTGCCGCCACTCCACACACGCTTCTTGCCAGACCCGCACCCAATGCGGGATCGGTATTTCTGGCTCATGCATGGACTCGCTGCGCATGGAATCGTGTACGTCGACCAGGGTGCGCATAACGCGCTTGCATCGAAGGCTGGACTTCTGCCTGCGGGTGTCATCGACGTGGAAGGAACTTTCAATGGCCACGAATGCGTCTTGCTTAAGGTACTACCTTCGAGAAATGCTCCACTTAGCGAAGCCGAGGACATTGGCAAGGCGATTGTGAATTACTCTGCTGTCGAGATCAAGCGGATACGAGGGGTACGGAGCAGTCAGATCGCGGACATTATTGGTTACGCGGACTCGGAATACATCGCATGGAGAGATAGCGTGGCGTTATACAAGCAGGAGCTGAGTCGACCTGTGACGCCGATGGTTGATGATATCAAACGTTTGAGCATAGGGAGGCTGAGCCACTATGTGGATGTATGAGGCATGTCTGGGAGCTCGTTTGCCCCGCTGGAAAAGTAATGTTATAGATCGCGAGCACTGTCGCTAAAGCAGAGCGCATATCGTTGCATTCAACCGCACTGGACGCGTAGAGCCGAGACTGGGCTTTATCAATAAGCCACATGGGCATGGATATCAACACATACAATGCAAATCAAAATCGAAAGCAGAAAGCAGAAAGCTTGTTCTGGACGATCACTAGGCTGTCACGAAATGTGAGTGACTTCCAAAGTCTGGGGCTTCTGTATGAGGAGTGAAGAAGCTGAACAAAGCCGCATTGAGCATCATTCGGGCGTTGGCTTGGCTTCAATTCAAGCATGCTGCTGCTGCTATTGCGATACCCAGTGTCGGCCTTGATTATGGGAGATCCTGAGCTTGCTTTTCAACGCGCACAGCCCAGCTCTCCGACGACGAGAAGCACGCCAGAAGATGGCTGAAGGCATGCAAGGACATTTTCGTGGTCAAGTCTACCATATATCCTCTGTAGGCATCGATATTCTGGAATTGATGCCCACGCGCACATGAAGCGCAGTTCCAATCACTTCGCCTGCTGTCTTGCCTCGATTTCTCTGCATCTTCTCGCCAGATCACGGATGTGCTCATCCTCACTCTCCGGACTCAATCCGTTCAGAGCCGCCTCAAGCTCGTACAGGTAGTCCTTGTTCTCACCACTTGGCCCTCTCGACTTCACGATATGTTCAGCCAGGGCTTGCGGATCCTGTGGACCAAGAAATTGAGGATTGTCGGGGAGCCCAATATAGACCAGGCATCGGATCGTGCTTCCATTGAGATTGACGTTCTCGGGAACGTGGACCTCCTGGTAGGTCGCTGACATATCTTCGGGTCGTTTGAATGGCGCATACTGTATACTATAGCCATTGATCTCGCGGATGTTCATATACTCCGTGACTGCGGGCACTTTGTCCTTGGGGATTCGATAAGCTGCTCCCCAAACTCTTGGAGGAGCTGAAGGATGCTCGTCGGTCAACGTTTCCCAGAGTTGGCGATCGATAAGAGTGCACACACGGCCTGGTGCTTCTGGGGTCCCGCGGTGGTCCTCACTATTTAGAACTTTAAGATTGTGGCGAAGAGAGTTGGAGAGTGCTCTTACCTCGCCTGCCAGAAGCGCCGAACATAGCCTTCTATGTAACCAGGCAACCTTAGATCTGCGCCGACTCATTCAGAATGACTCTACTGCGTCTTCAAGACTTGATGATTTACCATAGTGAATGGGCGGTTTCCAGACCAAACTCCTGCTCGGCCATCAGTCGGCCTGCTGGAGTCCAATGGCTTATCCATCACGGTACCCGTATCCAAATAGCCAGAGATTGCCGTCTTTATCTGTCTCAGCCATATTGAGGAATGTTCGATCAAAGATGAAATGAGAGTGAGAAACAGAAATGCCATCTGATGTCGCCATTGGAAGCCGCCAACCACATGACTCGCGCGTAAACTCTATCTGAGATTAGGTAATCGAGATTTCGGCCAAAGTTGAACAGCATACAATCTTCGCCTTCAGTCGCGTGCAGAACTCGTTTGAGTCGCAGCAACACCTTCTCCAACACCTTTCCCTTCGATATCGCCGTCCGCCCGCGACGCAGCGGCACACATCCAGCATGTCGTCGTCCAAGCAGGGCAGCGGCAATGCCGACAACAACCTCAACCAGTACAAGTACTCTGCTATGAGTAACTTGGTGCTGCAGGCCGACAGACGTTTTGTTTCGAGACGTGGCGACGATGCGACCGGCGATCCAGAGTCACTGGCTGGAAGGATTAATCTGGGCGAAATGGGCTCAAGAACATCGAGGGAAAAGGCTCCAGTCTCGGCCGCGACACAGGATCAGGCGCGCAAGAGAAAACGGACAGAGCCTGTGCAGGGTTCGCGCGCTGCTGGCATCTTGTCAAATGCGGATATGAATGTCGAAGGTCTGAAATACCGACCTCGGACGGCGGCGACCAAGGATGTTTATGACTTGATCTCTTCTGAGGTTGCCAAGAAGATGGGCGGAGACTATGGTCTGTCGATCACAGCTTCTGCGACAGATTCGATATTGGAATATCTCAAGGATCCTGGAATGAAGGACTTCGACAAGAAGAAGGAAATTGACGATATCCTTGGTATCACGACTTCGAGCAAAGAGTTCAATCAGCTGGTGAATCTGGGCAAGAAGATTACGGATTATGATGCTCAAGATGAAGATGAGGATATGAAGGATGACGAGGATGCGGACTTGGACGACCAGCAGGGTGTGGCAGTCGACTTCGGTGACGAGGACGATGACGAGAATGCTGGGCAAACATTTGAGGTCCGAGACGAAGGCGAAGACTCAGAAGACGATCTCGAGCTTGGCGCAGAAGAAGCTGCTGAAGACGGTGCAGGTCCACCTCCAGACGCTGATGGTGGAGACGAGGAAGAGGATGACGGCATGGTGATTGAAAGCCGGCCCCGGCGACGAGGAAAGGAAGACAGCGACCCAAACTTCGTACCTGCACACGAGATCGATGCATACTGGCTGCAACGGCAAATAGGGCAGATTTATGACGACGTGCATATCCAGGCCGAGAAGACGCGAGAGGCGGAAAGCATTATGTCTGGCGTGGATGAGTCTGGAGAAGAAAAGCCCTTGCGTGAGGTTGAAAATGACTTGATGGAGCTATTTGACTACGAACACCACGAACTTGTTGGCAAGCTTGTGAAGAACAGAGACAAGATCATCTGGGTCACGCGATGGCGAAAGGTGGCCGAAGACGACGCGTCGAGAGTCGCATTTGAGAAAGAGATGGTCAATGCCGGACACGCTAGCATACTGAAGGAGCTGCGAGGACGAGATGCAGCTCCAGAAAAGACTGGTCCAAAGCTCCAAGTCAAGCTTGACCCCATGCAGCTTGATGCCAAGCTGGAAGCCAAGGACGAGGATGAAGTGAAGAAGGAAGGTCTGGTCGGTGGACTCCAGCCACGGAAGACTCTGAATCTGGACGATCTGAAATTCGATCAAGGCAATCACCTCATGACCAACCAGAACGTACGATTACCGCAAGGGTCGACCAAGCGGACTTTCAAAGGCTACGAGGAAATTCATGTTCCAGCGCCGAAGCGAAAACAGATTCCTGGCGAAAAGCCTCTCATTCCCACATCTGATCTTCCATCTTGGGCGCGAACAGGATTTGGCACATCTCAATCCCTCAACCGCATTCAGACGCAATGTTACGCATCTGCATTCGAGGACGATGGTAACATGCTGATTTGCGCGCCCACTGGTTCTGGTAAAACGAACGTGGCTATGCTTACCATGCTTCGCGAGATTGGCAAGCACCGAGATCCAACTACAGGAGAGATCAACTTGGATGAGTTCAAGATCATTTACATTGCACCTTTGAAAGCTTTGGTGCAAGAGCAAGTCGGCAACTTTGGCAAGCGGCTTGAGTCGTATGGCATCACGGTTTCTGAACTCACTGGTGATCGACAGCTCACCAAACAGCAAATTGCGGAAACACAGGTCATTGTCACTACACCGGAGAAGTGGGATGTCATTACTCGCAAGGCTACCGACACCAGCTACACCAACCTGGTTCGCCTAATATGTATTGACGAGATTCATCTTCTCCATGATGATCGTGGTCCGGTCCTGGAGAGCATCGTGTCTCGAACAATCAGACGAACAGAACAAACTGGCGATCCCGTCCGTATCGTTGGTCTATCAGCTACTCTGCCTAACTACCGAGACGTAGCTACTTTCCTTCGAGTTGATCCACAGAAAGACCTCTACCACTTCGACGGCACCTTCCGACCTTGCCCTCTCAAGCAGGAGTTTATCGGCGTTACAGACAAGAAGGCTATCAAACAGCTCAAGACCATGAACGAGGTCTGCTATACCAAGGTCTTAGAGCAAGTTGGGCAGAACAAGAACCAGATGCTGATCTTCGTTCACTCAAGAAAAGAGACTGCGAAGACTGCGAAGTTCATCCGAGACAAAGCCCTTGAGGCAGATACGATTGGACAGATCATTCGGAGCGATGCGGCAAGTCGAGAGATTCTGCGAGAAGAGTCGGAGACCGTTGCCAACGCTGACCTTAAGGATGTTCTTCCCTACGGCTTTGGTATTCACCATGCTGGTATGAGCAGAGCAGATCGAACCACAGTAGAGGATCTTTTCGCATCTGGTGAGATTCAAGTCCTGGTTTGCACTGCGACACTGGCGTGGGGTGTCAATTTGCCAGCGCATACGGTCATCATCAAAGGAACGCAAATCTACTCACCCGAGAAAGGTTCCTGGGTCGAGCTCAGTCCTCAGGATGTGCTGCAAATGCTTGGCCGTGCTGGTCGTCCACAGTACGACACCTATGGAGAAGGTATCATCATCACCACACAGGCAGAGATTCAGTACTACTTGTCTCTGCTCAACCAGCAATTACCGATTGAGTCGCAATTTGTGTCGAGATTGGCAGACAATCTGAATGCTGAGATCGTGCTTGGCAATGTCCGAACTCGTGACGAAGGCGTGGAATGGCTTGGATACACTTATCTTTTCGTACGGATGCTACGTTCTCCAGCACTTTATCAAGTTGGCGCAGACTATGAAGAAGACGAAACGCTCGAACAAAAGCGCGTTGACCTCATCCACTCTGCTGCGGCGGTTCTGGAGAAAGCTAGTCTGATCAAGTATGACAAGAAGACAGGCCGCTTCCAGTCAACCGATCTTGGCCGAGTCGCAAGTCATTACTACATCACGCATGCCAGTATGTTGACTTACAACATGCATATCCAGCCATCCGTCAGCCCCATTGAGCTTTTCAGGATTTTTGCTCTCAGCGAAGAGTTCAAGTACATTCCGGTGAGACAGGATGAGAAGCTCGAATTGGCAAAGCTTCTTGGCCGAGTACCTATCCCCGTCAAGGAGACCATTGATGAGCCACATTGCAAGATCAATGTGCTTTTGCAGGCATACGTGAGCAGACTGAAGTTGGAAGGCCTAGCCCTGATGGCAGATCTTGTCTACGTTACTCAGTCTGCAGGCCGTATCTTGAGAGCCATGTTCGAAATTGCACTCAAGAAAGGCTGGTCGCAAGTGGCCAAAGATGCACTGGACCTGTGTAAAATGGCAGAGAAGCGCATGTGGCCAACAATGACACCTCTGCGGCAATTTCCAGATTGCTCGCCAGACATCATCAAGAAGGCTGAGCGAATGGACGTGCCATGGACCAGCTATTTCGACCTCGATCCACCTCGAATGGGTGAGCTTCTGGGCATGCCCAAGCAAGGACGACAAGTATGCAACCTGGTCGCCAAATTTCCCAGACTGAGTCTCCAGGCACAATGTCAGCCCATCACTCGGTCCATGCTTCGAGTTGAGCTGACGTTGACGCCGAACTTCGAGTGGGATGATTCGATCCATGGCCGCGCTGAGAGTTGGTGGATCATGGTTGAGGATTGCGATGGAGAAGATATTCTCTTTCACGACCAGTTCCTCCTGCGTAAGGAATACGCCATTGTGGAAATGAATGAGCATATCGTCGAATTCACGGTGCCCATCACCGAGCCGATGCCACCAAACTATTTCATTTCTGTCTTCAGCGACAGGTGGATGCACGCAGAGAGCAAGCTTACACTGTCCTTCCAAAAGTTGGCCCTACCCGACAAGTTCCCACCACACACGCCTCTGTTGGATATGCAGCCTTTGCCAGTGCAGGCTTTGAAGCGGGAAGATTTCGTTGGCCTTTATGAGCAGTGGCCACAATTCAATAAGATCCAGACTCAGACGTTCAACGCGCTATTCCAGTCTGACGACAACGTCTTCGTTGGTGCGCCGACTGGCAGTGGGAAGACGACTTGCGCCGAGTTCGCACTGTTGAGACACTTTACGAAGAAGGAAGCGGGCAGAGCAGTATATATTGCGCCATTCCAAGAGCAAATCGATGCGCAGCACAAGTCGTGGAAAGCCAGACTAGGCCCGATAGCTGGAGGCAAGACCGTCGTCAAGCTTACTGGTGAGACCACGGGCGATCTAAAGCTGTTGGCAGAGGGTGATCTTATCCTTGCTACGCCAGTGCAATGGGACATGATGTCTCGAGGCTGGCAAAGACGGAAAAATGTTCAGAACGTCAGCCTGATCATCGCAGACGACCTGCACATGCTCGGTGGACATCACGGCTACATCTACGAGGCAGTCATGTCAAGATCGCAGGCTATCAAAGCACAGCTTGAGAACGACCTGCGCACGATCGGACTGAGCGTGTCTCTCTCGAACGCGCGAGACATTGGCGAATGGATCGGATGCAACAAGCACACCATATTCAACTTCAGCCCGAATAACCGACCGCTGCCACTCAATCTTCACCTGCAGACCTTCAACATTCCTCACTTCCCGTCGCTCATGCTGGCTATGACCAAGCCGACGTACCAGGCTATCTTGCAGTATGCACCAGAGAAGCCAACGATCGTCTTTGTGCCAAGCAGGAAACAGGTTCGAGCTACTGCACAAGATCTCCTGGCGGCTTGTGTTGCAGACGACAATGAAGACAGATTTTTGCATGCTGAGGCAGAAGAGCTCGAGAAAATATTGGCGAAGGTCAAAGAGCGAAGCCTTGCAGAGAGCTTGGCTCATGGTATTGCTTACTACCATGAAGCTCTGTCGGATTCAGACAAGCGCATCGCTGAGCATCTATTCACGGTAGGTGCTGCGCAGGTCATGCTGGTCTCGAGGGACTGCGCTTGGGAGATCCAGAGCTTTGCTCATTTGGTGATCGTCATGGGTACACAATTCTTCGAAGGCCGAGAGCATCGATACATTGACTATCCCATCAGTGACGTGCTGCAGATGTTTGGCAAAGCTGGACGACCCTCAGAAGATAAAGACGCACGTGGAGTGCTGATGTGTCCGGACGTCAAGCGCAACTATTACAAGAAGTTTCTTGGCGAGGCACTGCCCATCGAGAGTCAGTTGCTCAGCTATATGCATGACGCATTCGTCACAGAGATCAGCACCAAGACCATAGAGTCAACGCAAGATGCCGTCGACTGGACTACTTACACATACTTCTACCGACGACTTCTGGCAAATCCAAGCTTCTACGGCTTGACAGATACTTCGCACGAAGGCCTCAGCACATACCTCTCCGAACAAGTGGAGCAGACTCTCAAAGACCTCAATGATGCCAATATCATCGATCTCGACGAGGAAGAAGACACAATCACGCCGCTTAATGCCGCCATGATTGCAGCTTACTACAACATCTCCTTCATCACGATGCAGACACTTCTGCTTTCACTCAAACGTAGCACGAAGCTGAAAGGCATCCTTGAAATCGTCACTGCCGCCACCGAATTTGAGGACGTTCAAATCAGACGGCACGACGAGCACGTCCTGCAACGCATCTACGATCGCGTCCCCGTCAAGCTTTCCGAAGCCAACTTTGAATCACCACACTTCAAAGCCTTCGTCCTCCTCCAAGCCCATTTCTCCCGCATGCAACTCCCTCTCGACCTCGCCAAAGACCAAGAAGTCATTCTCCGCAAAGTCCTCAACCTCCTCAGCGCCTGCGTCGACGTCCTCTCCTCCGAAGGCCACCTCAACGCCATGTCCGCCATGGAAATTTCTCAAATGGTCGTCCAAGCCATGTGGGACCGCGACTCCCCCCTCAAACAAATCCCACACTTCTCCGACGAAAAAATCCAAGTCTGCGAAAAATTCGGAATCAAAGACGTCGTGGAATTCCAAGACGCCATGGATCCCGAAGAAAATCCAAACCACAAATCCCTCATGTCCGCTCTCAACTTCTCTACACCCGAACTCGCCGACGCGGCGAATTTCGTCAACGAACGATACCCCAACATCGATCTCGACTTCGAACTCGAAGATCCCGATTCCATCACTTCCGGAACTCCTACATCCCTCAACATCTCTCTCACACGTCAATTAGAAGACGACGAAGAACCTAATCTCAAAGTCCACGCCCCCTTCTATCCCGCGGAGAAAACTGAGAATTTCTGGCTTGTGGTGGGAGAGGAGAGTACGAGGAGTTTGCTTGCGATCAAGAGGGTGACGGTTTTTAGGGATTTGAAGACGAAATTGGAAGTTGTGGTGCCGACGCCCGGGAAACATGAGTTGACGCTGTTTTTGATGTGTGATGGTTATGTTGGGGTTGATCAGGCTCCGACTTTTGTTGTGGAGGTTGCGGAGGGCATGGAGGAGGATGAGGATGAGGGGGATGAGGAGGGGGGTGAGTAGAATTTTGAATGTGGGTGTGGTAGAAAAGACTAGAGTGAATGGTGTGTGGTAATTCCTTTCATGATCACATTTTCCATTCATTTGGTTTTTTCCTGTGTCAATCCACGTTTTAGGTGGGCTCTTCGATTTCGAATGTTCCTCGCGCTGGCTGGTTCTCGTTACAAGCAAGCAGCAGAACTAGTTCTATCTAGGTTGGACTCAGAGAGTTATATCATCGAGATGAAGCCCAAAAGCTAATGTGCCACGACGCATGCGACACCGCCACGAGAACATTGTTTTTTTGGCAAAGAAAGTACAATCCTGCCGGGTGGAATGCCTTTGCAATCGTTTTCTTTAAAAGTCTAGGACAACAAGCCTGCCTGCGTCTGGAAATTTTGCATAAGCGGATGGTGACTCTTGTCGGAACTAATGATCCCAAGCGTATATAGTTCTAACGCAAGATGCTTGCAAGCAGCATGACAGATGAGAATAGTGTATTCATGATTAAAAAGTCCAGATCACAATACCATTTCAAATTCCCTTCCTTTCTCCCTTCACCTCACTACGAATCCGGATAATAATAAAAAGCCAAAGCAATAATAACATACCACCCCACACTCATACAGCCTTCCAAATAATTCGACGTCCCACCCCGAATCAAAAAATTCACGACCAAAACCGACAAGAAAAACACAATCGTCTCGAATAGTTGAAAGTGTAGACTCAAAGGCTTATCCATGGCCCAGGCAATGAGGACGAGTAGCGGAGTCACGAATAACGCAATTTGCATGCCGCTTCCGAGGTCTACGAGTAGAGCTAGGTTCATTTTGCCTTTCCAGGAAACGATGACGGCCGTGACGTGCTCGGCTGCGTTGCTGATGATGGGGATGAGGATGATGCCGATGAAGGTTTTGGTCATGTTTGTTTGCTCCACGATTGAATCGACGCTGTCGACTAGGAATTCAGCGCAGAAACCTACTGCGATTACCGTCAAAATCATGCAGGTGACGGCACCAACAGGACCCAGAATCTCGCCTCCTTGAGATTTGGTTTGGTTATTTCCTTCCGCTTCTTGGTGCTCGGATGCCGTATCGTTGTCTTTTTTCTCGTCAGGATCGTCGCTGAAGAGGTCGGAGTGCGAGAAGAGCTGGAAGTAAAGGTAGAAGATGTACAGGACGATGAGGACTATTGCAGTACCGCGCGAGACGTCCATCACGTCGATGGTATGGCCGGCTGGTGATTTTTGAACGTTCCAGTACAGCACAGTGGGCACGATCATTGCAGCCGATGCAAGGGTCTGCAGAGAGGACATGATGCTGGCAAGTGTTGGGTCGTATCGTGTCTCTCTATTGCGAATTCCGCCAGCAATGAAGCAGCATCCAAGCACGAGAAGGATGTTGACAAGCACAGAGCCGAGGATGCTAGCTTGGACGAGTCTGAACTGATCCTTTTGGAGGGCAATGACGGACACGATGAGTTCGATGGCATTGCCGAATGTAGCATTGAGTAGACCGCCAATGGCAGGTCCAACTGCTTCAGAGAGCTCTTCTGTAGCGAAGGAAAGCAACGCTGCCAAAGGAACAATGGCTGCAAAGTTTAGGACGAAGGTTGCGATCGGAGGCCAGCCCACTGCGCCCGATGCAATACCAAACGGAACTGCAAGCAAGAGCACATTGATGTAATTGTTGCTCAATACCGCCCACACCGTCCTCAAAACATGGCCTGGCTCGAAGCGTGCGAGGAAGCTTTTTGGTCGATTTTCTGGGCTGTTGGGATAGTGGTAGTCGCCAGACTCTCGACGTCCATACTGACCAGAAGTTGGAACGTGGTAAAGAAGTGCTGTCCTCTCATCACTGCTGATGCTTTCGTGTATCTGCTTTCGGCGAGCTATATCGTGACATCGTTGGCGGATTTGGGAGGCAGCTAGAGCAGTTGTGAGCAAGGTTTTCACATGATCACGTTGAGCCACTTACACATTCTGCCGATGCAATACTTCTGGTGAAGAGGGATGTGTGGTGGATGTAGAGTGGCGTCGAGAAGATATTGTGGTCGAAGTGTCAGTGCAGAGTTGACGCTGAATGACCGCATCATTCCGAAGGCCAAGCTGCGGGACTGTTTTGCCCTTGGCTTCGTTTCTTCCATCGATATCGAGACACTCCTGCGCGGCTGCGGCTATACAATACGCACGGCACGACATTGTCGTTGCAGGAACAGCGACCTGCCACTTTGAGATAGACGATCCTTGATGACGGGCAGAACAGCGAGAATGTAGCCATCATCGATGCCTGAGGCTGCTTCTTTCAGCGCTTCTTCCTGCGACGGCACACTGCTGCCACCACGGAAATATCATCGACCTTGCCGCCTTCAATGGCCAGTCCTTCTTCCACGCCTTTCTCCATGAACGGACTTGCCGCAAACGGGTCCTCCGCAATCTTCCTCGCGCTGAGCACAATTTCTTGCGCCACGAACTTCATCGCCTGTCGCAAGTCTTCACTCTTTGCATGCTCTTCCTTATTCCAGTCCGGATGCTCCTCTTTCCATTGATTCAACGCTCCAATAGCATAATCGGCGACTTCTTCTTCCCAAAGATTGTCCGTCACTCCATCACTAAGCGCAAGCACAATGTCGTCTTCCTGAATATCCACCTTGTCCAAAACCGCGTTCTTCTGCGGCGTGTCGGGACTATTCGTTCCAAGCTGCCGCGGACAGTCAAAGTAATGGTATTGCTCCTTGCTCGAGAACAATATGTCAGCCAACGCGTCATCCTTCTTCTCCGGCAATGCTCTGACCACCAAGATCTTGCAGTCTCCGAGTTGAGTTACGTATAGCACCGGGCGCTCGCCATTGTCCTTGCTATAATGCAGCAGAGCGACACTGGCCGTCGTCGTGCCATGCCACTCATTTGGCTCGCTCAGCGCTTCCTTCGTCCTCTCATACGCCTTCTCGAGGTATTTGACAGGATCCGGATCTCCTGCTCCGCCATATACGTCCTTTTCAGCCTCAAGCGCCCAGAAGTGTATGATCAGTCTGCTCCATAACGGCGCATGGCCTTTCTCCCGCTGCGCCCACTGTCCAACCCCATCGTTTGTTCCAATCAACGTCTCACTCGACAACATGGCATCGTCGCCGTTCGTTACTCCCCGGATCATATTTCCATTGTGGTCTTTGGGTCGATGGTGCGTCGACAGTGGATCGGAGAAGCTTCCGCTAGGCGGGGAGAAGAAGGGAGGAGGAAAGGGTCGGGACGGTCGCTTCGCCCAGCCTGAGTAGGCTGTCTCGAAGTAGAACGGCGACTGAGATTTGGTTTCCTCGGACTCTTTAGGAGCTGGAGTTGTAAGGCCCGCTTGTGGATCGCGCGATCGTTTGCGGTTCTGTGAGAAGCTGTCGTGCTTTGGCGCATGATTGTCAGCGGAGTTCTGTTGCGCTGCTTCCTGTCTCAACCACGACCCAGTCCATAGCGTTCGCGATTTTTTCTCGACGGATGTCCTGCTGCTGAATCGCAGGACTCGTGTAACGATGATGGGAGTACGACCAGCTGCAACTACCCGCACTGCGAGCATGCTTCCGTCCCAGCAGTGAGCTTGCACAGCCCTGCACACGGCTGTGATATCTGCATACCACTACAGTCCGTGAAGGTGACCTGCCTCGACCAGAGCTGAAGTAAAAATGTCCCAGTCCCAGAGTTTCGGGATGTGGTCAGCAAGATCTCTGGGAGAGCGTGAACTTGAACCAGGAAGACGCGCCGACGCCGGGAACGAGATCCGGTTCAGGTCTTGGCTCGATTGGTTTTATCTTTGGAAACCTACAATTACTTTGTGCCAAACTCACTTCTGAAGAGCTGTGACCAGCGAAAACACATCATGCTGTACAAGCACTGACATCGGAGCGAACGTGGACCCATCACATGCGAGCTCCGAGGCGTGCGAGCTATCACACCAAACTCTATTTCATAGCGGTGAACCAACCCATACACAAACAGTGAGAAAAGCTGTACACGGGAATTGAAAACGAAAGACTGATATCAGGCTGAAGGATTTTCTGACGCCTTCTTCGCCACGTCTCACGTTGCTGATCAGTCCGTTCTCTCGACCTCAGTAGTCGGAATTAGCATCGAAGGCCACGATACCATAAGGTTCTTTCGAGTGCGATGCTTCTTTCCGCGAATGACTGAGTCTGCATCGCCTCATAGAGTGCTCGAGCTGCACCAGAATGTGTTGTGTTGTAATCGACACGAACCTGCTCTCGTCAGGTGCTGTAAGAACGCCTTCCACAACTCCACGTGCTATTCCTGAATTTCTCCGCGGGTCTGACCAGGTTTTGGCAGTGATTGAGTTGGGGCGTCAAGCAGAAGCATAGCATATCAAAAAAAATCATGGATCAGCGTTACCTTGTACAAGCGCTGTGGGTATCGCCTTGATAGGCCTCCCTCTGCGTCCGACAAGAAAGCGGCCAGGAGGTAGCTAACATTCACATACATCTCCCATCCAGCCTCAGCCCAACGGTCTCGTGGTGCAATGGTTAGCACATCCACTGCGTGAGTACTTCGTGGGCTCTGGCCTCTCCTTTGGGAGGATTCTCGGGCAATGCCCGGATTGAGGTTCTAACTTCAATCCCCAAGTAGGTTTATTCCTACTTGCCCCACGTCGTACGGTTGTATCGCCTGATGCTGAGTGCCGCACGAAAGCGTGTGTGGGAAATCTGCGTTCGAGTCGCAGCGAGACCATTTCTTCTTTTCTTTTCTTTTTCTTTTTGCGTGCCCCGTGCTTTGATTTGGCTGAGTCTTGTGTGAAATTGGTCTCGGAGTGGCTTTCTTTTGCTGCAGAAACGTGCCTGCGCTTGCGAATTAGTATACTGTATTTATGCTCTGCGAGACCGTGAGTTCATGCTGTCGAGCTCAGTAGACGAGATGATGCAAGTATCGTGTCCCGGCTCGCCTTCACTGTATGACACGAAACTGGCTGGGAGGACCACCTGCTTGTATACCACTCATATATACAGCTCTTGCATCTCAACTCATCTCGCTCTTCGCTCTTACATGCCTAGCCTCCCACAGCAAGCAATTCGAAGAGAATCTATCGTGCCATTGATACTGGTATCCTTAAATCTAGTGTTTCGTGCCCTTTTGTTCTGCCTCCGCCTGCTTCAAAAACTCTCTGCAAAGGACGTATCAGCATTTGTGCAAACGCATTGCGTTTTTAGGCTCGCGCGCTTTTCATCGGAGGTCTGACATACTGTATGAAGTTCTCCTCATCCTTACTGCTGGCATTGATCGGGGGGCCTTGCTTTGCTTGTTCCTTCTTAGAGCCGCCCATCATGGCCCAAGTACCAGTGAACAACGTCCCAAGAGTGGCCATGGCGAGCTGTGAAGATATGTATTAGCCATCAACGTCTCCTCGGAAGTCCGCGAGCAGCGGAGTGCCAATGCTGATGTTCTGAAGCATTTCGCGGAGTCTGTCGAAGGGGTTGCGTACCACGTGCGAGCCGACCTTCTGGCCCATGACCTGGTAGTAGACGACCATTGTGACTGTGACGTGTCGAAGGTGTGGTATGGGGTCGTTTCGCGTGCTGGGGAGATGTCGTCGTCGCTGGAGTCCAATGGTGAAGTCTGAAGTCGCAGCTTCCCTTCGCCGAGCCGCATCCACTTCCGCAGGGCAGGGCATACGGAGGCCTATACGTATCAAGGGCTCAATGGAGGGCAGGGGTCGGCAAGCTCGAGATCGGCCTGATGACCTCAAATTCGACCCGAGCAACTCTCCGAAGTCCTCTACATACATTACCCGCTGTACAGAACTCTTCCGAGGACAGACTTCCAAACGCATAGACATCTCCTAGTTACCTAAACACCTCTGCCAGTCATGGCAGGTAAAGACCAGAACTCCGACCCAAACCAGCTCTCAAGCATCCCACACGAGCGCAAAGGCGATAGACCCGACTACTCACAACCTCTCCCACGTCAAAAACTGCCCCAAGAGCTCCAAGATACCCTCGACCAAGAAGACCGCTTTTGGGACGTCCTCACCTCAGGCAACGCAGGCGAAACAACCGACTCCAGCGTCCGCTATGCCGCCTACGCCTCACGCCTCCGCACAATCATGCTTTCCGCGCACCGCTACGTAGCATACACCTCAGACATAGGAGAATCCTTCCGACCGGTCGCACATCCATGGTTAGTCCGAGGAGCGTACGGCGTGAGTTGGGCATATCTCGCCGGCGATGTTTCGCATGAAGGATACAAAGCATACAAAAATAACCAGAGAATTTTACATCCTGAGACGGATGAAGAGAAAGCTGCGGTGGCGATCAGACCCGGAGGACAGCATGTTCCTGCGATAGAGGACTATAGGGCTGTGATGGTGCAGAGGGCTGTGTTTCAGGGTATTGCGAGCATGGGATTGCCGGCGTTTACGATACATAGTATTGTGAGGTATTCGGGGCGAGCGATGAAGAATGTGAAGAATGTGAGGTTAAGGACGTGGGGGCCTATTGGGTTAGGTCTGGCTGCTGTGCCAGCTTTGCCTTTTATGTTCGACAAGCCGGTGGAGGAAGCGACGGAGTGGGTGTTTCATAAGGCCTTTGAGGCGATTGGAGGACCGACTGCTGTGGGAAAGGACACACATGGACAAGGACCGGAGGTGGGGCATAAGCAGAGCGAGAAGAGTCCCAAAGACGAGATTTGAGAAGTCAATCCCAGAGAATGTTGTACAGATGTGAAGAATCGATGCATCGAAGGTGTGGCATTGCGGTAAAGCGCGGCGAAAGGAGTTTGCTTCTCTGCTCAATGAAGGGCCTTGCGAGGCACAGCTGTATATACATTTCCATACTCCATAATATCTCAGAAGGCTGAACCCCTTTATCCTTACTTGCTACTGTTGATGAGCTGTTTTAAGTACTTTCCTTGCTGGTTGCTTTTACATCGGTCGGTCTCTGAACCAAACTGTTCACGACCAGCGATGAGGCTGATGCCTGGGACGCTCGCCGGGCCAAAAAGAATTCGCTTTCACACTCCTGATCATCCTTCACAACAGTTGCACGCCTCATATCTCAACGAATATTGAAGCTACAAGAACAGCAAAAGTTTCGCTTCCCCGGACAGGATTGAACTGTCAACCTCCCGATGCTCTGCTCTTCTTGCTAGAATAACAGTCGAACGCGCTAGCCAATTGCGCCACGGAGAAGATTCATCGGTGCTATGCGATGATTGGGCTCTTCTCCAGTAAGAAGGATTTATATTAGCTGTGCGTGGTCTGTGCGGCCTTTGATCGACGACGTGGGTCATCTCCAGCTGACCAGGGAGGCCGGGAATAGGCGTCCCGTGGGTCTGAGGCGTATGAGGGAGTCTCCTGTTGTCAGGTGTTTGGTGAGAGGGACGAACATCGAACAGGATCTGTGCCGGAATGTCTTCGAAGGTCCTTCTCAAGCGATGTCTTGGCAACAACCAGATCTCCGTGGGTGGGTATCATGATTTTAAATTCCAAAGTGACTTGCACAGCCTGTGACCAGTGCAAGAACATTTGTCGTAGGTAAAACGCAACCAGCTTATTCAACCTTTCCCAGCGTGTTGCTCCTCCTCCTTCATCCTCGTCTTGAACTCTCTAGGCGTCTCAACCTCCTTCTTCTTGCTCCCGCCTATAATCTTCTTCATCACACTCGGCTCCCTCCACATCCCCACCTTCCTCTCTTTCGCCCGATTCTCAGCCTCTTCATACCTCTCCTTCTTCCCTCCAAACTCACTATACATCTTCGCCTCGTAAACCGTCGCCAACCCAGCCTTCAACATCTCCAACCCAACATCTTCCCTCCTCAATCCAAACCACTTCCTCTTATACACCGTAGCCACAACTCTGTCATACTGATCTCTCCGGTACGGCAAGACTCTCACATAACGTCCCAAAATCCTGTCTCTCAACCACTGCAATGCTTCGGGTCCATATTCTTGCCCCGGTCTCCCGAAATGCGCGTTCTCAGGCGCATCAATACCTGCGATGCGAATAGACAACGTCTGATCTTTCAACTTCTTGTCTGTCGGAATAGGTCGAAGAATGCCCCAAGCAGTCCACCTCCCTCCAGGAGCATGAAACATGCGAAAATTATCTCCGTCTCCTACGTTTGTGACTTTGCCATACAAAGAACGTTTTCGCAGCCATTCTGGTTTTAGGTGATTGACGTTTGGGATTCGACGGAGACGGGTTTTGTAGAAGCGTGATGCGGTGTAGGAGGCTATGACGGAGATGGTTGAGATTGTGATGACTTCGTTTGTGGTCCACCTTCGGCGAGATGTGTCTTTGCCATTGCCGCCGCCGAACAGAGTCATTGAAGGGTTGGGCGATGGTGAGGTTGAAAGGGAATGGAGTTGTGTTTGTGTTGATTGAGTTCAGCCTCATGCCGAGGTCGAAGCAGGGGTTCTTGGTTGGCAAGGTGGAGCGTAGGGAGGAATCTTCTCAAGCTCTTTCGACACATTATTTAATCAATTGCCATTGTCAGGTTCATGACTTGAATTCCACGCTGCTTGTGAGAGCAGGCGGGTTGCCCATCGAAACAGAGAACCAAAGTCCTTCTAGTAGCCGAAGGCAAGCTTAAGCATTCAGCTCGGTGGTGGAGTGCGATGTCGAGCACCCTCAACGTGCACAACGCTGGATTAGCCTGGAGGCAGTTGCATACGGGGTTCGATAATATCACGCTTCAGAAGCTCCCGCCCTTTGCACGGTCCCTCGTAGGTCACCACATTCGACACATCGTGTTGCCCGCCTTCCAGTCAACACTCGCCTAATGAGGTCGGTCTCGGCATTGTCGTACCTCATACGGACTTCAGCTTCTTTACGACCGCAAGCTCCGAGATTCATAACCAGACGAGTCTTCGTAGCTTCTCAATCAAGACCATCCGACCAGAAGCTGAACGCGGACCAATAGTCAGGACCAACATGGCACAGTATGTACCAGATGGAACCTTATTCAAAGGGCTCGAAGGCAAGGTTGTCGTCCTCACAGGTTAGGATCATCTTCCTCCTTGGGATCGATAAACATATCTGACATGGACAGGCGGTTCTACTGGAATCGGAGCAGCTGTCACACGAATCCTCGCAAATCACGGCGCCAAGGTTGTTTTCGGCGACATCAATGTGGCGGCAGCAGAATCACTCACTAAAGAGCTGGACTCTGTAACTTTCTTCAAGTGCGATGTTGTCAACTACGATGACTTGTACAGCCTCTTCAAAGCAGCACACGATCAGTATGGCCGGATCGATCATGCAATATCCTGTGCCGGCATCTTTGAGCAGGGAAATTGGTTTGACCCGAAGCTGACCATCGACTCCGTGAAATCCGATCCGGGCAATTCCAGAGTTCTGGATGTAAACGTTCTCGGGACGCTACATTTCTCACGTATCGCTGCAGTTTTTCTCAGAGAAAGGCTTCGGAAAGGCGAGAACAGGAGTTTGACACTCCTATCGAGCGTGAACGCTTTTCGCGAAAGCCCAGGATTGTTCATCTACCAGGTAAGTCAGCACAACTAGTAGCACTGGACTGTACTAACCACCTGTCAGACCTCAAAACATGCCATTCATGGTCTTCTTCGCTCATCGAGGAAGACTTTATTCGAGAGAGATGGGATTCGAGTAAATGCAGTCTGTCCGGGACTCACCGACACCGCGATGACGACTGGCATCATTGCAGCTTTTCGAGACAATGGTCTTTACTGGCAAAGTGCTGAAAGTGTCGCGAAAATCATCGTCGGTATCATGTCCGAATCCATGAACGGCAAGGCATACTACATCGAAGGCGGCGATGGCTGGGAATTCGAAGACAGCTTCTATGCCATGCAACCCCAGTGGCTTGGAGAAGAACCGACAAGACGTATGCGAGTCAATGCTGAAGCGGTGAATAAGGTCAGATTGCTCTCAATTGTCGATGACTACCTATGCGTCGATTTGTATACTGACTCAGTCTTACAGGGTATCTTGGCGCCAAAGGAGTGAGATAGGTAATGAAAATACCATCAATCGACATTGTTTCGCGAAGGAAAGACGCTCGAAGTGAACGACCCCAAATGACACATTCTTGTTACCCCCATTCAACTCTGTCGCACTCCGCTTCCTTCTACTTTCGGTATGGTAAGATCAGCGGCAACCACTCCGATTTGCTGCTCACTCTCGGCAGCTAATGGAATGGCATCTCGAGTCGCCCTCGCCGCCCGCCGGGCGATCACGCTTCACACTTCTCCCACACTCCGTTCAAGCTTTGATGACAAGCCTTGCAAGCGTGGCCGTGGACCTGGTCATCAAAGTCGGTGTAATCATGTGAAGTGTCTTGGCATTGTTTCATGCGCATACGTCCCAACAACCTGCACAGGCAACTACACCCAAGGTCGCGACGAAGTCTACTACACACCGTCCCATACACCTACGACCAAGTCCTCCCCATAATCGGAAACTACAGCAATCTCACCTGGTCCGGCTCACCCGAAAACTCCGTCTCGCTAAACGGCACCGACAACACAGGCGGAACAGCACGCACCTACGATCTCGCAGGCGCACACGTCATCGAGACGATTCTGGAGTACTCCAAACCTCCTTCCCCGGGTCCATACAATGAAATCCACAACACAGCTCTCCTCACAGTTCCCTCCGCCGGGAACGTAAGTTTCTACATCCCTTTCGACGGAACGGCAGTGACTAGCGTTTGTGATGGGAACGCCAGTAGTTTAAATTTCACGGCTGTGTATTGTGCGACCAATGCGACGGCTGCGGGACAGTTGTTGCATATGTTACATTTTGGGGATGCTGTTACGGTGGGGAAGTTCTTGGGTGGGAAGAATTTTTACGAGTTGTGACGCGCTGGGGAGTAATGCGACGGGTCCTGCGAATCAGACTGCTAGTTTCCCGGATGCGGCGAATGGTACGATGGGTGAGGGAGCGACGGGGACGATGTCGGGTGGTGGAGCTTCGACGTCGAGTTCTGCGGCTGGTGAGGTGAGGTATCGTGGTGGATTGACTGGAGGTGCGATCTTGATCATCGCAGGTTTGATGGCGATCGCCTTTAAACGATCTGAGATAGCGCTTTGGATTATATATCGACAGGATCAGCTGCCCAGCATGCTTGCTTTGGGAGCTCTCATTTCGTGCGCTGGTAGACAACTTCAAGCCGAAGTTCATTCTGCAACATATGGTATCGGACTCAGTCACAGTGGACTCTGTGGAAAATCAGTGATGTCGGGATTCGGGAAAAAGCAGATCATGGAAGTGCAGTCTTCACATGCATGATATCTGAGTAGCAAGTACCCCGATATCGAGTTTCGAATTCCAGCGAATAATGCGAAGCTCAGTTCGCCTGGGAAATATACCTCGAGATAGGAGGCCCAGAAGCTGCCTTTGGAGTCAGGAGGCAGATAATAGACATCCAAACTTAGCAGCAGGACGACCTGAGTAAAGAATATTTCCTGACTAGGAGCAACATTCTCGATATCTCAGCAATAGCATGAATAGACGATACTATCACGCCGTCTACTACAGACCTCGCCAAGCAACCTTAGCGACATGATCGGCCTTCTTCCGGGTAGCTTTGACCAGACCAAGATACTTCAATTCCGCCAAAGCGCGCTGGAACAAAGCCATCGCAGCCGCTTCATCCTCCACACTGTCGCCAATGACAGCCTCGAATGCTTGCCAAAGATCGCTTGCGTTGATAATGTTGCCGGATTCGAGGTACAATTGGTACAAGACAGCAGTCGCGGGCTGTGTTGCTGCTAGAGTGGCTTCCTCGGCCCCTTCACCTGGTGCGCAGCATTTGCAATCCAGGTAGTCGTGTGGTGCGGCTAGAGCGCGCTCGACCGCGTGTCTAGGCCTGGGTGTGAAGACTTCGCGGTAGGGTGATCGGAAGTCGTACAAGAAGACTTCGTTCATAGGTAGTTCTCTGGGGTTTATGAGAAGCTCCGCGAAATGGGATTCCAGTGTATCTGCGAAGCGACGGACAAGTGTCGTGTATGCAGCATCTTGCTTTGAAAGTGTAGACTTTTGCTTGCTGAGCTCGACTTTCTGTGCGACCACTGTTGTGCGTAAGGTAGAATTTTTCACGTCATCTTCGCTCCGCAAAGGCTGCTGTTGAGCTCCATTGTCATTCCCGACAAGTGACGCGAGCTCAGTCTCTAACGCGAGCACTACCTTGTCAAGACTCTTTGGCAATGCACTCTCTCTCACTGCAGCCATGACTTTCAAAGCTGTGTCAGAAGGTAGCTTCTTGACGGATAGCAAGAGCGAGCGCAGAAGGGGTGATCCAGCCAACTTAGCCGACATCATCTGGATGTATAGGCCTGACTTTGAGGAGACTTGTGTGTACGGCAAATGCTTCTGGATGTTCCTTATGGCTTGGCATATCATCAAAGCATTCGCGATCTTAGTTCGACCAACCTCAACACTCTGCTTTGTGAAGTCGAACAGGGCTATGTCGGAATCCAAGAGGCATCGTAACTGACCGGCTTCTCGTTGCTCGAGAAGCTCTTCTGCGTATCCACGGAATGACGGTAATATTCGGAGTGCTTTAAAGTGGTCGCTTGGAACAACGTCAAATGTGAGCTCGGAGTCGAGGAACAGCGTGGTGGCATTGGCAAAGTGTTGACTCATATAAGCATACTGAGCAGAGTCTCTCAGACTGTCAATGCCTTGGATGTAGTCGCCCTGCCTGTCGAGCATTGATGACATCAGGTTCGGTCCCAGCCAAAGTGCCGTGTCTGCAGCGGTAAGAGCGTCGAAGACCTGTTCCGTCTCGTCGATAGATACGGCAGCATCGAAGAGTCGTCCATTAAGACATCCAACAGCTTCGTTCGACAGTCTCTGTTGCAGGAATTCGACTGAGGTCGCAATGTTGAACAAGAAGGCGAAGGGGATTCGATCTTGCCAACACGCCAACAGCGTGATCAGCTCCGAGAGGAGATCATTGTCGAAGGCTTCGGTGTCCTGGAATGCAATGACGATTTGTTTCAACTGGCGCTCCTCGACATAGTCGCAAAGGATTTGAAGATCGTAATTGAGCAGCTTGGTACCTCTTCTGGATATCGTTCCTTCTTCCAGGTCATCCTCGCCTTCATCAATGGTCCTCAGAGTAGCCTTCTGAACGATTGTCTTGAGCAGGTTCTTAAGATTGGTGCCCGTACTTGATGAGATTGAGACCATCGACCGGCGCGCTTTGAACCCAGGTTGCACAGAAACTTGGGTGACGATGGAGGATGTCAATGCCGAGTTTGCACCAGCCACAACCAGAACCGTCGGAATTTTTTCTGGTCGCGTAGATTCCTCACTGTCGTCAAGAAATTGAGCGATTTCCGCTACGGTGGCAGCATTGATCACGTCAAGCTTCGCGTCGATACGCTTCTGCTGCGAGTACCACGTATTCCTATATGCGGTCCTTCGCGATTGCCAGGAGGCTTGGAGTCCTCGATCACGGGTCTTTCGACGTTTCGCCGGCCGATCAGCATCAGGTTGAAAAACATAGCATTTTTCGTACTCCATTATGTGTTGGTGCGCTCCAGTGTAGACATCTAGAAGGATAGAGTGAGAGGTCGGAGAGACGCTAGACGCGAGACGCGCAACTGCCAAGACATGCCCTACGGAGGACCAAAAGTCCGTCAAGTTCAAAATGCATTGCGCAGACGGGAGGACAGCGATGTGCTTTGATGTTATTCTACATGACTATCCATGCTCGTCCTCTGTCAATCCAGGACAGTCCTCCATGCTCTGATCTGCATACCGATACTTGCACCAGAAGCAGTAGTTGTACTTCTCCCGGAGATGCTTCAATATCTTGTCCAGCCGCTGCGCTATAGGCAACGCTTCATACTCGTCAAGATCAGCATCCTCTTCATCAATATCCTCTTCAACCTCTGTGCCGAACGCCAAATTGTCGTCCTCGTCCTCTTCGGTATAATCATCCCTCCGCGACAAGCTTTGGTCAAGATCGTAGCGCATGCGGCGCTCGCGTTCTTTCTCCAGCCTAGACTTTGCGAGAGGCCGCCAGAAGAGTGTGATGGACGACAATGGCGCATTCTTCCTGTCATTACTCGGCGCTGCGCCTGCCTTCCCGGCTTCAGATGTAGACAATTCGCCCTCAGGCTTCGCGTCCGTCTCAAAGCCCTCAAGTATCCGCATTGCTGACCACCACTGTCCCTCCTTGCGCTTCTCCTCTGCTTCCAGCCGATTTCGCTCTCGGTAGTCATCCGCATCAAGCTTGATCTTCTTCTCTTGAACGCCCAGAGCTTCAGCCGCCTCTCGAAGCTTGCGCTTTTTATCGCTCTCCATGCCGATTCCACCGCGGTCTTCTTTGATATTTACCTCGATCGGCCGGGTTCTTGCGTCTGCGGTCTTGCCGAGCGCACCGCCTTTGAAACCCATTTTGGCCATCATTTGAGCTCCTTTGTTGGAGCTGTCTATTTCAGTAGCAAGAGCATTCTCGAGCCGCTGCCTGTCCTCTTCTTTGCGCTCGGCTTTCGATTTTACCTTGCCGCGCTCAGCAGCCTCCTTCTTCAGGCGCGCTGTCCGTTGCAACGACGTCTCCTTCTTTGCAGGCGCGTTGTCGAAGGTCATCGAGAGGTAGTCATCTTCTTCCTCATCGCCGGCCATGATCGCGCGTGTGACGGTGTCTCCGGCTGATTGCGGTTGTAGATATTCAGCAACCCTTCAGCCCGTACCAAGGGGAGAACTCCGTTCTACGCCTGGGGCGCTGAATTCGCAATTGTTAGGCCATATGTGAGAGGCATGTTATCGGCTCTGGTGAAGCCAGGGTCTGATCCTCAGGCACGGCTTGGCGCCAACCTACAGTAACATCCCAACTATCCTATCCTATCCTACCTCCATCGCCCCGCTTACGAGCTCGTATCTATGACCGTCTTCACCATCTGAACAGCCTCGGGTCTACCGATATAGATTAGTAGAGTCAGCTCTGCCGTGGAGAAGGGAAGCAAGACAGATACGGAGAGCCACAAGGGACGCAGCAATTCCGCCTACAATACGACTTCGCCGCGCGGTTGCGATGTCAGCAAAATGCCACCGACCCTGACTCCAGGCTCAATCGACAAGATGATGACGAAGCAAAAAGAAAGAGCGAGATCCAAAATTGGTCGGGATTGAACATCGGCCTCGCTTTTTAGCAACCATTTCGGTGTCCGACCATTCCCAGAAGACCAAAAAAATGAAGATAATTTACTTCAATTAGAACTAGTGGGCAAGGTGGATACCGGGCTCAATGCCAGATCGGCATTGGCAAGGAAGCTTCCAGCCATGTGAGATGGGATCATGATGGCCAGGAAATGCAAATGCAAGGAGAAATAAGTAGGTAAGCAACTCCGCACGATCTCTTCAGTGTCCATCTCGTCGATTCTCCTACCTCAATTCATCCCACCCAGCAGCAACCATGGCACCGAAAATCGCTATCGTCTTTGTGAGTATCCATCCTCATAGCTCTGCAGACCTCAATAATGCGTATGCTGACAACCGCCACCAGTACTCCACCTGGGGCCACGTCCAACAGCTCGCTGAGGCCGAGGCCGAGGGCATCAAGGCCGCTGGCGGCACTGTCGACTTGTACCGTGTGCCAGAGACTCTCCCACAAGAAGTCTTGACCAAAATGTACGCTCCAGAGAAGGACAGCAAGATCCCAACCCTCGAGAGTCCATCCCAGCTCGAGCAGTACGATGCTTTCCTCTTCGGAATCCCCACCCGATACGGAAATTTCCCGGCTCAATGGAAAGCTTTCTGGGACTCGACTGGAGGTCAATGGCAGAGTGGAGCCTTTTGGGGTAAGAACGAGACTTTGAGAAGAGCACGCCCCTGATCTCTAGGGGAAGATTTTTGGCTGACGTTCAAGTTCAGGCAAGTACGCGGGTCTCTTCGTCTCGACCGCGACTCTAGGTGGAGGGCAGGAATCCACAGCTTTGAACGCCATGAGCACCCTCACTCACCACGGCTTCATCTTCGTGCCCCTCGGCTACAAAACCACCTTCGCGCTCCAAGCCGACCTTTCAGAAGTGCGTGGCGGTAGCCCTTGGGGAGCAGGAACCTTTTCTGCTTCTGACGGCTCTCGTCAGCCCTCGAAGAAGGAGCTTGAGCTCGCTACTGCTCAAGGCAAGGCTTTCTATGAGGCTGTCGCTAAGGTCAACTTCGCGTGACTAGATGGCAGTAAGAAAGAAACACAAGGCGCAGCGAGTGGTGGACAAGAAAATGGAACTACAACAGCAACGGCGGTGGATAGTAAGAAGCCGACAACAAGTTCCTCTGCGCCTCAAGCACAAAATGGCAAGGATGAGAGTAGCAAGGGACCTTGCGGCTTGCCTTTCAAATGCACGGTTGCTTAGAAGAAGAAGAAGAAGATGTCGTTACGAGATACCACATAATTCACGAATTGATTATCTTTGTATTCCTCTCCTAACTCGAGGCGAAAGAAATGCATGCAAGCATGCCTTGCTCCGCTGCGGTGGTATCCTGGCTATGTCCTGTCCTACTATGTCCTGTCCTACTATGTCCTGTCCATCCAAACCTCCCAACATCTATCATCTATCATATCCCAGAATTCTATCCGTGATCATAAACATCATTAAATCAAACACTCATGGTCACCCCATGCATATTCCCATTCATCTGCTCCTCCTCACCCCACCCCTCAACCTCAACCTCCATCCCACCCCCCTCAACCCCATTACACGTACCACCCACCACCCCTCCTCCATCCCCCTCCTCAACCCCCATCATCAAAGAAGGCCTCCCCTCCACGCCCCTCAACAGAAACCTCAACGCCCCCAAATTCTCCAACGCCCCCGAAATCCACTTCGCCTTCTTACAACTCACCGTCAACGTCCAGCGAAACTCATTCAAGCGACACGCATAAAATTTCGCCTCCTCCTTCCCGGGACTCGTCGCCATCAGCAAGGCCCCAAACGTCGCAATCAGCGAGAAATTCGCCGTCGAAGCGAAATACCAAAACGCATCGAGATGTTCGGGTTTCAGGCGATTCACAAAGTCGAGCGCGGAGATTAAACGCGTCTTCGCCGCCGAGCGGCATATGTACAGCATGTACGGGTTTGTGGTGGCCGGGTCGAGGGACTGCACGATGCGGCGGTGGATGCTGATTTCTGTGGCGAAGTAGGCCAGGTGCAGGTAGCCTTGCGGGGCGAGGTGGGAGGGGGTGAAGTTGTCGATTTTGCAGGTTTCGGGGAGCTTGGTGAACCAGTCTCTGAGTTTGATTTGCACGGGTTTGGCGCGGGCCAGGGCGAGTTGGGTTGCGTATTGGCCGGCGCGGGAGAGTTCGGTTTTGGCGGATTCGCTGTAGAATGTTGTGCAGACTTCGGACATGATTGAGGTTAGGGAGATCATTTGTATGAAGACCGTGCGGCCTCTTGATGCTTGGGAGTCGGTGTCTTCGTTGGGGGTTGGGAGAGGGTGGATTGTTTCGTCAAAGTCGTCGTCGGTTGGGATGGGGACGTTCCAGTCTGATGCATTGATGTGGGATGGTCGGCCGTGCATCAATGCGCTCCATTTGTCCTGCATGTACAGCGCCCAAGCAAGTCGTTTTCGAAGCTTTTTCTCCCAAAGAGGTATGGACCAGTCTGAGCAGTCGAGATGCAGGCCGATATCCTGACCTAGCGCAACTAGTTGAACTGTCAATGTCCACGTACTTGACTTGGCTCTCTGCAGAAGTAGCAGGCCAGCTTGGACAGCAGACATTTTCGGTCGATGCATCGCAGCTGTAAGACTTGAGATGGCGATAGACTCCAGTCTGGCTAGATCTGGTTTCGGATGTGAAGAGACGGCAGGATCTTGATCCCACCATCTCATTGCCAGCATGTACATGGCAGCCAGCAATGGAGGATTGAATTGTCGATCGCCATGCTGATATCGATCAAGAAAGGCGTGCTTCTGTATGATGGGATAGCTTGGTTGGACATTGCGGAAATATATATCGATCAAGGCTGGACCATGGGAGCCAATGACCTGCTCGACATCGGCCAGAGCACGTGACTCATCGTCAGGGACCGAGACATCAGCATCATCCTGGGTGCTGAAGTACTCGGTCCTGCTGACCTGACGAAGACTACCAAGCTGGGATTCGGTCTCGTTCTTCTCGTTGAACGAGCCTAGGCCAATAAGGCGAGCATCCAGGGCGGTCGTCTGACCAAGGTACTTGCAATGTCGATGCCGCTGCAAGCTCAGCGACTCGTCAACAACAAAAGGCTTCCTCATCGAGGGCTGGCCAGCTGACGGCGTCGGCTGGCGTTCGACTGAGATTGGCTTTGGTGGAGCAGCAGCCGGAGTGGGAGGAGTGAAGACCGGAAGCTGGTGGGAGGGGGAGGAGGGTGAACTTTTCTTCATTGCATGATCGGCTTTCGATGCATCATGCGCCTTGCGCTTCCTTGGTTGTGCGTTCTCCACAAACGTGCATTCTTGCTTGTGAAACTCGCAGAGGACGCAACGACGACCTTCCTGAAGAACGCACTTGGATTTACGTCGCCTGCAAGCATCACAGGGGCGCTCTCTTTTTGAACGGGCTTGAGACGATGAGCTTGGTTGGAGCAGTTTCAAGGCAGGTCGATTTTCTTTCCCTTCGCCAACGTGCTTCGGAGGCGACCAAGCTGCCGTGGGACGGGGTGAAGGTCGTGGGGCCAGCGAGGGCACTGCCATTGCTGTTGCCATTGTGGCGGTCCAGGAGGCGGAAAGATTGGCGCAGCGCGATAGGTGAAGATGTAGATAGGCAGGCCAGGTCACACTTGGCGGAAGGCTGTTTCCGGATGCAGATATGGGTGGTACAGGTGGCTATGCGGTGCCAGATTGGCCAGTCGACAAGCGAAAGCCTGATGGTTAGCAATGCACGAGATAGAAGTGCTTATCAGGCGAGGCGAATAACACGCAGGGCAGCCAAGAGCAACGCGAAAGCTGCGACAAATGCGCACCCTAAACGTGTTCCGCAGGTCCGCAAAGGGCGGCAATGAATATCAAATAGGCCAGGGTTCTCGGGGTCATTGCAACGACTCGAAAGCCAAGCCTCAGAAGAAGAAGATGGTCATGGACACTGGCCGTGAGATGCGGATTTCGAAACAATAATATGGATCGCTCATGCGAAGAGGACGGGCAGGCGAGGAAGTCGTCGTGTGCGGTGATATGATATAGCAGCACGACTCCAGATGCTCCCAGCGCCCAGTCAGCAAGCACCCGACTCACCTATCTCGCTCGATTTCAGGCGAGAGCACAGGAAGCGTAGGTGTGTACGTAAAACATGCAATTCAGTACCTAAGAGAAATGCTCAAAACGGCTCACACTTGCTCGAAAGAAGGCGAGAGACCAGGCACCAGATAAGGCCAAGCACCAGCCAATCACACGCGTTGGAATGTGTCGTCGTTTCCGAAATAGAGTTCGCGGAAATTGCGCAGATGCCTCAGATCGTGCCAAATGGAGCGCTGATCTTGACCTCAGCTGCTGCCATCATCTGTGCATTATTATTCCATTGACATGTGACGGACCCTGACGCCGGATTGTGGTTGTTGTCTGGAGAATATATGGAGATGCATTATTCCCACTGTGAGCTGCTCCGGCTGGTCGCCTGTTTCGCCGGGAATTGCTGATCTCAGGTCCCGTTCGGTCGTCCTGTTGTCGTGGGTCCACTTTATTTAGATAACGCTGTCCACCACCACAACAGCGGTCTGTTCGGTTGTCGTCGTTATCGTGGTGTGTTATCGTGTCCAAATAACACCTCTTGAACTGGCCAAAGTGGATACTCATTTAACCCTCGCTTCTATGCCTGAATGTAGTATAGTGCACTAAAACCATGGTTATCTGGCAAACTCGATCCTTCTGCTCAGTTGGCAAGATATCACCTGTTTCTCAGCCCTACGTGATGCCGCAAGACCGCAATAAGGAAAGGCGTGGTGGTAGTGGTGGTGGTGACTCTGCTGCTGGTGAGGAGGTGGATCCAGCGGTAGGCGCCGGCGTGCGCATGTGGAAGGTCGCTCGAAGGAATACGTTGTTGGTGATTATTATGGTGTCGCTCTTGATCCAGCAGTACGTGGAGGTTATGTCGAATGGCGTGCGGTCGGTGTATACGGACGAGAATAAGGGCGAGCGGTTTACATACGAGTTGCTGGACGGCGACGAGCAGCGCATGTATCGATACTGTCGGTTCACTCCAAGTCAGTTTCTCGAGCTGTATAGTATAATCTTTGAGGATGGCGACACGGTTGAGCGCGGCGGAAAGGAGGTACCTATATTGTCTGATGGCAAGAACATCAGTGGCATTCAGAAGCTGCTTATCTTCCTTAATGTGGTGACGAAGGCGCGTCCATATCGCGATATTGCCGAAGACTTCTACTATTCTATATCGACTGTGTCGGAGATAGTCTACGAAGTGCTAGAAGCGCTCTTGCTACTGCACAAGAAGCTAGTTAAACCAGCGAGAGCGGAAGACTCGCTAGCGATAAAGCGACGAGGAGGCAAATATTGGCCGTTCTTTAAGGACTGCGTCGGCGCACTCGATGGCACCAAAATACCGGCCTTTGTTGGAACCGAAGAACAGCATCGTTTCCGCGACTATAAGGGTGCTGTATCGCAGAATGTGCTAGCAGTGGTTAACTTTGACCGCCAGTTTACATTCGTTCTACCTAGATGGGAGGGCTCAGCGCACGATGGCACTGTATTAAATGATACTGTCTCGAGGCATGGATTCGGCGCTCTAGAAGGGAAATATTATCTCGCTGACGCTGGTTATAGCAATACTGATATTACCCTCGTACCATTTCGGAGCGTCAGATACCACCTGAAGGAGCAATACGAGGCTCTCGATAAGCCACAGAATGAGTACGAGCTGTTTAACCTGCGGCATTCGTCTCTTCGTAACGTTGTCGAGCGGACCTTTGGTATTCTTAAACGACGGTTTAAGATCTTCCAAACAGCGCCGGAGTTTGACTATATTACACAGGTTAAACTGGTGTACGTGTGTACTGCGCTCCATAACTTCCTAACTGAGAAGGGCAGTTTATACTAAAAGAAGATGGCTCTGCAACGCGATGAGACCTGCCATTTTGATAGACGAGGGCCTAGTGTCGATAGAATGGATATTAACCGCGAGGTTAACGAGATGGAGGCCTTTAGAGACTCAATAAGCGAGGATATGTTCCTTAAATATCGAGGATATGTAATGGTAAATGGTGACAATAAATACGAGAGCGAATAGATAGGTAAATAGGAGGACGGGGACACGGTGGTATATAGTAAATAGTACTAAAATCTAGCCTCTATCCTCTGCTTGCCCTATTCGTTGCCCTTCGTTGTTATCTCGTCGGTTACCTCGAAATACTATGCGTCCATTCTCGCTTAAAAGTTGAATAGTCTTGGCGTTTTGGTATAGATCTAAGAGAGGACGAAGTAGTCTAAGCAGAGCACGAAGCAGTAGGAGTAGAGGATTCAAAGCCCGTTTACTATAGCGTTTCCGATGGGGTCTCCTCTTCTAAACCGCTCTGCTGCTCCGCCGTTGCTCCTACGTCCTCTTCTTCATTATCTCGACCAAATATCTTTACGATAATCTCTTCAATCCACTTAACCTGCTCATCCTTAGCACTTCTAAGAAACAACGACACCTCGCCCTTGTTAATCAACTTCCTCGCCGCAGCCCTACGATATCGCATTGCCGGCTAGCGGTCCGTAAAGGCCTTCGTTCTTAAGACGAGCGCGAGTCGCTCGTAAGCGTTAGGAGGTTGTTGCGACAGCATCTTGTTGCTTTCCGCGAGTTGCTTAGCAATACTATCTATAGACGAGGACATCTGCGACGATGCTGTCTTCCGCTTCTTCTCTTTCTCTTGCCTAGTATAATTAAGGGCGGCGCGCTTCCTTAATGCTAGGGCGCGACTTCCTTCGGTATAGCTATTCTTAGAAGACTCGCTTTCCGCCGCAGAAGGTGTCGGTGATGGCGACGGTGATAGCGACGACGACCCTCTTATTAGCGCATCCACACTGAGCGCGTGCTTACTATTAGCAGCACTCTCGGAGAATAACAACCTTAGAGTCTCCTCGTTTGTGAGAGGTTTGTACCGGAATTTGCTATACTTCTTCACATTCGATAGTATAGCAAAGAACTCGTCTATTGAGGCCTTCTTAGCAACCGGCAATCCAGTCTTAGGGCACTTGCTCTATCCAGACTTAGTTATAAGCGCCATCTACAGCTTATAATCGTTCTGCAGCATGTGCTTCTTGCTATTCACCTTGTCCTTATTCACCTTCGCCCTCCGGTTATTAGGCGCGACCTTAGCGACCTTATTAACCGCTCGCTGTATAGCATTAGGCTTAAAGCTACCCTCGAGGTCCCTCTAACTATTCGAACTGCTCTATAGCAGTAACGACAACAGCGCCTATAACATGCCCTCCGTCTAACTTAACGTCGCGCTATTAGCTCGAGAAGCCGCCGATCCACTACTCCTTCGACTAGCGATATTAACACGCGGTTCTAGCGTCTGCGAGCCCGGTGATACAGGATTACCTTACGGCGTACCAGGGCGAGAATTTGGCGAAGAATGAGCCGGACTCGAAGGCGTAGGAGATGGCGAGAAAGAGTCGTTATTATAACCTGGACTTTAGCTCTAGTCGCTGGCTAAATCGAAGGGCGTAGACTCGTTGAATTGCGCTAATTGCTGCTGGAAGAGGGCATTATTAATCAACTCGTCACTAGCAATAGCCTGCTGCTAGCTATCGGACAATATATTGGATAGATCTATGGTCTTCTACGGTCCATTCTACATACATCTAAACTAGTGAAGTCTCAGCGCCACGGCTTAGTAACACCACATCCTACAGGGGCTAATAACACGACAACTTGGCAACCGAACAGACACCTGTTATGGTGGTATTATAGCGCCAATTCTAACACGATATACAGTAGAGACAACGACCGTGGAAATCCACTATAACACCAGTTATCTATACCACGACAACCGGACGACCGAACGGGACCTCATCAGAGGCTGCGAGCTGGCACAGCTTCGGCTGGCGCGTCACCGGAACCACACGCGATTGAAGCATCAACGGCAGATGAACGCTCACTCTCAATCGCTGGGAAGATGCCGATTCCGTGACGCCGCTTATGCACTGTCAAACACGTCTGGCTCTGATGTGATGATGGTGGTTCAGACGGCTGGCGAAATGATGACTTCGAGTGCATACCTGGCTGTCTGCGATTCGGCGCGACAAGAGGAAAGAGCTGAGCATTGAAATGACGCTGGCAGATGGAGTGGAGTGAGCAGTTATAAATGCATACACACTGGCACCAATGTCGTAAGATATGACCTCGATGTCGCAATGCTAAATGCTTGTGCATGTGACAGTGGAGGGGGAGGACGCATTCATACCAGGAGCTACTGACTTGCGTCAAGAAGGCAGGTTCGTTATATGTTCTGCGTCACGGGCCATACAAGGACATTGATTTCTCACATGGCTCCATAATCATGCGCTATTCGACCATCACACGAGTGAGCCACAACTGATTGCCCTTTACGCCGGACGGAGATATAAGCTTGCACAAGTTGCTGGGCAAAGCAACACTCAGCATTTGCGGCACAGTCAGGAGCAACATGTCCCATTCGAAGACGTTCAGGAAACTACGCCTTTCGCGGGTCATGACCTGCATGTTCGTCAGTATCAACAGAAGATACTACCCTTCGCATATGATCGATGTCGTCCTGGTCATACTTGCTTTCGTCCTTTTGGGGGTTTCTTTTCAAGGATCTGGATGATTCGGCGACCGCTGGAGCGATGTTAGCTGTTATAATATGTCTAGAGACAAAACGTGCTCTCCACACCTCTCATGGCCGATGGTCCCACCAGATCCATCGTCCTTGTCCCAACCTGAACCGATTGATTCTTCGCTACCCAGCCAGTCCTTGAGCTCTTTGGCAGACATGTTTACGAGCTGGTTGAACTCTCTATGCATCATCAGATATGTTCATAGCCCCATAGTGCATTGTTGAAATTTACTTGATGACAGTCCTTCAATGAGAAGTCATTAGCAGAGATGGCGGCCGCGATGAGTCCTTCTCATATACACGTAAGCTCGTGTTCCGATGATGCTGTCCAGCCCGATGCCAGGCAGAAAGCACAGAGTCCAGGTTTCATCAGGCAGAGTTGCGAGGCGTTCTCCTTGAATCAAGCGGTTTATTAGCTATGGCGTCAAAGTGGTCTCGCTGCGACAATGGCAGCCATCTCGGAATGCGCGGGGAGTTGTGTGTGACAGCGCTCTGGTTCTGCCTGGCGTGATGTGTTGTCACTCGTGGCGCGCATGCAGGTACAGCAGTTGGCCGGTTGGCAGTTGGCCGTTGGCAGCTGGTTCCTCAGGTTCAAAGGACGTCGCGAATAGAGTTCGAGGAAGCTTTGTGGGCCGAAGCCAAACCCAGTTTCCCTGCGGCCCTCATGTTGTGGGCAGGCTGCGTGCTCTGAAAGCGCAAAGCCAATGGCGTCGCTATTGGCGGCGATTGGGCTGCAATAGTGGCATCGGAAGGAAGGCAGAAGGACGCGCAGAGAATTCACGGCGACGAGGCACACGTGACACGCAGCGCACCATCTCGTTATAGCCTCCAGCCAGTCGATCGTGACAGGCGCACCCTTTAGACGCACGGACGCCTTCCTATTCAAAACTACCCCCTATCATACAGACACATCCACTTCTGTCCACCGACCTTGTCGCCTCCGTCGCGCTGTCGACGGCCAGTTGAATCTTTGCGTGTTTCTTCAATTCTTGTCATTGCTTTCTTCGCCAGCGAGCACTTTCGACCGCGAGCACTTTCGACCGCGAGCCGTGCCATATTTTCGGCCCCTCTAATCCTGCAGACACGCGTCACAACCAGCACGCCAAATCCTTTATATACTACACTTTTGCAACATCGACCGCAAGACGGTACTTCGTTCTTCTACGCCCGCCATCGTTACGAGCATCGCTATATCGACTTGCTACATACATTCTCCCGCTCAACCGCCGTTCCGGGAGCAAGACCCTTGCGAGCCATTGGAGACGCGCACGTGGAGGAAGTCAGACAGAAATAGTAATACCACCGCAGCGAGCCAAGATGCCGCTTTTCTCTCGATTTAAGAATAGGGGAGCGCAGCCGGCATCGAAGAAGACAGGCGATGCAGATACTCCCCGCCAAGTCGTTGCACAGCCGGCAAGATGGCAGGCGCGATGGGAAAGCACCACCATTGTGCCGGAGGAGATTGCGGAGCTGGTTCACTTGTGCACTGCAGAAATGAAGCTACGCGGTAGGTAAAAGCGCTGCGATTGACAGTCAAAGTGCTAACATGCGAACAGCGGAGGCCCTGGATGCTCCTTTTATGCTACTTCCATTTCGCATAGACTCTGACCCGCAGGGCGCCAGAACATTTATTCGCAATTTCTACAAATCGAATGCCGACCGATCCACCCAATACCGCGGCGAATCGCTAAAGCAAGAACTTCGTTTGACTGATTCGCTGGTCCTCTGCAGCATCATCAAGTGGTGCTGGAGCCGTATGCCAAATGGCGTGGTTTCCTGGCCGGTATATGAGGCCTTCCGCCTTGGTGAGAAGGAGGCAAGAATGGCGCGAAATGCCTTCGACACATTTATCCCCATTGGATGCGATTCAGACGCTCGGAGGAGCATCATCGTTGATTTCTATGATCTCCTTGCAGCTGTTGCGGCGCATGGCAAGAACAATGGGCTGGGAGGTCGCAAACTATCACGAATGTCTGGCTGGTGGGCTTTCGATCACTCGGATGACGGCAAAGGCTTCGAGGGCGGCTACAAATCTTGGACGAGCGCGGCAGATGCGTCGAGCCATCTATTCTTTGCGTACTTGCGATCGTTATCGCCTGACACAAATCCCTCAATGAACGTCATCGAGAGGATACCTCGTTCCTTGCAGGCTTTGGTGGCCTCGACAGAATATCCACCAGAAACACCGTCTTTGCTGCAGCGTTCAACACCTCGAGTCGTCATGATGGTTGACTCGGTCTCGCCAACACCATTCTCATTGTTGCGCAGAGCAAAGCATTTCGAGTATAGGGATCAAGATCAGCTCTTGCGCGTTTTTTCCTCATTCGACGATCCGCTCGACGCTTTGACTGATGAGTGCAAGCGAGTGCTGTATGCACTGTCAACTGCCAATCAATCAACGGTGGCACGATCGCGGCAAGGAATCACAAAGCCAGAGGAGTCTTGGTCAGCCTTCCAGAATCTGGGGTTCGCTGATATTGATGAGAAGGCTCTTGCAGGCAAGTCTCCAAACGGCATCAACGGACCGACGAAAACCATCGGCCAAGGTTTACGGTCAGAGCCTCGCAGTAGGACTGGGGAGCTCGGTCGACCTACTACTCCATCCTGGGCTGATTTCCTGTCCTCTGGCTTCTCCGATGACGGCAGTGCCAAATCTCCTACTTTACTCTATCCTCCTGCTCAAGTGCTTCCTCCGCTCGGAAGCAGAGCCTCTTCGCCTGGACTTTACACCGGCGATAATGAGCATCTGGCTCCCGGCGAGCTTGCGGCCATCACCAATGTGGAACTCGATGACGCATTCTGGTGGGTGTGGATGACAAGTCTGGCAGGTGAAGAGCCATCTGATCGAAAGGCTGTTTTCGGACGATGTGCTCTCATTGAGACTACGATCAACGGAGCCTGGCTTATCATGGAGGAGCAGGTTAAGGGCGCTTCTCCAGATCCAGTCGAGGTCGCCTACATTGCTCCAAAGAAGAGCCTGTTCAGCTTCACCAAGCGCGGTAGACTCGGTCGCAAGCGATCGGTTAACAAGAGCCCTACGCAACCACAACCCATGGAACGTGTGCTATCCGCGACGCCTAGCAAGACGAGCATCACCAATGAGCAGCACGCCAAGATCAAGGCGGCTGCGAGAACGTTGACTTTGACGCAGACGCAAGAGGAGACCGAGCAAGATGCAATACGTCGCGGTAGAAACGACGACGGACATTCATCAAAGACTAACAGTATGCTCACCCTGGGTCTACAAAGCGAAGCAGGGCCCGCGATGAAGTGGGCAACTTCATACGACAGGCAGGCCATTCGACAACAATATCTTGGCGACGCTTTCGCTGGCACTGGGAGATCCAGAGAAGACCTCGTGCACAAGGCATCGTCTTCGCACTTGAATGGAGGGGCATCCACAATCAAACCAGAGGTTTCCCCAGTGCCTTCAGCTGTATCGACATTCGTTCCAGAACAGCGCGAGCTTCCTCCAGCTCCTACCGAGCAGCCTTTTGCCTTGACGCCAGGAAACGAGATACCCACGGCGGTGCAAGCTCCGGCTGCCGTTGAGCCAGCAGAGCCTCTTACGACGAACGTGGAGCCCGTTCTTTCCGCGCAGCAGACCCAGCCCGGAGCGCAAAGTGCTTTGAACAAGGAGACAACGATCTCAACAGGATCTCCGAAAGCCAAGAGTAAAGTGGGCAGGAAGCCTGCGCCACAAGCTGCCGATCACCCAGCATACCGCCAGCAGAGTGTCGAAGAAGCGCATCCAACAACGCCGCCGGTGCAGAACGCAGCAGCTTTGGCCGCTGCAAAAGCAATGAAGGCTGCCAGCCCGGAATCGATGAGAAGCGACAACAAGCTTAAGAAGCAGCAGAGCCAAGGAGGCGGTCTCAAGAAATTCTTTGGCAAGAAGAAGGAGAGCAACAACCGAGGCGATTCTCTTGACATCCAGCGGCCAGGCAGCAAGGGCCTTGCACCTCCTGCTGAGACGGCCTTTGGCAGACGACTTTCGCTGATTCGCATGAAACAAGCTACATCGTCATCACCCAGGGCAAGCGAATCTCAAATGGCGGCGCGCGCAGCTGTTGAACAGAGTGCTCAAGAGTCGACGCCGTCGCCACAGCATCCGGCGACAAATCTCTCGAGGACTAGTACTCACGAGATGGAAGCAGCCGAGCACGAGTTCTCGAGATTTGATCAAGGGCCAATGGACGACATGCCTAGCGCGATTCCTGCCGAATCTGAGACCGAGCCTTCACCCCAACCAAACGAGCACAAATTCACCAGCTTTACTCCTAGCCAGCCACAGCTTCAGACACAAGCTGGCGCAGTACCGGATCCGATTCCACGTGGCAATCCAAACAATGATCTCGAGTCCGAAACAACCATCGACGACCATCATGATCCACAGGTCGTGCAGGACCGCTGGGCAACCATCCGCGAGAATGCTCACCGAAGGGCAGAGAGGCAGAGGCAGAGTGAAGATCAGAGCACGCAGAGCCGACCAAGCCATATGACTGACGATGGAGAGACCAGTGGCGAAGAAAGTGAGTAACTGACCACCGCCCAGGATGAATGCAGAGCTGACGTATGATATCACCAGCTATTGAGTCTCGTGTCGCGCGTATCAAGGCACGCGTTGCAGAACTTACGGGCAACATGGAGACCACTCGTCATTAAACCGAAGCACTGTCGTGGACGACACCAGGTCTTCACCAACGGACTGTCCACGTCGTCTTGACATCCGCATCTACACATCGAAGCGTTCCGCAACAGCACATAAATCTGCAGCGATTTCCAGCAAGCGCGCTTTCCTTCGAGGTTCGAGATACCATTTCCTTTGTCGAATGCTTGCCAGAGTTGCGATTTTGGTGCTTGAATCTTTTTGATACCACTTATCGTACTTAGTCGAATTAGTATGTGCGCAGTTAATACTAGTGTGATGTTTACAAGACTGCCTCCTAGAATAGGCATTCATCTACTTTGTATGTACATGTTTCTGCTAATTATTTGATCAGCTCGCATTCCACTTGTTTGGCTTCTGTCACTTCTGGACGCAGTGGCTGGAAACATGGTATGATCAGCCTTCGATGCACAAGTAGGCCTGCCGATGTCGGAGGTCGGCCAGCTCTCACCTTGTCAATACAGCACCTGTATAACAGGCCATCGATTCGACAAGCAACACGCTCAACAAGCTCCTCGCAACCACGACTCTCGTCTTTTCTTTGGTGGACCGACATATTGGAAAGCCATCTTCCAGGCTACATCACCCATAGAAGCCAGCATGTCAACACGAAAAGACCACTGGTCATCAAAAGCCTACACTTCGGCGGCCGGCTTCGTCCCTAAGATGACCACAAAGGTCGTCGGTTACCTGGACCCCCAACCAACCGACAAAATCCTAGACATCGGCTGCGGCGACGCCCAATTGACCGCAGAAATCGCCAAAGCCGTACCAGAAGGCAAAGTCCTCGGCGTCGACGCAAGCCAATCCTTCATCACCACCGCAAAAGAGAACCATTCCTCCATCCCCAACCTCTCCTTCATCTTACACGATGCCACAGACCTACAATCCTCTCCTCCAGAAATTTTATCCGGCGAATGGGACAAAGTCTTCTCAAATGCCGCTATGCATTGGATTTTGAAACACAAATCCACGAGATTGGAATTCTTTTCAAATATCCACCGAGCTCTGAAGCCTCATGGAAAATTCGTTTTCGAAATGGGCGGCAAAGGTAATGTGGCGGAAATCCAAGCCGCGACGATCGCCGCTCTCGTGCATGCGGGGATACCGATTCAAGAGGCTCGGGATGCGTGTCCTTGGTTTTTTCCTTCGAGTGTGTGGATGGAGAACACGTTGAGGGAGCGGGGGTTTGAGGTTGAGGTTTGTGAGACGGAGTATCGGCCTAGTGCTTTGAGTGAGAGGAATTCTGAGGGGAGTGGGGGGATTGAGGGGTGGGTTCGGTTGATGTGTGCGCAGTTTTTGGAGGTTGTGCCCGAGGGGAAGAGGGAGGCGGTTATTAGGGAGATATGTGAGGTTGTGGAGACGGTTATTACGAGGGAGGAGGATGGGGGTGGGTTTCTTGGATATGTTCGGTTGAGGGCTGTGGCGAGGAAGATGTGAGTTTTGTGGAGTAGAGGTCTAATGAAGACACGTCACGGTGTTTGGTGTCTATTACGCCTATCATGTCGGTCTCGCTCGAGTCGCCTTTCGTGTGCGAATGCTACACTGTAGTCAATGATGTTTGCGAGCGATTGGAAATTGCCAGAACTCTTCGTTTCCATACCACGACATCTGCCGTGTCAGATGTTGCTGCATGAAGCATGTAAAAATAGGCATTGGCAAGAACACCACCATCCTTCTACTTCGCCAAAATCGCATGCTTCCGTTGCCGCGACACACGGCATCGAGTCGTCACTCTCAAACAAAATGTCTGATCCGGATCGAATTCTTGAGCATTGCCCCTTTCCTGATGTCGGCCGTTCCCTTCAGCCGTACGTCAAGACTCGACAAGAAGTGGCGGCAATCAGAAATAGTCTGCAGGCCAAGCTGCCAAACTCCGCAATCAACAGTTCTTTACCGACTTCAAAAGACATCCGAGAGATAACTTCAGTTACCGGCGTCCGCAAGGCTTATCTGAGAGCATTGCAGGCCCACCAGGCAGCGCAAGCAAGATATGACTCTCTGAAAGCGGAACTGGAAGAGCTCTCCCACGCCAGCTCTTCTACTTCTGATCCTGCTGCTGATAATGGCTCGTTCATGACTGAAAGCTACATTCCCCTCATGCGCCAGCGAGAGAAGCACCGCAAGCTCAAAATCCTCCAGGCCACTCTGGCCAAAGTTGACGCTGCGGGCGGCAAGACTATCGCGGATTCTTTCGACAAAGTGACTAGGCGTCAAGTCGGAGATCTTCCCGTCCCGCCGCCCGCCGCAGCATTTGCCGAGCGTGATGCTGGAACGGAGTCGGAGTACGACCTCACTCGTCTCAAGAAGGCCATCTTAGCAGTGAGGCATCAATTGGAGGAGCATGAGGCAGCAACAGTGCAAGCTAATGGCGTCCTTCACGGGGATTTGAATCCACACGCGGATTTATACGCCCTCAAAAAAGCCCACAATGAGCTCACGGCTTGGATGGAGCAACAGCTGGCCATGATCAGTGACCTGGAAGCTCCCAAGGACGGGGACGGCGAGGCGCAAGAACATGACATGTCAAACGGCGAAGCGGAGTATGGCTTGAAAGATATCGAAAGTCTCTACGAGCAGTATCTGCATTCGAGAGAGCATCTCCTGGAGCTCGTCACCAATTCATCGAGCGCAATTCCAAGCGCACCCTCATCACCAGAAGTCATCCGACGTCCATCCACCACACCAGAACCTGAGCAAAGCCAATCAGCTTCCGAAGCTTTGCTCCCATATCTTTCACGTTTGGTCCTCATGCGACAGGCAGAAAGGGACCTGCTGCAGCAAAGTTCGAGCTCTTACCATTCTCAGGGTGCGGATCCATCATCTTCTCCCAACTGTGTGTGACGATGAAGCGTCTGGAAGCACCATTATTACCCGCTTGTGTCAATCAACACATCCCTCTTCAACAATTACGATATCCTGGGAAAGAGTGCGATAGCCGTCCCTGCCAACCTACTGCAGCTATGCTTCGATGAATGTCTCCGTCATTCTGGATGCTTTGATCTCGACTTCTTGTCATCCAAGCTGTGGGATGCTTTGCTGGAGTGATGTGGCAGCTACCAGTATGACGGAATTGTGAAGGTCTTCTACCTTAGGTCTATGTTCGTCATTAAGAATATCCCCTCGGAATTTCGGGGATCGAAGGGATTGCATTGGAACACCTGCCTATGCCAAATGCCGCTCCAAGCCACCAAGAACCGTGGAAGGCCATCTCGAGGTGTTGTGTGGCGATCGACAGTACCTGCAATGCCTAGTACACTCGCTATCGAGTAATCCACCATCTGAACACTATTACCGCGAAGGGTTCGCGTACTCGGAACTCACCGTGCTAATCAAGGATTCGGGCGACTCCTGCACGGTATTCGACATTAGCTCGTTCGTACCAGATGAAAAAGCCCTCCCCGAAATCTGAAATCCAGAAACACCGTCAACTCTTCTTCTTTTCCTCTATCGATTCGATACCGGTGGGAAAGATTTCCGTTGCTTGCTGGGTATACGTTACGTCTGTTGAGATAGATAGGGATAGGGTTGGAAGAAAATCTCGGGCAGAGCCGGAGGGGTGATTTGATGTTGTGGGGATGTCGCGTTATCTTTGTCGACCGATGACAACGGTGATTGCTTGTGGTACTGTTGTTGGAGAATTGCCTTTCTAATGGACCGGATGAGTTGATGCTCGAGCAGGTGGAGGATGGGGTTCGAATTTTTTTCAATGGGGGATATTTGAGTGACGTGGCTGCTGAGGATGTTGGTCGTCGAGATGTGGGTTGCCATGGAAGTTCTGGGTGTCTGGGTGCTTGCTCGGTACGGACAGGAGAAAGGCGTTCTGTCTCGATTCTGTGAGGCGGCAGGAGGCCTTCTGAGTCTGAGTCTGAAGGTGATAGGGGACAGGTGACAGGTGCCATGGTGTCTGGAGGTAAATTCGTTCACAGTTTAGAATGATCGAAAAAGAATGAGATATGTCGATTCGGGTTGATGGAAAGGTTGAAAGAATGTCTTCGGCGATTCTAGGGCTCGCTATGCTCAAAGAAAAGAACGCGTGTCGCACCGTAAATAGGGAAGATTGTGTTGGAAGCAATAATGAATCGGATTAAGCATCATCATGCAGCTCTGTCAGCTTGATATCATCGAGAAGCTCGTCTCCAACCAATGCGAGCTCTTGATTTCACGCCTATTGACCTTGTAGTCAGAAATGATGGAGGCCGGATCGGAAGAGTGAAGATAGAGTGCGACCATCGCTACCCATTGACCATACGTGCCAAACGTCAGCGTTCCGCTCTTGCAGCTCGACCTCAACCTCACTTTCATCCCAGCTCTTTCACATGCCAAATTGATATCTCATATACGACCTCACCCTCACCGTTACCATGGATCCAATCACAAGCCGCGACTCACATTCCTGGATGGCTGAGTGGTCGTGGCGATTGTGTCTAGACCCCTGCAATCGGCGAGTTATCTACTCGTAATGAGACCTGTCAGGCAGGAAATACAGAGCAACAAACCTCGAGAAGAGGATTTTTCTCTATCTCCGATGACGCCACTCCGCGTGGTATCGCAATGTAGGAGAGTTTCTTTTTTTGCATTTCTGTCATCTTTTTATCATCATGATCTGGGAGGACTGGTTGGTGTTGGAAGCCCGATCGAGCTTCGTGTTGGCCCAGGGAGACTTCGGTGGTGGAAGAGCTGGGAATGCCAAGATGAGGCAGATCAACACTGCTCTCTTCTCTTGACACTTCGTTCTTAATCTCCTTGCCTTCCCGGGAGTAGCGCTGGTTGATCCGGTCAATCTCATAGTGCGTTTGTGGGATCGGCTTGGACCTGAGCTGACGGTGCACGAGCTGCGGAAAGGGCAGTAGTGGCAAGGCGAGGTAAATGTATCGCTGGTGTCCAATTGTTGAGGTCGGACAGCGGTTTGCTGGCTGCATCATGCTGTCCACGGCGTACATCGATGCCCCTTGACATGACTCGGTGTCGTTCTTGTGATTCTACCAAAGTCAAGTTCGACTGCAAACGCGCTACGACGCGAAATTGCCGGGAACGCAGCGCACGTCACGTCTACTCTCAATCACCTCACAATTGCGGTCAAGATGGCAGAAACACCTGCGCCAGAGCACCAAGTCCCATCACAGCCAGCTTCGCCGTTGCCAAAACGCACCAAATACACAGAGCCGGCGGCGAACTTGACCGTTGCCTGTACGTACAATAATTCGCCCACCCCAAGGACAAGCACTAACTTTCCCAGCAATGCTGAACGACCAAGCTCCAACTCCCACACCCGGCACACCAAATCAGAATTCCCTCGCAAACCCACTCTCGCAAATGTCTGGACCAACTCAAGCCACCGCCTCGTACCCTCCACCTGCCCCAGGCAGCACCTTACCCTCGATGTCCATGCCGATGCCGCCAATGGGTCAGATGCCTCAGATTCCGTCAATGTCTTTTGAGCCGCCGCCTCCAGCATTGCAAGTCAAATTGCTATCGGAATCCGCGAAGCCTCCGACCAGAGGTTCAGAATACGCAGCAGGCTATGACTTGTATGCTTCGAAGGACGCGGTGGTTCCAGCCCCCTCTATTAAGCTCATTCAGGCTTCTGCCGTTTTGGATTTAACCGAAGATGATTTCGATTTTCTGACGAGTAACAAAGTTTGGATTGCTACTGCATTGATACAGGAGCGGGAGTGATAGACGCAGATTACCGTGGTCCGGTGAAGGTGCTGCTCTTCAACTTGAGCGACGTCGACTTCCAAGTGGCGGTCGGTGAGCGTGTCGCACAGCTCATCATCGAGAGGATCTATACGCCACAGGTTCTGGTTGTGGAGCAGCTCGAAGAGACCGTTCGTGGTGCTGGAGGCTTTGGCTCTACAGGCGGTTTTGGGGGTTCCCTACCTCCGATCAACCACCCATCCACCGCAGGGGCTCGGCAAGTCTAGGTCTCGAGCTGTTCAGTATCACAAGCCTGGAAAAACTGCTTGGATGCGATCGGCTGAGCCGAGTCACTTGACGAATCACACGACATTGTACGAATAGGAAAGGAAAATACATGCCAGCGGGAAGGAATGGTTGCCTTTTCGCAGTCTCAAAAAGCTAAACTATCAGTGCAAGGAGCTGATGTAGAACTGGAGGCATCGATGGAAGTGTTCGCATACGACAGCGCAAGCTTGGCCTGTGAGATCTGGATTCTAGGATCGGTGCTGCAGACTACCTTAATAACACTAGATCGTGATAACGACCTTAGAGAAGTGTTTCTGGTTCTCTAACCAGTCGTACGCTCTCTTGGCCTCTCCTAGCTCCCAGGCTCTGAAGTCTGTGACTGGCCCCACGTTTTTCTCTTCCACAAATTTCACCATCTCTTTGAACTGGTTGCGACTGCCGAGGAGTATCCCTCGCACTGTGCATGTATGCCAAAGCGCCTTCAACATTGGGACTGGCTCTGGCACTGCGCCTCCGAGCAGACCTGTCAAGGCAATGACTCCATCGGTTCGGATCGCCTCTAGCGACTGTGGCAATGTGCTGTCGCCACCAACATCAACGATCAGATCAAATCCACGCGAGTCTGGCGTGAGTTCGCGAGCTACCGTTGCCCATTTCGGGTGCTGGCGGTAATTCACGACGTGCTTCGCTCCCAGGTCTTTCAACAGCTTGGCCTTCTCGCTGTTAGACGTTGTCGCAACCACATTTGCTCCTGAGCTGGCGGCGAACTGTAGCGCAGCAACGCTCACACCTCCGGTACCTTGCACCAGAATCCAGCTTCCTGCCGTGGCATCCTGTCCCTTCTGGCCAAACAATGCATTCCAAGCAGTCAAACCGCTACACGTGAGCGTTGCCGATTGTTCAAACGTGAGATTCCTCGGCGCGTGAACCAACGCGGATTCATGAAAGTTGCCATATTCGCGAAGAGTGCCGTCAACGCTCTGGCCAAGGCCCTCGCCAATATCCTTGAGCACTGGCATATGTCCGTCGGATGTGTGAGGACACATGTGAGTGACGACACGATCACCAGGCTTGAACTCACTGACGGCACTCCCTACCGCTTCTACCGTTCCAGCACCGTCGCTTCCCGGGACAACGTTAACTCGATGCTCGCCAGGAGATGCGCCCTTTCAAATTTCAGCATGCCGACAACATAGCCGAGACTTCGAGCCATACCTTCGCTATCATCAAATCCCGATAATTCAATGAAGCTGCATGAAGCTTTACTCGCACCTCATTTGCCTCCGGCGAGCCCAGCGTAGCATCTGGGACCAGCACCAGCGAACTCACTCCTTTTCTCGTGGGGAGAGTCCATTGTGAAGTGACCGTCTGCTCGTTGTCGCCTCCAGTCATCCTCGGGTTTTACGTAGTTATTCATAATGGATGGGCATTCCTCTGCTTAAACATTCGAAGTTCCACAGCGAGAACGGAGCCTCTCATGCGTCAGAGTGGATTTTATGGCATGATTGCCGGTTTATTTCCGTACTTGGCCGAGCTTGTCCCGTATGCGACGGCTTCATTTCTTGCTATGACAGCATTTGTTTATGTAGACAACCCTATGAAGTTGCTGATGCTACATCAGTTCCTAGAGGTCGACTAGCCCGTCTCCTCGTGGCAGCGTTGATGTGGTCGACGTCCACATTGAGCAATCTCTCGGCATCTCTTGAGCGCGTCAGGGCCTCTGGACAATTTGAAAGGCTGAAAGGGAGAGTGCATATGTCAGTGGATCGGATTTGAGATTGGCTGGTGGTACTGTGCCGGCGGCGAGGTGGTATAGGTCTTTGCTGGAGGGGTTGATAACTGACTAAGAATTGAAACAGCTGGAGTGAAAAGGGGGAACATGGCTAGATTCACTAGTGGAACGGACCGGACAGTCCTGTTTGAAGCCTGTTTCCTCATACCTGGCCATCTTTCACATATCTCTCTACTTCAGTAGAGCAGCTGGAGTCCATTCCAGTTGTAGGTATTGCTCAACTTTCTTTGCTCCCAAATACATGTATCTTGCGACTTATCAGCGGCGATATGCCCACATAATCAGTGCCAGCCACTATGCCCGACTTAGGATCGTATGGATTGACATACTGCGTGCGGTCGATGACGTGGTCGTCATATTTTCTGGGGATGAGGCCACTGTCAGAAGCGGCCATCGTGCTCTTGAACATCAGCAGGCTTCGAATGAGAGGTCCCGAGCAGTCATGAAATCTACCAGAGCCAGTCTCCAGCCGTTGAGGCAAATTCGAGTAATCCCATGCTTTCCGGGTATAGAACCATTTACGGAACCTGAGGCTAGCGCCATGGCCGACCATGTCAAGCACATCTGTGAGCGTGTTGAGGACCATCTTCCAGTCGTCGCATACGATACGTTCATAGAACAGAAGAAGCTCAAAGAAGAGCTCATCGATCGTGATGGAATAGTCAGGCTTGAGTACCGTCTCTGGGTCAAGCCTCCGTAGTGCAGTGTCCCCAAGCATAGCGAAGATTCGATCTCGAATATCTGAGCACGATGTGTCGTAGTAAGTCTCGAGGCACTTTCTGAATTCGCAACCACCGCCACCGGTAGTACTGCCGTGTTCTCTGTAGTAAAAGTGCCTCATTAAGCGGCTGGTGAGACGACTGACAAGATCTCGTTCAAAAGTACAGAACGCAGAGAAGTCTTCACCATCGCACGAGAATTCGCCGCAGATGTAAATGAGCGTGCGTGCTTGCACGACTTCCTGCTGTATCCATGTTCTTGTGAAGTATTCTCGTTCGGTCAATCGAGAAACAGCCGCGTTTTCTTGGTCAGTAAAGATGTGCTGATCGGTGAGACGGAGACTTTCTGGTCCGTAGCGGAGACCGTATCGGCTGATGGTTTCTGTCGCTAGTTTCGATTCCTCGTCCGAATCGCCCAGCCATGCGAAGACCTTCTCCGCGCTCGCAAAGATCTTCCACATTTGAGCAACTTGGCGGCTCCTCTCAACGATGTCGTCTTGATTGATACAAATTGCATCAATCCAGTAATACGTGCCGTGGTGATGATGTCGATGGATTGCACTAAGAGCACTGTGTAGATTCTCAGTGACCATCAATCTGGATCCATTTACGGTAATGGAACGTGACTTCGTTGGAGCTCCCCAGCAGTACGATAGACAAATGTATCGCACTTGACTTCCATTCTGGGAAGTTGTCATGTAGCGTACAAGCTCGTCTAGTTCGTTGCGTTTGAAAGTGACACGGCCGCCATTGGGTCGATCTGCTCGTCAGATATCGAAGTATCCGGCTTGATGAACCAGTTCCAGATCGATTGCGTCGGCTGAGGTTGTGTCTAGGAACTTGACAAGGCGAATATCCCCTCCAGACAAAGGTTGGTATGCTAATTTGCGCACACTGACTGAGGCTGTCTAAGTCCATACGACCTCTCGAGTCTTTCTGTGATTGACCAACGGTTTCAGGGGTTAAATCAGCGCATTGCCAATTCCCTTCTTGAGAAATCTGCCAAGACAGCTTTGCATCGTTGCTGTTTAAGATGGTGCGGTTGATGGACGTTAAGGTGAAAGTCCTAGTGAGAAGGTGAAGCACAAGCAGATGATAGCTTGATTGGTCAAAACTAGATTCACGCTAGCTGCAGTCATGCTTGGCATGGCTTGGCAATGCAACATGCAACGCTAACGCAAGGGCGCTTATCGATAAACCCTCCTCCAAACGTTGTTTCACGTTCTTTCACCTCGCGACGACCAAGACCACACTTCCCACGTTCGCTACAGTCCCGTCTTCTCGCGTACTACAAGCCACCATGTCGATCCCACAATGGAAGACTGATCTCATCGAGCTAGCCCTGAAAGCCGATATCCTAGGCTTTGGTTCCTTTACACTGAAGTCTGGTCGAACAAGCCCATATTTCGTCAACTGTGGTCGTTTCTCGAACGGACGATCCGCCAAAGCCATCGCCGACGCATATGCTCGCACAATCGACGACTACAGCCGCGAGAATAAAGAATTTGGCTTCGATGTGATATTCGGGCCCGCGTACAAGGGAATTCCAATCGCAGCGACTACCACCTATGCGCTGCAACTCCAAGACGAAAAACGTTGGGGGGATGTGGGGTATTGCTTCAATCGTAAGGAAGCAAAAGATCATGGCGAAGGAGGCACGATTGTTGGGGAGAGCATGAAAGGCAAGCGTGTTGTGATTATCGATGATGTGATCACAGCTGGTACTGCCATACGGGAAGCGATTGATATCATCAAGGCGCAAGGTGGAACACTAGCAGGCATTGTTGTAGCGATCGATCGACAAGAGAAGATGCCATCACAAAGTGAGAAGGAGGGCAAGGGTGACGATGGCTCAGCTAGAGGCAGCGCCATTGGTGAAGTGCGGAGAGAAACTGGGGTGCCAGTGCTCGCTGTCCTTACGCTGAATGATATTGTCGAGGGTGTCAAGAAGCTGGGGAAGCACGAAGAAGTAAATCAAATGGAGGAGTATAGGAGACAGTACGGCGCAAGTGATTGAGGCGTTGCACAGTATCACTCGAGACGTCAACCACAGACTTGTCACATTAGCGAGGCGGAAAATGTGCGTTCAAACAAGCCTGGCTCGAGGCCTTCCGTAGCGAACTTGCGGTACCACCACTCCTTGTCTCTGGCCATCATCCGTGCCCCGACGCTATCAGCGCCAAGTGTATCTGGGCTGCGACTCCATGAACTGGTGGCTACGGTCAACCAGGCCAGCGCGCGTTGGCCAGAGCGGAGCACCACCGAACGTCAGCGATTCGCAATGGGTATACAGACAGCTATCCTTCCGCGAGCGGAATGAGATGGCTGAAATCCGGAACACTGCCTGGAAGCGACCGGTACAATCCATCCTAGGCGAGAAGCTTCACCTCTTCACCTCCATCTCCATTTCCAGACTCCATGCTCGCATATCAAAGAGGCAGTCAGCGGTGATTGATTTAGAGCGTAGTTTCGAAGACGATGACCAGCTTGGCAAGACACTAACTACAACAAAAAAATTGAACCGAGACCAGTGACATACTCAATAGAAATGCGGCAGGTGGGTAAGGCAGTAGAAAAAGCATGAATACAATTTCACGCCTGCTAATCATCACACAACTACATAAACCAAGTTTCCATTGAAAAGGCATCAATTACCGAAACCAAGACCCATCCTCGAGCTTGCGCTATCGTAGTCTTATGCCATCGTACCAGTGTAGTGGAACTTTCCTACGATCCGTACGCCTTCTTGATCTCGTTTTGGTACTTTTCGGTGATGCCTTTTCTGTTGAGCTTCTGAGCCGATGTGACGAGACCGTTTTGAGGAGTCCATTCCTCATCGGCGAGGACAACACCCTCAATGATCTCGATACCAGAAAGACCGCCCCGCTTCCCGGCGTCCTGCATAGCCTTGAGCACTGCGTTGTTGACCTTCTCGTTGTGACAGAGATCTTCAAGACCGTGGCCTTGCACGCCGTTGTCGCTGGCGAGCTGCTTCAGTGCTGGCTCTGCTGGGACGACGATTGCGACTGGCTTGTTCTTGTCCTGCTGCGCGAACACACAAATGTTGCCGACCACGGAGCATGATCGGTAGACGGACTCGAGTTTTTCCAAAGCGATGTACTCGCCATTGAGAGTCTTGACCAAGTTCTTCTTGCGATCGATGATACGCAGCTGACCATAGCTGTCGAACTCACCAATGTCGCCAGTCTTGAACCAGCCATCATCTGTGAAAGACTCCTTGGTCTCCTTCTCCAGATCAAGATAGCCAGAGGTGACCGAGGCTCCACGAATCCAGATCTCACCCTGAGGAGGGTTGTTGGTGGAGAAGTAGCCGGCATCTGGGAAGTCGACAAGCTTGACTTCGGCAGAACCGGGAATCTCACCGAGGGCGGAGTCGGTCCAGGAAAGAGGGTCCATCAGCGCACCCATAGCGGCAGTCTCGGTCAGACCATAACCAGAGATCATTGGTGCGATACACATCGAGATGAATCGTTGTGTCTCCTTGGCAACAGGACCACCTCCGTTCATACAGATGCGCAGTTTTCCACCAGTGGCTTCAGCAACTTTCTTGAACACGACATTGTCCACAATGCTCGTTCCGATGCCAGCGAGGGGTAGATAGCTCGAGTTGTGCATCATGAAGCTCTTTGCGCTCATCGCTCCCCAGAACATGTTCCTGGAGACAGGATTGAGCTTCGCGACCTTGGCTTGAACGCCCTTCTTGACAGTCTCCCAAACGGCAGGGACGCCGACAAGAATGGTTGGTTTGAATTCGGCAATGTCACCTCTGCAGTTGCGCATCGAGTTGTCGGAGATCGTCTTTGGGTTTCCATAACCCATGCTGCCTCCCCAGTAGAGACATGCCGATTCGAAGACGAATTCGAGAATATGTGCGAGTGGAAGGTAGGTGAGCAGACCATCGCCTGGGCCGAGGTATGGGCCGACTATCACATCCACGCCAGCAATGGCTGCAACGACATTCTTGTGCGACAGAAGCACGCCTTTTGGCGCACCAGTTGAACCTGAAGTGTACATGATGCAGCAGAGATCTTCTGGCTTGGGTGGTGTCGGCTCGACCTTGTTGCCTTTGCCGAGTTGGATGAACTCGCTGAAGCTGTGCACAGTCAGGTGTGGGTGAGCTTCCTTGAGCTTCTTGACCGCCTCTTCAGTCTGAGCTGCGTCAATTTGTCGGGTTGGAGAATCATCGTCGTTGTAGACGACATGCTGAATGTCCTTCGATTCATTGAGCGGCTTGATGAGCTTCGTGAGGAGATGGGGATCGAGGAAGATGGCCTTGGCGTGTGTTTGCTGGAGAGAGTGCTTCAGGCCTTCTTCGCCTAGAGTATCATATGCCGTCACGATCGGCATGCTCTGGCTCTGGGCGCCATGTGCTGTGGCGAGCCAGTATGGATGTGTTGCCGCGAAGATGTGTACTCGATCCTGTGCCTTCATGCCTAGAGTAACATGTTAGTGACATCCGGACTAACGATGCGCCCACGACGCAGCAATTGTGCTCTGCCTAGAATGGAGCTCGATGTTGCTTACCCAGCGCGCGGAAACCGCAGCCGACGTTGAGCGCCAGCTGCTCATACTCGGCAAACGACATGTACTCGTATGGCGACAGCTCAAAGTAGGTCCACTTCTTGTCGACCTCCTGCTCCTTGCCATCGACCATCCTCTTGACCTTCTTGTTCTCTGTATGCAGTTTGACGAGCTTCCTCTTGCCCAGGGCCTTGGCGTTGCCATACTTCTCGCTCGATCGCTTGAGGATGTCGTAGATGGTGTTGACGCCTGGTTCGGGCGTCGTCTTGAGTTCGTCCTTGGTCTTGACGTTTCGTCGTGGTATCGTCTCACCGTCGACCTTCTTCACGCCTGCGACCTCAACAGTGAAGGGCGGCTTCTTGTACATCCTTGGTTGAGGAAGCATCTGCTTGAGGTCCTTGCGACTCATGACGTCGCCCATGGTTGCTGGTTTCGTCGATGTGGTTTCTGATTCTGGCGATGGAGATGCAAAAGCGCTTTTCTGTGGCAGGCAATCAAACGACATGCACACGTGGGAGCATGTATTTCAAGTCCTGGTTCTTTGTTCGCGGAATGGCGGAGACAGGCCAGGTCTTGGAAGCTTGGGCGTCTCACTGTCGAGAAGATCCCAGCAGACGTCACAGCTCAACCTCCACAACCTTGGGAGCGTCTTGGCCAACCTGCAGGCGAGTTTAGGGGCAAACAATCGCAATTATATAGCCCTTGCTAACAAGTAGACATGTTCTACGCGTAGGACCTTCATCTTCACTTGTTGCATCACGAGAGCGACGTCTACGGCCGGCTCGCGAATTATCTTCATGCCTATTGGAGAAGCGACATCGAGACTCCTCCAATCCCCAATCCTTTGTCCACTCCCGTGACCCTTCTACCTTCGCGGTATCACGCGGCTCGACACGATAACGAGAGCGATGGGAACATAGCAAGGCAGTACAGTATACCTGCACAGCTCATCGATCTGGTGTTTCTAATAATATTACTGTACCTCAACCTGTACGTGATCGCCACTGACGACTCACATCCGCGGAAGCCAGGCCTGCCACGTTTTGGCTGCAGAGGCCGCGCTTTTGCCCAGCCCGTAGTCACTCTCTAAACGAGTCAACGAGAACAGCAGCACCTTTAGTATAATCAGAAAGTTTACCAATCTCCAGATGTTACTAGTTAAATAACTCGCTAGTATCGCTAGTTGTTCGGAATAGCAGCTTAATACTATAGGTCTTATTAGTTAGGAATCCATAAATATGAATACCGATAGGCAGTAGGTTATTGGTATGGGATAGCGTTAATCGGACTTGGCTTCTTCGAACAAAGATTGTCTCTACATTGCCCTGTACGCTCGCGGAGGACAAGATCCGAACACCTATCATCGAGCACTGATTCTTGTACTAAAGAATGAGAGTGAAGGCTGCAGCGGCATTCGATACCACGTTCGACACCGGCTGGACCCGAACAATCCTGGAGAGCATCGATGGGAATACGGAGCTCTAGATATCCCATTGGTCCAGACAAGTATGTTGCTCGCCCTTTTCCTCGATAAAGCTCGTTTGGCCCGGGTACTGGAGCAAGTACAACTCATACAGCGAGACCAAAGGTGGGAAACGACAGCAAAGACGATACGACGGATCTGGGGCATAGAAGCCAGGTAGTGTGCTGACATATGATCTTCTGGAAGAGCGAGAAGTGGTGGCGTAGTTTGCTGAACATTGGGTATCGAGCTGTAAGCTGAGGTATTATTTGGCCTACTGAGGATATTGCAATATGCTGAGTCCTTTGTTGTTTTCAATCTGTACTCCAAGAGAATGGGCCGTAGTCAAAACGCGCCGAAATGCTGTTGGCGAATCGCCTCCATGTAAGCGGCGTCTGGGTATTCATCCAAAAACTTAGGTATCTCGTCCTTCCAAAACTCGTTGAACGGATTGACGTTTCTGGCAGTGGTATATTCCCAATACTCCGGAAACCAACCGCACGTATCCCAGTCAACGATACCAACAATGTCATCTTCTTTGACGAGAATGTTCATACTGTTCAGGTCGCCATGCGTGAAACGCAAATCATACCGAGCTTTGGTGTGTCTTTCGACCAGCTCGTTGACCTCTGGCAGTTGTTCCTGCGAGAATTCAACGCCATCTCTTAGGAAAGAATGGAAATCGTGTATCGATTTGAACGGCCCAACCCCATTTACACCGCCAGAGAGGCGAACGTCATACAGCTTGCCACCATCCACTCCCTCCACGCCAACTTCTCTTGCAGGCCGGAGGGACCGCATCTCTTCTACGTATTCCCTCAACTGCTTGAGTAGCCGAGCCTTGGCCTCTTCAGAGCGATGCTCCCATCTGTGCCCAATCGGCGAGCCCTGTAGACGTGACATTACAATGTACGTCACGCCCTTGCGCTCGAAAGCGCAATATACCTTCGGAACAGGGACACTCGTGTTGGCAGCGACGTATTGCATGGCAGCGGCTTCAGAGAGGTGTTGGAATCTTCCATATTTGACGCACACGTTGGCTGTCAGGAAAAGGACCGAGGAGAGTCGTGGGCGGAACCTCTTCAAGATCGCAATGGCTGCTAGGATCAAATGCACCTGAAGCCAGGGAGCATTGGAGTTACTGGTATTCTTCGGCGCCGACAGCCCTAAGACATTATGCATTATTCCCTCAAGAAGTTGTGGTCCGGCATAAAATTGATTTCGATGTCAGATACGAATACAGGGTGCAGTGCTCGCGCTGGAGCTCGCCGGAGCCTTGCTCGACTATCGGAAAGTCCGCCCATTCGATATGTAGTAGATTTGCGAATCCGGAGGTAGCGAATATCGGCAATGTTGTTGGGCAGGAATCCGCGCGAGCTGCAGGAAAAGTTTCTGCACCGGCTGTTGCAAGTTTCCCTGTGTAGTTTTCATTATACTGTGGTGTAGATCTCAGCACCGGTCAGGACACAAGGTCCAACCTATATCCAAGTAGCAATCACGACGACATCAATACCGAGAGCATCCGCTTTACATTGGTATGAGCTTGCGTTCAGATGCGCAATTGCCCCCAGACAATGACAGCCAAACTTCTTGAAATGCTCGGAGAAGAGATCCACGACGTCGACGAAGGTTAGGGGAAAAAAAGCAACACCCACTCACACCAACAAATAATAACAGGTAGGAAAACTAGAAACGTTTGAACTTTTCTCGCAGTCAATCCCATCCCAAGACTTAGGAATGCTAGATGCGAAGACTCACGTTCTTGGCTTGTCGATTGCTGGACGGGACTTCGAGATTACGCAGTCACCGGGACTTCTTCAATCGCAGCGCGAAGGCGGAACGACAGGAGCCGCTGTGTGGCAATCTGCGTTTCGCTTTGCAGAATGGATTGCGGATTCGGAGAATATCCTCTGGAAAAGTGGGCTGCTTAATGCAGACACCATTACGCTTGAGCTTGGATGTGGCATTGCAGGCTTGATTCCAGGCGTTCTAAATGGCCGAGTGCGAAGAGTAGTGTCTACCGATCAAGCGTATGTTCTGAAGACATTAAAGGAGAATCTCGTTGCGAATGAGAAGGGAAACCGAGCAAAGAGGCATGCATCGCCATCTAGCCAGATCGACGTCTTCCCTCTCGACTGGGAGAAAGATGATATCCGAAGCGTGATGCGCGAGAATGGACTTGCCTCAGGCGTCGATGTTGTTTTTGCTTGTGATTGCATCTACAACTATGCCCTCCTCGAGCCCTTCGTTCAGACTTGCAAGGATATGTGCTCCTTACGAACATCCTCCACGGCGGTCGTCATTGTTCAACAACTTCGTCAGCCAGAGGTGTTTGAGCAATGGCTTACAAAATTTCAAAAATCTTTCCGGACTTGGCGAATACCGGGTGAATTGCTCTCTTCCGGATTGAAAGACGACACGGGATTTGCGGTCCATATCGGCTTGCTGCGACAGCTTACCAGTGGTGAGTGACCTTATAATGACTGATTGAGAGCTGTTTGTTGCCCGTTGGTCACTTTGGATTGAGCATGCAGTACCATGCGGTGAAGAGCATGGTAAAGAACATGGCCATTCGCAAGAAAAGCCAGCCCCTCGCGTTCGCCGAATCGACAAAAGCTCTACCAGCACGATCTCAACACCAGCGATCATTGGGTCGCTGCAGGAATTGGGCGTGCTCCAAAGCTATGCCCAGTAATCGCGGCTTCCTGCAGCCTCTGTCGGACGTGGACCTCTTTGAACTCCTGTGCAAGCATGAAGGCCGCATTAAGAAACCCTGGCCCCCTTGCAAGCGCAGTAGGGTAGGGTTGTCATCATCAGCTTCCAGCGTCTTCTGGCTGTTCATAACGCAGATCGCCAATCCAAGGACTCGATCATGCTGACCAAGGGGTGTAAGCGATATCCTCTTTGCTGAGGTATGCATCCTGTACCATACATGCTCATGCGGATTTTGGAGAGGTATTTAATGGTCATACCGCTCAAGTCTGACGCGAGTTTATAGAGCAGAATATGTCGTTGCATGGCTTGTGAGAACAAGTGGGCATTGCGCGTTGGTATATGAATTTCTACTCGGTGAACAGAGCAGACATGCGGGCGTGGGTTGCTCGGTAGCAGTTCTCGAAACAGCTTGCTTGCGCATCCAATATGTATTCGTGGCAGAGATCTTCTTCGCCTTGGTCCACGCCAGTCACGCCAGTGCGGCACCTGCACCTGTACCTGTACCTTGGCCTCAGACAAACAAGTCTGGTCTTCTGCTATACCAGACCAAACAACATCCACCCCCAAAACGCCAGTATCCTTGCCGCTCATAATGCATCCATCAAAAAGCCATCATCTCGACACCTCTACTCTCCCTTCAGTCCACCACCGTGCCGGACTCAACCCCCACCGCTCTTTTCTTCCCTTAATTCTGCAGAATCATCTTCACCATATCCATATAATTAATCTCTCCCGAACTCGTATCCACAGCTTTCAACAACTCATCCACCTCATCATCACTCATCTTCTCGCCCAAATTCGTGAGAATATACCGGAACTGTCCCACACCGATGAAACCCGTGAGATCCTTGTCAAAGACTTGGAAGCCGCGACAGTATTCTTCGGGTTCGCCTGGGTCGCGGAAGCCGCCTGGTCGGTTGAGGACGCGCGTGAAGGAGTCAAAGTCGACTTCATTAAAGAGTGTTAGGAAAGGTAAGGTAAGGGGATGAGAATGTGGATGGGGGGTGGCACTTACAGTCTCCGCCCACTTGGTGCTCGAGGTCTTTGATTTCTGCGAGGGTGGGGTTTTGACCGCAGGCTCGGAGGAGGTCGCCTAGGGAGTCGAGTTGCACGCGACCTTGACCGCGCTTGTCGAAGAGGGAGAAGGCTTCTTTGAAGTTTGTGCTTTGCGCCTGGTCGGCCATGGTGTGTTAGTTGTGTGAAGTCCGCGAGTGTGTTTCTGCTCGCAGGATGTGTCGAATGGGGGGTAGATGGGTGTGGGCGTGCGCGTGCGCGGAGAGCTCTCGGTGGTTTGGTTTGGTTTGTGCTCCTCCTCTTCTGCAGCGACTGCGACTGGGAAGCAGCGCTTCGGACTTATTGCTGCAAGCAGAAAAGGGAAAGAGCAGGTACGTACCATTGCGATGTCCTAATTTGTGGTCTTGGTCTTTTGATGTCTTTCTCTTTTCTCGCTTGACTGGTCGGTCTTTGATACCACAAAGCAGTTGTTCGTTCACTGAGAAAAGCAAGGGCCGATGTAAAGGGAGGGCTCAACTCCTCGACTGAGCCGTGCGCAGCGGCTGCGGCTGTTGCTGCGTAGCAACCCGTCACGACGCGACTTTGCAAAACGCGCATCCATCAACTATCACTTTTCGCGATCCATCTGATGCACGACTTTCTCAATATTACTGTCTCGAAATTTAGTCGCGATTACGAGTCACGATCTTTGGTCTCGGTGCGGGACTCTCAAAGAGAAGCTGCCGGCATTCTCGCCGCTCTTCGAACCCAAGATGTCGATCACATCTGCTCATCATGCACACTGCATCTCCGGATCTCACCAAAGAGTCCTCTGCCTACTCATCAGTTGCAGATTTCCTGGAAGCTAATCCCTGCCATCACCCATAGCTCACAGCATCTGCCGCAGAGCCAACTTGTATGGCTGTATGCGCGCTCCAGGTCGATGTTACAGTGTTTCCTAGGACCTCTCCCGTGGGGCTGCTGATCGACCTTGGATAGATGCATAGACTTTCCGTGCTCATGTGAAAGCAAAGTCAATGCATGTGTTCAAGTAATCGTAGCGCACATGGATTTTGCACTCGCAAGAAAAGACTTCAGCAATTCAACACCGTCGATCTTCGCACTCACTACTCATCAGGAAGGCGACGATCATGCTGCGTCGACGACAGGAAAAGCACGAACGCTAGCACTTCCATATTCTCATCCTGACTGCTGCACAAGCGTCTGCTGGTTACCGCCGGCATAAGGCAGTCGTTGTTATCCTCGAGAGCCTCATTATCCATGTTCGGTGGCACCAGTTTAATGTATGATGTGGTGTATTCGACCCGACGAGCCAGTCCATCAATGCCAATGGAAGCCAGACAATCAACTCCCGATCATGGTACGCCCCTCCAAGGGTGGCTGTGAGGCCACAATGTTGTCAGACCTTACACTGGGATTGGCGGCATTTTCTACATCCATCTCTGTAGTGCTCGCGTGGGACACTCAAGCATGATTGAGAGGACTCGTATTTTGCTCCATTCGGCCGTTCGTGGTGGTTGGTGTTGGCGCTGCTAGCTTTAGGATTTCTCAGACCCGCATTGCCAACACATGCGCACATTGATGACTCGATGACCTCGTCAACGCCTCATCTCGCGGAGTCGTGGTCAAACAACATTCTCCTTGGCCAACAAGATGCAATAGTATGGTAGAGTACCAATAGCTTGGGCGCGCATACATTTGAAGCATACCTGAGGCACGTATAGCAGCTCGAGGATATTGCAGGGCGAGATAGAGCTTGCAGATGCAGTAGCAGGACGGGGGGAAGCTGCGTGAGAAGTGTGAACACACACCGTGCCGTGCCTTAGCTGCAGCACGAAACAGGTGGCCTCCTGGTATTGGAGATACTTTTTTACTGTTTGGGCAGCAGCGTAGCCGTGCCTCTCCTCCCCTTTTTGGAATAATGTTCGAAATCTTGACGATGTACTGACCGGTACTGTATCTAGGCGGCGGAAAGGAATCGCCCTCGGACTTGTAATTGTAGAACCTCATTCTATCCTTACTGTAACTACTTCCCCGAGCCCTACAAGGCTACATCCTCTTTTTTAAGAACTGAATAACTTGTTACTTAATATATGCACGAAATTTGCTGTATACTGTATGCATCCGATTCGGGCGGCAATGGCATTGCAGGGCTTGCCGGAAGGACAGAGATGTCACTGGAGAAGCAGTTCTCTTGACCGGCAGAACACAAAGCGGCGTGCGCAGAATGCGAGCCAGAGGCTGGTGCTGAGGATTAGGATTATTGCGAGGCGTGCGGCGGCGCAAATCGCAAGACCAACCACATTGTGGAAGACGGCGGTGCTGGAAGGTGAAATATGCGGATCGATGCCCGTTTGCTCTCACTCGAAAGTTGCTCCACTCTCAGTCTCTGCGGTGATGGTGCTTCACTCCTGGTCGCTGTGTTGCACGCCTTGTCGTTGACGGCCTGTCACCCGATCCCATGCTGCCTTCGCTGTCGAGCACAGTTACAGTACGGTACATAACTTAGTGGTGTCCACTGTCCACTGTCCAGGCTGCTTGGCCGCTGGGCTGATCCGTCCCTCCCTTTCCCTTCCCCAGCTCAGCGAAAGCGCAGCCGAGAACCCACACACTGCCGGACGCTGACGCTGACGCCGTCTCACCGCTTGTGCCACCATATACTCGCCAAAACACCCGATGATCTCCCCGACCTGTGCTGATACGAATCCCCTCTACTACTATTGCTGCTGCTGCTGCCGCCACCGCCGCCGCCGCCGCCGCCCTCGGTCCTTTTGACAGTGTTTCAGTCGCTGCCGATCGACCCTTTCGTCTGCGGAACGTCTGCGAGCCAGCGGGCATTGGCACCACGCAGAAGCCGCCGAACAGAACACAAACGCCGCCTTTTCCGCTGCCACCTGCATGACATCCCATGGCAACCCGCAGCATATGTTGTACGAGGCAGCGTGTGCTACCAGACACCTGAACGCGCTCATCACAGGCAGGAGACAGGAGGTGCTGGAGAAGCGGCCTGCGTCGGCGCTGCGAGTGAGGCATTGCAAGTGGCACTACAAGTGACCTGCGGCATCGTGTCGCCTTCCTGACTGGCCCCAACACGACCATGCCGAACCTGTTCCCATTCGCCAGTCACTATGCGAACAGCGATGCATCGCAAGATATGCCGCCTGAGGACCTGCCTCCAAAACGACTGCGACGATCTTCACTGCTGAGAAAGCCATTGAGCTTGTGGAGGAGGTATCACGCAGAAGCAAACGATCTGGACGCCACCTTTCCCCAGACTGCTCCCACCGAGCTCTCCAAAATCCCAGACTATTTTGCTCGTCGACCAAGCCTGCCAGACAACCTCCCGACAACCAGAAGAGCTATTCCGTCCCTGCCCCGGCCTCAGACTTTCCGGAGACAGAACTCTGAACGACGAGACAAGCTTCTGGAAGTTCCGCCAACTTCGCTTGAGCGGAGGGCTGTCAGCGCAGACCGTCGACAAGAACGAGGATTCAGTGGGAGTGCCATCAGCAGACATCTATCCCCTCAGCCAGTGCAAAATCCTCCCAATTCTGCCCCAATTGTTACATGCTTGAGCGAAAGCGACGCTTCCCTTCCTTCAAATAACCCCGGACCTTCCGATATTTCTGCTTCGAGACCTTCGCGAAACCCAGCCGACCTACCTCCCTTGCAAATTCCTGAGAGCATTGATGAAAGCCCATTATTAGATGAAGATCGCGCTGATAGGGACACCCAAATCGACAAGGCTTCATTACAAGAAGAACACGATCGAAGATGGATTCTCAACCTAAGCATGCATTTCCGAGACAAGTCCAATCGAGAAAAGTTCTTTGTGACTTATGCTGAGAAGCCAAATCAGTGGCGTCGCGTAACGGTTTCTTTGGATTATCGGAACGCACCACCCGACTCCCTTGAAGCAGATCTGAGCACGCTTTCTTATCAGCACGACAAGAGCATACGCATTTACGAAGCCATCCGGCATTCTTGGCCTGAGATCCAGTACTATCCGACCGTGACTAACCTCAAGCTTGAGACGACACAGGATGATGGTCAGCTGCATGTGCATGTGCGCGAGGATGCGAATGAAATCATCAACTACCCATCAAGATCACTCTTTGATCATGTGGCGTGCCCCAGGTTTAGTGAGAGCCAGTTGGAATTCATTTCGCATCTGTCGGGCTTCGTCTACAAGGTACGCTTAAATGGACACGTCGTGATCAAGAAGGAGATTCCTGGTCCAGACACGATAGATGAGTTTCTGTACGAAGTCAACGCGCTCGACTCGCTGCAGGAAAGCAGACACGTTGTGCGGCTTGCGGGCTTGGTCATGGACGACCGAGGCGAGCTCGTGAAAGGTCTTCTTCTCTCCTACGCTTCCAAGGGCGCGCTTGTGGATATGATTTATGATTTCCGAGGCTCAGACATGCTTTCTTGGGAGCGTCGTGAGAAGTGGGCGAAGCAGATTGTGAGCGGTCTCTCTGACATACACGAGGCCGGTTTCGTTCAGGGGGATTTCACTTTGTCGAACATTGTGATTGATGAGGATGACAATGCGCAGATTATTGACATCAATCGACGCGGCTGCCCCGTCGGGTGGGAGCCGCCAGAGCTGGGAAGACTGATCGATAGTGGCCAGAGAATTGGCATGTGCATTGGTGTCAAGACCGACATCTTCCAACTGGGGATGGTGCTGTGGGCGCTTGCAGAAGAGGTTGATGAGCCCGAGCGTGTCGAACGACCACTGCCTCCGGTCTATGAGGGCACTCCTGATTACTTCCGGCAAATGATTCAGTCGTGCTTGAGCGAGCGGCCACAGGGACGCAAAAGCGCGCAGCACCTCCTCCTACAGTTTCCGGCATCTACTGGTCTGAGACCACCTCCACCATACTATAGTGGATCTCAGCACGAATCGAAGTTGTCGGATAGCAGCATGTCGACATCTACGCATCGGCCGAAGAAGCAATACATCGACCCTGAGATGGCTGTGACGATCGACGATGTTCGTGAAGGGCGTATGCCACCACTCGAAAAGCTGAACATGGAGTCTGCAGTCACCTACGTTGATCCGAACTCCAATCCTGCCTCGACCACATATCAATGTGAGAGCACTGGTTCTTGGGTGATTCCAGGTCGTCGTCACAGTCGTGGGCGTTCGCCCGTCTCTAGCAGACGCCGCAGAAGCTCGCCATATGGTCGGACTGTGTCGAGCGCCACATCTTTCACACAAGAGTCTCCTACTAGACGTTACGCATTCGATGACGAGGACAGCTGTAGCGAAGCAGCAGACATCAAGCCCTTGGAACGTAAGTCTACATCAGAGACGCTCATGGAGGAGACAGCTGGCACATCGGCACCCGCTGGGTCTGCAAATGTGGAGTCCGCCACTGCTCTTGCGACCTCAAAAGCTCCAGTCCTGCGAAGACGAGACACTTGGCCCAGCAGAGAATTCCTGCACACCGACTCCGGCTTTGACGAGACTATGATCGAGGACATCGAACGCGGCCGACCCTCTACACCACTAGAACAAGGCTCAACACATAGCGATTACCACACGCCTGCAACCCACTACAACGGAGACGCAACGCATAGCGATACTACTACTTTAATGAATTACGACAGGGAAGGCGCAGGCATACCGGGCTTACAGGACGGTGCTATGGCGCTGGGAAAGGAGGTTGAAGATTTTTGATAGCGTTCTCGCTAGAAAGATATGCCTATGCCTATTGATGTATTTATGAATCGATGAGCTAAGTACTGGAGCTCGTCGGCACTTTTCGATGTGTTTATATTCAATATTCTTTCTCACATTATCTTATGAGCTGTGCCTTTTGTCTCTTGGCTCGGCTTTTTGGATGTTATGTCTTGAGGGAAGCGCATCAAGAATCCTGCTCTGCGTAATCGGGGAAGGAAGTGAAACTAATCACAGGTTCAAAACATACATTTGAGATCTAATGAAGTTTGCGAATTCTTTTCTATAGTAACCCCTACACCTAGGAGGGGGTTAAAAGGAGGGGGAAGGTTTTCGCTGTTGTTGTTGCTATTGTTGGAGGGAAGAGAGCTGAACTGCGCTTTTTTTTTGTTGCTTCTTGAATAGGTATGCTCTGATCACGAGCGAGGACATTTTCGAAAATATCAGCAGAGGTAACACCAGGAGAGTCACGATTGGAGGAGATAGGTAGAGACGTCTTGTATACGTTCACGACGACGGCGCGGCGCGTGGATAGCTTTCTTAGTATCGTGCCTGGTCATACGAGAACTTCATGCTCATGCCACGACGCTGAAGCTGAAGGGCCAGTCTCCTAGCCTTCCACCCGGGAGGAAGCCAGATTTCTGAGATGGGTGACGACAGCGCATCGGGGAGCCGCTGTCGACGATCTACAGCTTCAGCACATTTCAGAGCTTTAGGGCCTCTTCACGCTCATCCTTTGCAGTCTCTTCTCTCAACCACGCCGCCTCCTTCTCCATCTCTTCTTTCGTACGCGGCTTTCTCTCCTCATCCTTGGGCCACTCACCAACCTTTCTCACAGCTTCTTCAGCAACATTCTGGTGCTTGCCAATATTTCCCTCTTCCCCTTCCAGCCATTCGTGTATCTTGTCATCTCCAGCCGGATCGCCTTCCGTTCGGGGGATCACATGCACATGTACATGAGGAACACTCTGTCCTGCAGCTTTGCCATCCTGCACTGCGACGTTGAACGCATCTGCCTTATATAGCCTCTTCAATGTCTTCTGCACGCGCGTTACGGTAATGAACAGGTCCGAGATCTCATCTTTGCTCAAGTCGGAGAGGGTGGGTAGAACTCGAATCGGCGAGACCAAGATATGTCCCGGTAGTAGAGGTTTGAGATTTACTATGGCGAAGGAGTGTTTTGTGATGTGGAATACCTACCTCTATCCTTAGCCTGTGCGTCGGAGCTATGATTTGCGAAGGCGAGTTGTACTTGGGAGGTGACGTTGAAGGCAGCGAACTTGATCGCTCGGCCTGGGAATGAAGCCATCTGGGAATTGGGTTCACTCATTGGGATCCGATATAATCGATGTGAAGTAGAGGAAGTTCCAAGGTTGTAGATGAGACGACCAAGGCATGGAAATGACGCCATCTGCGACCATGATTTATTTACTGTCTGTACAGCTCCCGCGATCTCCAGATCACAGTCTACTGCTATACACTCAATGACTACATGAATTCTCATCCCGTCGACATGCAGTCGGCTGCCGTCAAGTTCTTCAGTGCGAAGCAGTTCGCGGTCGCCGGCGCATCCTCGACTCCCTCCAAGTTCGGGCATCGCATATTCAAGTGGTATCTCAACCACAACCTGCCAGCCACACCAATAAATCCAAACTGCTCACACGTCAAAGTGCGCGGCGCAGAGTACGAGACTGTCGCATCGCCATCAAAGCTATCAGATCCGACAAAGACTAGCCTCTCGATCATCACACCTCCACCTATCACCGCGAAGCTCCTACAAGAAGCCAAAGAGTCTGGCATATTGGCAGTATGGCTGCAGCCCGGTACCTTCACAGATAAGGAGCTGAATTACGCGGTCGAGAACTTCCCAGGCGGCGCGGTGGGAGGTTACGTGGAGGGCACAGTCGGTCGCGAGGGATGGTGTGTTCTCGTTGATGGAGATACCGCCCTACGCGCTGCGAAAAGGAATGCCCAGAAGGACAAGCCCAAGTCCACGGCAAGTCGGCAAGTCGACCGCGATGGTAGGCTCGGTATTCGCTTTCTCTGACTGAGGCAGTATAGGACATCGCATCTCTAAGACTACGCATCCGCGCGAACCCGCTGTGATCGGGCGCAGGAGCAGGAGAATCCAGGCCAGGATCACATGCATCGAGAACGCACAAGACAGGGAAAAAGCTTGAAGACTGCATTCCCGAGCATTGCATTCGGCAGCATGTATTGCGTCAAGAGGAACAGCCTTCTTGATTCCACCGGTATGCCGACCTCTCGGTAGACCTTTTCGTCACCTTGCCGAAACTGGGATATGCTCGTCGAGCGACAGTCGACCGACAGAAGCGGACTCTCAAAGCCACGGCAGTACAGCTGCACATCACCTGCTACATAGCAGAGCACCTCAGTGCTTTGTCGTAACAATCATACCGGCCTTGCGTGATATCGGGCAGAGCTATCATCTATGTGATGGCGTATGACTTGCGAGCTCGAATGGCACAAGCGGAAATCGTCTTGGATGCAGCACAAGCGTAGTGGACTGGAGGTGCAGCGAAAGCGCACTCCACCGAAGATCGGTCAATTTTCCGTCTCGGCTCATTATTGTGGTGGAAACCGAGGATGTAGAGAGCACATTTGCGAATATTGTCGCTATGGGACGGATCGGCGTCTGGTCTGGCTTTGTGAATGTGTAATCTGAAGCAAGAATAATATCCACCCGCAAATGTTCTCCAAATATCCTCCGGCTAAATGCGATCTCAGATCGGTTCAAAGTAATGCGACACATCGATGGCCTATCAGAGGATCAAGCAAGGATGTTTCTCGACCTCCTCACATCCGTGAATAGTGGTGAAGGTCACATTCCCACGGCATTGAGGGGAGCAAATCCGATAAGTCTGTGGATATTGGGTCCAGGTGCAGAACTTACTCAATGTATTACTTCCTGCTTCACCACCTCGGTCTAGCCGTCTGCTATCTTCCGAGTGTCTCCAGTCTAGAATGGCCAAAAGATCGAGCCTTGCCGGATTTTCCTGACGTTGCAAAATCCATCGACGCAGCAGACATCACATACTTGAGCGGAGAAGAACAAGGTCTACTCGTAACATTGCAAGGCATTGTCAATCGGAAAGAACCTCGTATCTACCTATACTGGGACAAGACAGGTGACGACCCCGAAGGCGTCAATTACAGTCATCAGGCATGGCTACAAGGAATCGCGAACCAAATAGATGTCCATGATGTCTCGGAGTCGCCTCTCCAGCTTCTCAATAAATACGAGGCCGACATCAAAGGAGCTGTCCTGTACGATGAAGACCTTCCAGACATGATCAATTTAGCGACCACGTTAGCAGGAATGCACGATTTGGTAAGTGAGATCAAGCCTGGGGGCTCAGAAATTGAATCGTAGCTTGAGTCTCTACACGCAATTCCAGCGTACTGAGTATAATCACGGTCTGAGTCCAACCTAGCATTATCCACATCTGGCAAGGAGGACCTGCTCCACACCTTCAATATTTATGCTGACTTGATTCGTCGATCTGGTAGGTGATCACTAACGCAGAGCTGGCGAAAGCTCACAATCTAACGATCACTCACGACCTCCGTGGCATGTTCAAGAATAAGCTCGATGTGTATGAGTATGGCTTGACCCAACTCTATTCGACAACCACCAAGCGCATGATCACGGCAATCCGCCCACAGGAGACCATTCAGAACACGAATGCCTCCTGGACGAACATCACCAAAGACGCCAATCACACTCTAGATGCTTCCAATAATGCTACATACCCTGTTGATCTGACTTCTCTTCTGTCAAAAGCCAGGCTGGACGATATGATCTATCTTCGCATCAAGGATGCATTCGAAGAAGATGGAAATGGTCCTACGGTTTCGCACGTGCTTGCGACCATGGATGACATGACGATTGCCGATTTCGCACCAGGAACGTTGGAAGAAGAGGTGTTTCTAGTGGATTGGGGTGGCTCATCACTTGGCGACTATCCCTGGGGCTCACGGGCAGCAGGTGGCAAAGCATACATAGTGTATGGATTCAAGGTTCCAAATGGCTCAGGCTCATTCGTCGTCAATCTGACCATGCATGGACAATACGATGTGGCTATTACGACAGACTTACCTGTTACGAGAAGGCTCAACGCAGTATTTCGGGACTACATCGCAGCAACAAGTGCTCCGTGCATATGGCTCGATCCTAACAACAGAGACGAAGTCCCTCTCCTTCACAAGATTTTAGATTCCTTGGACTCGAACTCAGCATATATGGGCTGGTTTCCTAACGGAGACGAAATGAGTGGCGTCACGCAAACAGCTCAGAAAAGTGTCTACGTTGTAGCTGCTGACAACTTCTTCAATGGCAGTCTTATGAGCGGTCTCAAAAAACTACTCTGGAGACCACGATTGACAAAAGAGGCAGAACCACCCTACAAATCCTCTGCTGTCAAGCCCATCGAAGACAAAATCTACATCTCTCTCACCTGGACCGAAGGTGACAACATCCAATACTCGCAACACCGCATGCGTCTCCTATGGGACGACACAGCCCGAGGCAAAGTTCCAATGTCATGGACAATAAATCCTCTCCTCATCGACATAGCCCCCAACATTGTAGGTTACTTTCAAGCCACAGCAACCGAGAATGACTCTTTCGTCCTAGGACCTAGCGGAGCAGGCTACACCTTCCCAGTAAATTGGCCCAAGCAAGATCTCCGCCTCTTTCTCGACCAGACCGCTCGGTATTCCAAACGAACAGGAGTCGGCAGTAATTCAATCTGGATCTACAATCGTATCAACAGCACCCTCGTCCCTCTATCCGAAGATATCATTTCCACGTACCATGATGCTCTGGGTCCAGAACTTCTCGGTATCTCGGCCGATACTGCGCGCGGAGCGAAGAATCCCTACGGCATTAATATTACAAGGACCGGTGTAGCTGTCGCGGGACTCGCTTCGATCAGTGGTGTGGAGCAAGGCCTGGCGCGACTAGGAAATATCTCAAAGGACTATTTCGGTGGCAGGACACCTTTATTCGTGGATTGTGCACTTTATGCTTGGGACACAACGCCGGGAAATATCAGCACGCTCGTCCAGAATTTGGGCAAGGAGTTTGAAGTCGTGAGTGTTGATCGTATGTGGGAGATGTTTACTAGATATTATAACATCACCACTAACTACTTATAAATCAAAATACTAGAACTCATAATTCATGAATGTGAGAGAAGAGAAGGAATTTAAGCAGGCCAGCAACAAAGAATTCATGTCATTTCATTTCTCTCTCTTACGTGGAATCTTCAAAACCAAAACCAAAACGACATGTCAAAACAAACTCAAGGAATCCGGATCCTATCAATCAATTCATAGGTTACATCTCTCTCTCATTCATTTCACAAAAAAAAAACTTTGCGAATATAGGAACACGGTACAGTACTCTAAATCATAAAATCTTCAATTCTGAACAACCAAAAACATTTACTCTCCGTGCCTTTAAAAACCATGAAGAGATACTAGGTAACTACTATTGTGTGTAATCTCTTCCACCACTCGGCACATTGTCCATATCCCCGGGTGGTGTGTGTGTGTGGGCAGAAGAATAGTTCTTCGTTCTTTTATACCGTGTAGGAATTTAAATCGCAGGACCTGAATGCACGAAGGGGTGTTAGCGATCATGACGGATTGCAGGGCTCAGGCAGGCAGGCAATGCAGCGAAGTCATGATTTTGTCGGGGGGGGGGGGGGCTGCCAGAATTAAGAGAGAAAAAAAAAGATGTGGCAAGATGTGCTTGCTTGAAAACGCGAAAGAAAAAACATCTCGTCCGTCACACTGTCCGTAGAAAAAGGTATATTGAATTGGCGGGAGGGAGGAGTAAGGAACTAACCTGGCAGGAATTCACGTCGTCCGAGTCTTCTATGTTTGTTGGCCGGTTTTGCCCTACGACGAAGGTCTTCATGAACTTCTTCTTCTTCTTCATCTTCATCTTCCTCCTCGTCCTCTTCTTCTTCAGGCTTAAATTCTTCCGCCTTCGGAGGGAAATCCTCGGGGTCAAGATGTCCAGTATATGGCAGAATGGTCACTTCCTTCTCCTCTTCTTGTTGCTGAATGGGTTCGGCTTGTGGAGGTCGATCAATGTCATCGAAAACTTGATCGGCAATCTCAGCGGGAGATGGAAGGATGGGTCTGTGGGAAAGTGGCCAGGTGATGCGGATGTGTCTGAAGAATGGGAAGCGGAGAGAGAAAGGACCGGTTTGTGTGACGTGTTCGGAGACTTGGCCTTCTTGACGGTGATGGGGACATGGCTCTCCTGGGGGGTGATGGGGTTGCTGTTGTGGCCACCAGACGACGGCGGCTTGGGCGGTGGTGGCGCAGAAGAGGATGGTGGAAGGCTTCATATTTTATCGCTGTCGAAACAGGTCAAGTGAGCGTGTTGAAGTGCAGAATGTAAAGGTCAGGAAATCGTGTTACTGTGATGTTGCATTTACAGGAGGAGGCTTCGTGTCATTAATATGCCAGATGCTGGTCGGACACCGGACCCTGGTTGATGTTGGTTTCTTAATGCCTCCAGACTTTCCGCCAACGAAGGGTCTGGACTTGGCAAAGGACAAGGCTGTGTGCTTATAAAGTATCCGTAGACCCGCGGTGCAGGTCAGGATGGCCGAGCGAAGCCGGAGGCGAGCGGCGGATAACAAGTCAGCCTTGCCAACAAAGCTCGTAGTTAGCAATCCATTGAAGAGAATCATCTATTAGCTATTAACCATGTCCTAATTATTATTAGCCTATTCACTATTATCTATTACCTCCTAATTATCTATTACCTCCTAATTATCTATTACCTCCTACTTATCGATTATCTTATTATCTTAGAAGTTAGCCTATCGTATAAGGAGGCGGGTCTAGCCTCGCAAAGTAATTATAACTCTAGCAATAGTTAGAACAACCTCTCTAAGTCGCTACTAATCGACCTACTATTCTTTATAAGCGTTAGTAAACTATAGCGCAAATTCCCTAAAGCTAAGAGTCTTACTAGGCTAAATAGCGTCGAGTATGTTAGTATCGTTATACTAATCTTCTAGGAGACGCTCTAGAAGTAGTAAACTAGATTTAGTAGGGCCCTTAGCATTTAGAAGATTAATTGTCTACCGAGCCTATTACGCTTTCTTACGGTTAGTATTAACGCGCGCGAACAACTCGGTCGTCTTAGTAGGAGTAGCTGCTAGAGCATATACTAGATATATACTAACAGAATATACTAGTAGAGGGTCGGATAAAAGAGGAGGGCCTAACTATACCTAGGGCTATAGAAGTGCTATCTATAGTAGCGGAGGAGCATATTACGGATAGAGAGCTTCGAACTAGCTAACTAATCCTTATACTAGCTTAGCGTTAATACTGCCCTTAGCGAGGGGATAGCGGAAGTTATAAGCTTCTAGAGAAGCGCGTATATAGCACTATATAAGAGCAGTAATCTTATATAGCAAGCGTAGATTAGCCTAAAGTTAGGCTCGAAGCTACTCTATACGATTAATAGACTATAGATTCTTTAAGTGCTGCAATATCTCTTACTTCTTGCGAGCCTTATCTTAACCTACCTACTTAGCTCGCTAGGCATCGAGCCTATCGCGCTACTACTTAGTATAAGTAGCTAAGTTAGTTATCGAATTAACTAGCTTAGTATTAGGACGTAGTAGCGTAGAAGAAAGAATAAGCCCTTCTAGGAGTAAGCGTTGTAGGCGACGACGGACTAGGTCGGTATATCGAGTTACTACTATAGGTAGTACTTTAACTATCTTAAAGTAGTTATAGAAGTTAAAAGGTACTTCGAATATAACATCGTCTAGACTATGCACCCGCGAGACGCTAATATAGGTTAAGCCGATAGTAAAGTCCTTCTTAGAGATATCTAGAACGGCTTTGTCTAAAGTTATGCCCTATGCCTTATAGATAGTAATTGCGTATGCGATTGTTAAGGGGAACTGCGTACGTATATACGGACTGTTCTAGTTCTAATTGTGTAGCTACTCTCGTTAAACTAGAACGACTAGTACTACGCTACGAGGCAACCCTCTACTACTATCCTCGTTAAATTCCTAGTTAAAGGTTAGCCCGGAGTATTTATTAAGCTTAATAAGAAGGACGGTAGGCAAGCGCTAAAGGATATTATTAGGATTATTATTAGTAGCTTCCTAGACAATGTTAACAACGGTGCCTATACTGCCGTTAACAATACCTCCCTTAGTCTATAGATTCTACGTAACTATAATACGGGCACCGATATATAATAGCAACCGCGGGTATAGATTGCTACCGTTCTTATACGATGTCTTAGCTGCCTCGGCGCTAACGTAATTAGCCTTAGCGACCTTAATAGGAGTGTTGTTATCTCGTATAGCGTCTTAGTTGTAGGCGTTAACTTGCTTCTTATATAGGTAAAGCCGAATAGCGGCCTTAAAGGCGTCTTATTCTGCTTAAGGTAGTAATGTCTTTATATAGGAACATAATATCTCCTAGTAAGATATAGTTATACTAGCTAGAGCATTTCGAAGGCTCTCTAAAGTATCGCGGAAGGCAATAGATCGGGGATTATTACCCTACTATCGATAGATTACGCTTAGCTAGATAGTCTAGTTAAACAGTTAATAAGCCTCGTATCTAGCAATGTCCTTAGGCGTACGGAGGTTAGCAAGCTTTAAGAATAGTAGCTTGCCGCCGACGGGCAGAAGCTAGTTAAAGTTACCTATAATAGTAACACATCTGCCGCTAAATAGGAGAGTAGTATCGGGTCCTTAGCTCTATAGAGCGGAATAACTAACCTAGCGAAGTCGACGATCGATCTAGTAAAGTATAGTAAGGTCTATTATAGACTTCTTATTAATAATAATATACTTAATCTAGCCTATACGATCTTAGAAGTTAGTAAGCGCCTAGCTATCTAGCGGAATATACTCTTTTATCTTTAAGGGCAACTTAAAGAAGCTATACAAAGTACTACCTTTAATGCTATTAGTAGTAGTACCCGTAGGTGCTAGTCGGATAATAGGATTCTCTATCTAAAGATCCGGATATCTAGTATCCGAGTTGTTAAACTTATCGGTAAGTGCTTCGAGCTTTAATAAGACGGTCTCTATAACGTGTAACTTGCTAATACTAGCTTTCCCGTCGACGTTAAGGAGGAATGTAGGCGTATTTATGTCGTCCGTCTAAGTACGCTAATAATCGACAACCTTGTTATACTATAGCTCCTAAGCGTTAGATAAGCCGTTAATACGCTAATCTAGGTCTGTAGGTATACTAATTCTCTGTACTTTACGTGCTATAGTTCCTCGCTTGTGCTTCTACTAGTCTTTAATATTATTAATAGTAATGCCGTATCTGCCGATATAGGTGTTCTAATTATACTCCCTATCGACTTCTTAGTTGCTAAGGTCGTTAAGATCTTCTAGCATCTCTATAGGGTTGCGACCTAGTAATATACTAGCGAGTAACTCTGCTTCTAGTCGCTTAACCTCTAGATCGTAGACTTTATCCTTAAATAGGTCTTCTATAGGCTTAGGAAGATTAGTGCCTATATAGTTATCCGGATGCTTATAAAAGAGCTTACAGGCTTCGTAGGCACTAGCCTATATATCGTAGGATATACTCGGATCTTCCTCGTAGGTGTATAGTAGGCTAGGATAGTTCGTATTAAACTTATAGTAAAGGAGGACTTTAGTGCGGCACTAGTCCTCGTATATTCTATCTAAACTATTAGGGATAGCACTATACTTTAGATACTAATTAATAATACGTGCCTTTGCTCGAGTACGCTTCTTATAGGTATCGAACTCCTACTTAGTAAGAAACTCGAAGAGAGTAAGGTCTAGGTTAGCGACTAAGTTAGAGTAGTTAAACTTCGCTTTAGGAATAGCATATCGGTTTAGGTACTTTAATAGAGGCGATTGTCCCTAAGTAACTATTTAACTAGTTGTTAGATTAAAGCGCTTAACCTTCGACTAATATTCTAGCTTGCGACAATCGAAGTTCTAAACCTTGCGTAAGCCTTAGGCAAGCGGCAGATCGAGAAGAAGGTGCATCTCTTCTTAAGCAGAGATGTTACGTTCTCTAATTATCTTGTTTAGTATCTTAGCGATAAAAGATACTATAGGTCGGCTCTCGTTAATTCTCGGTAGCACTTTCTGCCTAAGCTCGATTAATGATTTACTCCGCTTCTCTTGCTTAGTACAGTACTTACTAAGATAGTCGACGACAGCGCCTTTGTCTATATAGACAGTAATATCGTTGTTCGCTCCCTATACTATCTAAACGGTACGGTTGTAATTAGTTATACGTATATTATTACGTAGACTATTATATATCTAATATCGGGGATTTAAAGAACAGGTTACTTCCCTAGTATTAGGATAATTCCTACGCAGGTAGTAGAAACGGTACTAAGTAAGCCTACTGTCCTTGTTCTTCCGCTAACAGTATTCGTAGCCGCATTTGTAACGCTATATACGATTAAGGTTTATTATAAGATGCTATTAAGAGTTGAGAATGTCGCCCTTCTTAGCCTAGAGGATTATAGGCTTATTAGGCTTAGGCGCAGTTCGTCGAGGCGTAGGGTTAGTAGCCGTAACATACTTGCTCTAGAACTTAGCTAGGTCGTTGCGATAGCCCTCGTTATATATTATCGGCGGTAGTAGAAGGATCTTACTATCGATCTAGTATTCCTTTAGCTATACTACTCTATAATTATAAGAACTGCTACGGGCTTAGAATTCAAACCGATTCTAGTAATTAGTAACGCTAAACTTCTTCGTTATTAACTGCATTACGAACGCATAGCGGCGGTAGAAGTAGTACGCTATAATCGCCGGGTTCTCGCGGATATTGTCTCTACTAGTCTTAACCCGCTAATACTCGTTGCCGCTAGATAGAATATTAGGCATATATCGCTAAAGACTCTACCGGTAATTGTTAGCTACACTGTAGGTTAAGAAGAGACGTAGACAACTAATAGCCTTAACGTAGTTCTCTAGCTTATTAGTCTTACTAACCTAGTACGCGCGAGTATCCCGAAGACTATTACTATATCGAATAATGTTCGTAAGTAGACGCCGGGATTCCTCGTTATTCGAAGTTAGAGCCGCTTTAAGCTCCTCGATAGTAATCTCCTCGTATTAAGGATTCTGCTATATAATATAGTCTACTTTCTTACGTAACTGCTTTCTTATAAGAGTGTTTAAGCTAACGTATCGGAATCGCGGACATAACGCAAATCGGTAGCGGCGAGGTCTAGTACTATTATCCTACTTAATAAGGTGCTTAAGATAGTTATCGTACGATATACCGCGCTAACGAGCCTTAACGAACTCTCTAGATCCCTATAGGAATAGCGTTAGGAATGCTCTAGATATAAGACGCTCGGTCTTATTAAACTTATCTAAAGGCACTAGATCGAACGGTAGCATTATAAGCTA